CACCGGCGCGCCCGCTGCGCTCGTTGAGGGCCGGATCCATCCTTTTTCCAACATTCGATCGATATACTCCCTCAAGGTCGCTAACTCCGTCCTTGACATACTATACAGCCGGCCCGTCGGTGGCGCTGCGCCGGCGACTAATGGTATGTCATGACTAGCTTTTTCAGAGGGGAGCGCCTCTGCCTCTTTCTCCGAGAATACCGATTTCCATTCTTCGTAGCATTTGGGGAGAGCCCCCGTCGCACCACTGTCGTCGCGTGGTTGGCTCAAGACCAGCATAGTGAGTCCTTGCCTCATCGTGCTCTTGAATCGCTTGGGCGATTCGATTTTGATCTTCAACTTTTTCCCTCGGTAGCGCCAGGTGTTCGCCGCCAAGGAGACGTCGGGGTCGACCGGGCTCAGCCAGCTGCGCCCTAGGATCAGTTGGTATTCTTTTTCTTCCAAATCTACTACATGGTATTCCATGTCGAATTCTCTAGTTTCGTCGAGGCTATCCGTGATTCGGCTCTTCGCCTGGAATCTCGCGTAGCACGGCGCCGTTGAGCCGTTAGCGAAACGCACGGGTTGCTCCATCTTTGTCTTGTCGAGGTTTATTCCTTCTTTAGCCAAGAAGCGGTAGGAGATAAAGTCCTCGTTCGCTCCAGTATCCATAAGCGCCCTTGTCGTGACCCATTTCTTGCCCACCAGGATGGCTACGGCGGCTAGGAGGGGTCCCGCCGGCGCCTCTTCGTCCTGTTGGAGCACTAGGGATTCTGGAGCATTCGACCGTCATTGGTCTTGGTCCTCTGATTCTCCTGCCCCCTCGGCGCCTTCTCTGCGCTGGGGGCATTTCCTTGCGATATGACCGGTTTGATTGCACTGGTAGCATCGGCCTTCCTTTCTTTGGTTCTGGCGGTTCCGCCACTCCTCCTTTGACTCTTTCCGCTGGAATTTGTTCGGTCGGGGGTTCGTTGCTTCGCCGTCATCTTTCTTTCTCTTCCTTGAGTCATCCTTCGACACACGAGACCCCAGGGGTTGGTTTGGTTGTATCCCATTTGGCTTTTCCTGCTTCTCTTGTTTCTGAAGTTTCTCGTACCTTGCCCCCAGTTCGGCGACTTCGGCTAGACTTCGCGGCGTCGTCGCGTCCCGCTGGATTTCCTTGCGCAATTCGGGCCGGGCCATTTGGATGGCTAGCTGGCAGAGGAATCCTTCAAGATCGGCTTCGATCATTGGGACGAACTCCTCCATCTGGGTTATCAGGGTTCGTATGCTCTGTTGTGGTCCTTGTCTCATGTGTAGGAGCCGGTGAGCCGCCGTCTGCCCGCGGTCTCTCTCTGGTTCTAGGAAGTTCCGCAGGAACTCAGTGAATTCTGAATAGGTGAGTCCTTCGGGGTTCGCTCCATGCTTAGAGCGCCACGCCTGCTTTACGTCGTCTTTCAGGCGACCCGTAGCGTAGCGGACCTTGGCCGCGTCGCTCTCATAGAGTTTCCCCTGCGACCCAAAGTAGTCTTGGAGGTCTTCCAGGAAGACACCAAGTTCCTTCAGGTTTCGTGCCTTGAAGAACTCGGGTTCGGGCACCTTCTCCCTACCCGTCTGCATGGCTTGCGCCATGTATTGGGCCATGCGCCACAGCTTATCGTCTTCCGTCAACTCGACGGGTTGGCGCTGGAGAGTCGCTGGTGCCGTTAAACCTTCCTCGATAATGGTTTCCGGAACCATGGTTGTAGATTCCATGGAGTTTGGATCCGCCACTCCTTGGGAGGAGGAGCGGGTAGTCCTTCTCGTACTCGCCATGTTGCTTCGCTTGGTAAAGAAGCACTTCGAATTGTAAGCGTCTCACTGGCGAGGCGCTTGGGTATGGGTAGTGTTGGTAAAGGAAGCAAAGCTACACGGAGTACGAGGATAGTAGGAAGGTACTGGAAGTAACAAAACGAAGTGCTTGTCTCTCAGCACTTCGGGGGTTATTGCGTTGCTATTTATGTTGCCTAGTCGAGTCGCCGGCGCGGCGCAGGCGACTCGAATGTTGCCGTTCTCCCGATTACCCTCGGTTACTGGGTATGTGGTTCGGCATGTGGTTCGGCATGTGGTTGCATGTCACGTGGTCGCCGTGACAGTTAGGGAAGGTAATAATAAAGGAAAGCCACCCATGCAACTTTTTTATGAAGGGTTGAATATCCTAATTAAAGATATTAATCTATAATATATTTATATATAGGAATATAAGGTATTTATAAATATCCTATATAAAAATAAGATTAAAAGTATGAAAATATTACCTAGAGTAAAAATTAGTCAACTAGTTAAATATAATAAAGATTATATCTATAAGATGTAGTATCCAGACACAGGAAAGATAATTTAGTCAAGAGATATAATATTTGATAAAGGTAATATTAATAGAATAGATAGAATATAACCATGACTTCTTAATAGACTAAAACTAAATAATAATAGTCTATCTAGAGTAACTATATCTATTAATACTAAAAGGGAAAGAATAACTCATGATAGTATATCTTAAAATAATACTATTCCCCAAACCTTACCATCAGCAAATAACAATGAGGTTATTACAGGAAGAATTCAAACATTAATACCTGATCTAGCCCTACCCAAACCAAGCCTACCCAACCCAGAGGCAGGTATCAAACTCATCATACCCGAGCGGCCACCTGCCTCTGGGGCTGCCCCTAGGGCTATCTCCAAAACTACCGAGCTCATCATACCAGAGCGGACACCGGCCTCTGGGGCTGTTTCCAAAACCATCACCAAGTAAAACAATCGAGCGATTAGCAAGGATATGGAGGAGATAGTAAGACCTAGTGTAGAGGAATAATCTAGGCAGGGTAGATATAAAAAGATAATCAACTATTTTACTATAGATAATCTATATACTAGTTAACCTATTTTTAAAAGAATACTAGTATTATAACTAATGTAAAGGCTTCTAGAGTTAGTTACCTAATATAGGGAGGTCTTACTAGTTTTAGAATCTTTTAAAAATAACTATACTCCAATAACTCTAGATATACTAAAAAGAAAGTATTCAAAGACTAGAAGGCAGGTCAAATTTAATATTAGGAAAGTAAAAACAGTTAACTAGGTAAAGGTATAGAATCCTGCTAGTAGGAATACTAGTAGCAGTATTACTACTCTATAAAGATCTTTAAGATCTACAAAGGATCAATACTAAAGTATTTATTTTAAAGATAAGCAGGCAAAGTAACTATAGGAAGAGAAGGTAAAACAGGAATAATAATCTTGATCCTAGTCTATATTACCTCTAAAAATGCTTCTAGAAATACCTTATCTACCAGGATCTTATTTAAAGCTAGGAGAATCACCTAATATAATTATTATAGTATTACTAGATATTATATTACCAGATTTTAATAATTTTACACTAGAGATCAAGCCCATAAAGACTTATAAAATCAGAATCCTATAAACCTATACCCAAGTAATAAAGTTACTATAAAAGAATTACTAGATATAAGTAATGCAAAGTCAAATTAGCAAGCTTAAAGCTATTTAGACTTATAAATTTATACTATTACTAAAGGATATAAAGGTCTTATCAGGAAAATAGGTATATAACTTAAAGTTAGATATAAATAATAATATATTATAATTCTATATAAGATAGATTATATATGGAAATTTCTAAAAACTAGGTATAAATTTTAACTAAATCTACTCCCTAATAGTAGTAGATGCTTTAGTAAAGCTATTTTTAAGTATAATTACTTATTTTAATTTAAAATAGATATAATTTAATATAGTAACTACCTATCTTAATATAATAATCAAGGATTGAAAGATCTATATACACTAACTAACTAGTTTTAATAAGTAAGATAATATAATATATCTACTATTTTAAGCCTTATATAAATTATAATAGTCAGTATTTCTTTAATATAAGGAATTTTATAATATTCTAGTAAAAATTAGTATGAAGGTAATTAATAAAGATCCATGCTTCTACTATAATCTAGATTAGTAGCTAATACTTATTATCTATATTAATAATATAATAATTACTAGTCCTAATAAAGTAAATATTTAATAATTTATAAATAAGCTAGAAAAATATTTTAAATTAAAGTAACTAGGTAAACCTATATAATTCTTAAGATATAATATTTATAGACTACTTAATAGTCTAATATTAATATCTTAACATACATACATCCAAAAGATGCTCTATAAATGGAATTTCCATGGTCTTTGGCCATGTCATATACCAATAACTCCAGGATAGAAATTAAGTAGAGAGATACTAGATACTAGTAGTATTATTCCAGATACCATGTATGCCTCTACAGATAAAGATAATATTATCTATTACTAGGAGCTGACTAGATTATTAAATTAGATTACTATTCAGACTTAACCAGATATTTAATATGCAATAATATAATTACTATAAAAAAATCATAATCCTAGCAAGTTAGACTATAATATAATTAAACAAGTTTTCTAATATTTAAAGAAGACCTTAGACTATATAATAGTCTTAAGTTATTTAAATAATTTATTACATGTATATATTAACGCCTCTTATATAGATTATAAAGATAAGAAGTTAATAGAAGGCTTTATATTTTTTATATTTAAAGTACTAATTATATGGAGATCAGTAAAGTAATTACTAGTTACCCTAAGTTTAACTATTACTAAATTTATTGCATGGGATATAGTAATGAAGCTAGCTATATAGCTATAAAAGTTGTATATAGCTATTAGACTAGAATAGTCTATAAAAGATATTATATCTTTATATATTAATTCTACAAATACTATTATTTTAGTAAAGAAGCTAAATTATATATTTATACTCTACTAGATAGATATTTACTACTTCTTTGTCAAAGAGGCAATCAAAAATGGCAAAATTTAGCTATAAATAGTGGGTAGAGAGGACAATGTTACTAATAGACTAACTAAGGTACTACTAACTGCGAAATTTAATAAATTTATTAAGAAATTGGGTTTTAGTAGGTTGGAGATAGACTCTAAATAGCTTCATGAAATAGATATATTACTAAGGGGGGTGTGTTGAAGTGCTGCACTCAGTGAATACAACCAGCACCACTATAAAGCAGCATTACTATAAAGAAGAAGATAGCGACACGTGACTACTCTATGTATTTAAGGCCACCATTTCCTTCTAGATCTTCATGCTTCCTCCAAGCATCTCTCCTTCTCTCTATTTCCTAGTTAGACCCAATTGAATCCATTTCGGTCAACTTTCTACTGTCATAGTTTGACGACCTTCATCAAGATATGCCAATCTGTTAAATCAACCACAGGACTTGCGCTCGTAACGAGGAAAGCTGGGAACCAAAATGGAGGCAATTGATAATATACTACCAGTGACTTAAGCGTAGGTGAACCGTAATGCTTCTGGACCCCGTGGAAGGTATGCTCCTCTGGCTGAACCTAAGATCGAAAGAAACACTCAAAACGCCCGGCTGGAATAAATCACGAAGGCCACCTTATATAATTCTTCACTGTGCCACACCGTTTACTAGAGGCTCACCCGAAGATTCATCACCCTCTTGAACCACAACCCAATCCCTCACGCCACCCTTCCAGTCGGCGATTCGACCCTCTTGAACTCGGACAACAACGACCCGGACGTCGCCATCGATTGAAATGCTAGGGCGCCTTTGTCCAGGCTGCTGTTGCTCCCCAAATACACTCATTTCCTCCTCAAAGGTGTTATTTTCCAGATGTCTTTCTTTGCACCACGTCTCCTCCTCCGAACCGGGCTCCAGGAAGCGAGCAGTGCCTGTGATAGTAGTGGAGATGCTGGACAACGCGCTCGTATTCAGATTTAGAAGTAGACTGGCCAAAGAGGACCGGGTTGCTGCAGGGGGCGGGGATCCGTCACGGGCCCCTCCGGGATTCGGGGCCCGGGTAGGCGGACGGTGCGACACCCAGTCGTGTACCAGCAAAGAAACCCGGGGATTGATCGTTAAATGGGTGGTCTTTCGAGAAGAGGGATTGGTCGTCATGATAATCGTAGGATACGGGTCGAACGGAGTAGACGCCAAGTAGGTGTAAGACATGAGGGAGATGTGAGGGGTCAAGCCATCGCAAGTCGCGAGATGTAGCTAGAAAGGTAATGGGTCAGTATGGGGATTCCAACCAAGGGGAGGGATACAATTGTACGTACAAAGCGAGAATTCTTCAGACTGGAAATGACCTCTGGTGGGAGGGTGGTTGCGACATGACGATGGGTGGCCGTGGCAGATGCCTCGTAAGACAGGGGAGGATTCAGAGAATCAGCCATTGTGGTTACAAGAGAGTCACTGTATACGGAATTAATGCAAATAATTCGTCGAAACGGAAATAATGAACGGTTTCAGGACCGTGTAAGTGTCTTTTACAACTATCGTCATGCTCGCAACGCACTGGGAGGGGCAATTAGAGGGCTGTGGCTGCGGATGTCCGGGCCAGACCTTACCCAATTAGGCGTATACGCACTAGTCCTATTCCAGACTAAAAGAGTCCCGTCTCAGTCACGGGTCAGTTGAGATCCTGCTCAATGTGGAATGATAGGCTAACCCGAAAGGGCTTAAGGCATCGCCACGGAAGAGCCTGGATTCTAAGGTATGTCTGGCCAAACATCTTTGATACTGCACTGTACTATGCTTAAATAAATTTATATTCATGAGTAAGAGAAGACTCTAAATTATGGGGATAGCTAATTAGTTAGTGGAATAGTAGATTTGTCAATTGCCGCTATCTTTACATAATAGAGTCGACTCTCTAATTAGGAATAGTACAATTGGACAGCAGTATAACCTATTTCGTCACCAGGAAAATGAGCTGGAGTCTGGAGGCGCGACCGAAGATCATCACCAAAGCTTTGGATCGAACTCATCTGCCCAAATTTGAATCTCCATTTGAATCCAGTCGACAGACGTGTTATTCAACATCTATACGCCGCGAGCTATATAAATAAGCCATCCACCCTTGCTCTGAGGGCGAGCAGCAGAGCTTCATGAATCAACCTAGACGTCAAGACTCCTCCTCTTTCCCCGCACTTCCGTGGAAGGCCTAAGGCCGAGCTTGCTTTCCCCAGCTTCCACCACCCAACTATTCTTCGTCTCATTCTCCATCCCTTCCTGTCCTCTCCCGCCATCAGTCGTCACATCCCTCTTTTGTTAGTTATTGGTGTGTCTTTTTTTAATACTTCCGTTGTTTTCCCTCCCACCGTGATCAAGATCTCTGCTTGGCAATCAAACCTCGCTCTGCTGACCCTGGACTCTGAGCGAGCTGCTTCCTCACTGGTTCTGGGAGTTACTCCTGCTGCGTTGCAACCTTTCAGCCGTTGGTCGGACCAGGGCCTCCTTATTCATTCATCGCGTGTTGCCTGCTTCATCTCATCCGTGTTTGTGTCTGGTTCCTCTTTCCCCTCTCCTGAAAGCCCCTCTTTTGTGCCCGTTCTCTCCCAAATAGGTGTCTTCTGCAAGTTCTTCTTTGTTGACACCTTGGTTTCCTATTCCAAATTTTCTTTTGTTTTCTTTTTTGTGTTTTCACGTCCGATTCCTTTTTTACCTTTGTTCAACTTCTTCTTTCATCCCTACTCCCCTGCAAATAACATTGTAGTATACCAATTATGCTTGGCCATCGATTCATTCGGCCTGCTTCCTCGCTGGCTCGACCTTTCTGCACCTCTGCCCCTGTCTGTCGCGCGCCCTCTATTCGTGACATCACCCCCGATTCAGCTGAAGAGTTTAATGCACGCCAGAAGGAGTTTCGCGAGAACTTGGAAGTAGCTCGCAAGAAGAGAGAACAGCAAGAGAGTCAGTCAGTCGGTGCTTCTGCTTCTACCTCTGCCTCATCCCCTGTTGCCCGTGATCGCCTCCGTGAGTACGCTACCGCTCCCACTGCTCCCAACAAGGGCAATGCGAGCAGTACAAACAACAGTGTTTTTGATGCCGCCGATGTTCTTGATAATCAGGCATTAGGCTCACTTTCTACCCACCGTTCTGTAGGAGACAATCAATTGTTAGAAGCCAGCCACTCCCCCAAGCGCGGACCGCTTTCGTCGCTCATTTACGGAACGAGAGAAGGACAACAGCACGATAAAGATATTGAACGATCTTTCTCGCAGGTTCTTGCTCGCGGTAAATACGTCCATTCCATCGTTTTTCACGAAGTAAAGCCCGACCGCGTCGATGAATATGTCAACCTTGTTGGCCAGTGGTATCCTCGCATGGCCGCAACTGAGGAAAACCGCGTCAATCTTGTCGGGAGTTGGCGCACGCAAGTGGGAGACAACGATACCTTTGGTATAAAACACCCCCATCCTCTGGAAACCACCTTTGCCTGGATCGAAAATTGAAGCTGACCCTCGCTATGCAGTCCATATCTGGGAGTATCAGCGATATGAAGGATACCATGCTTCTCTCCATAACATCTCCTGTCACCCAGAGTTCCGTGAGTTCGATCGGAAGTTAAAGAGCTTAATCAAGAGCAAGAAAACTTCGCTCATGCAGGAGTTTTCATTCTGGCCAACCACTCCGCCCCGCAAACTCGGAGGGCTTTTTGAGCTTCGTTCTTATACCCTTCATCCCGGAAACCTTCTAGAGTGGGAAACTCACTGGCGGCGTGGCCTCAAAGCCCGCCGTGAGGTTATGGAAGGAGTCGGTGCTTGGTTTGTCCAGATCGGCGACTTGAACACTGTGCATCACCTGTGGCAGTTTGCGAACCTAGAGGAGCGCAAGATTCGCCGGGAACAGTCGTGGAGCGTTGAGGGCTGGGGAGAGACAGTGCATAAGACTGTTCCCCTCATCCAGACCATGCAGAGCCGAATCTTGATCCCCATGCCCTGGAGCCCCGTTGGTTAAACTCTCCCAGCTGAAGGGTTGTTTATGGTCTGCGATCCTACGGGCTGGTTTTTTCGAATCAACTTGGCGAAGGCGACCGACATGGTCTAGCCTCTTTTGAGGGGAGGATCCGCGCGCATCATGGGTTATAGGTCGACAGGGCGGGAGATAGCCTGACAAATACGTGAAGGAATCCTCCTTTATGCCCTGGAAGTGTGAATGTGATTGTTCCGATACGGACCCGGGGCTGGATTTTCTGCAACGAGGTTGAGGATGCCCCCTACCCACTTTTCTCCTTAGCCCAGGCCCTGTTTAGTGTATCAAATATGGCATTAGCGTTAGTCCAAGACGTCGTTGCATGTATTTAGAACACCAATTTCAAGGGATTTATGCATCTGCCTATTAATCTCAGCTGCTCCTGTGGTTCTTACTGGGTTCCCCTTCTCAGGGATACAAAGTACGCATTGCATTTATTGTACAACACACTTCAGGCTGTGTGGTTTTGCCGCCATACCGGCTGCCTCGGGTCATTACAAGCAGAGGTGTTATGTTATTCAAGGATTACCCCACTTTGCCTGTTTACGATATCCGATAGGGGATCAACACGGTGCTAGTAGGTATGGTTACGCTCCCAAGTTCTCCGTTTTAACTTCATTTCATTAATGGACGAGGGACGAGAGACCAGGGAATTTCGAGGATGTCGTCATCTTTCGGCTACAACAAGAAGGTCGACTGGCAAATGGTTGTCCACAATACCTCCCCAATACCAAAATTACACTCGCTTCGCCAACCGAATCCATGGGTCCACATGGTTCTGTGACATTCTCCATACTGGATGTATTGTATTCTCCGCCCTCAAGGGGTTTTTTTTTCCGCCGGCAGAAAAAAAAAAAAAAAAGGTAAAATAAATAATAGATCATATGCTGGGATTTTTTTGGAGAATCACGGGAAAATTGATCGCCAACGACAGGCTTCCAGGAGGCTTCTCTCTCTTTATTTCTCTCTCTTCTTTCGTTTTCTGAGGGACTTGTCTTTAGATCTTGCACGGCATTTTCTACCTTAAATCCCTGCTTGACTTCTTTATTTCCTTCTTCTTTTTGCCATTCTTTCCTGGCGCACCTCAACGAATCTGTCCTCAAGGTCCGATTCACCGCCGGCTGAGTGCTCTCCTCTCTTTTTTATACAAGTGGAAACTATAGGGATTTTACTCTTGAAGTCTGCAGGATAGCAAGGACATCCTTGCTCAGATATAGGCGCGATGGTGTACATTCGACAACATCAGTTGTCCAATCTAAAGGACTACCGCTATGCGGGAGTTGATCTGTCCCTGACAAGCCGATATGTTCTCAAGCCGTTCTATAATAAATTCGTCATCAAGTTTTTTCCGATGAGCATGGCGTGAGTAGTTACCCGGGTTGTATTGGGGGTTTCTGGTATGATTTGGCTAACGGCCTGGCTTTTTCTCTAGTCCTAATGCTGTAAGTCCCTCTAGCCTTCCCTATCTTACGTTTCGCCCATCGGAAAAGACACTCCAAGAAGACGGATTGCAATACACGGGGAAATTAAAGCACGATGGGACCACGCGAATACAAAGAAGAATATTATCGTAACTAAGGATTACTAGATCACTCTGACAGGACTGGTCTTTGTTTTGATCAACTTCTTGACCGTCCTATGGTATAACCCGACACTGGATCAGGACTGCCCTGCTTGGGTTTATGCCAGTTGTGCTGTGGGGTTGTTCTTATACCAGACGTTCGATGGAGTAGATGGCATTCAAGCGTATGTGCCTTTCTTCTCCAGTGTGGAGTATGCTGGAAACCTGACACTGATTTATGTTTAGGCGGAGAACTAAACAGAGTGGCCCCCTAGGCGAGCTCTTCGATCACAGTAGGCCAAGAAACACGTTCAAGTTGAAGTTACCCGACTGACTCTTCCCTTTGTCTAGGCGTTGACGCGTGTAACACAGCATTGGGAGTCTTGGTCTTCTCCGCAATTATGAATCTTGGCCAGTCTTGGGCTACTGTGCTAACTCTTTTCGGATGTATGTAGAATTCATGCAGTAGAGTACCTGACAGATGATGCTAACATGCAACATAGCTACCATGACTTTCTATGTCCAAACTTGGGATATGTACTACACTCAAGTTTTGACACTGGGAATTATCTCCGGTCCTGTTGAAGGAGTGCTGACGCTGTGTGTTGTGTTTGGATTCACTGCTTATATAGGAGGCGGGAGCTTCTGGCATCGTCCCATGCTTGAGACTTTCGGTATCCCAAAGCTTGAATTCATCCCCCAGCAAGTCTATGACATGCCTTTTACCCAGTGGTATCTCATTTATGGCGCATTCGTCCTGTTTTTTGCAACGGGTTCAAGTATTGCGCATGTCATGAAGGTTCGAAAGGACCGTGGCAAGGATCCAATCCAGCCCCTTTGCGGGCTCCTCCCACTTGTTTGCACCTGGATTTTTGTGCCGGCTTACCTATACCTCAACCCGATCATTCTTGAGAACTATCTCGTTCCATTCACCCTATACATCGGCCTAGTTAATGCCTACGCTGTTGGGAGAATGATTTGCGCGCACCTGGTCCATGCTGAATTTCCCTACTCCAACGTCCTTCTTGTCCCTACTGCGTTTGCCGTGGTTGATAGCGCTGGCGCACTTTTTGGACTTTGGCCGAACCCAGTGATCAACACCATTGGACATCCTGCGTTCGTGTTCTTATGCCTGGGCTTGGCACTCGGTGTCTATGGAAGTTTCGTGGTAAGTACCTTAGGGAATAGATTGGGGCTACCTTGCAAGACGCTGACTTTGCCTAGCACGACATTATTACGACTATATGCGATTACATTGATATCTGGTGCTTAACGATTAAGCACCCTTACGTTCCGGAGAAGGTTGTCAATGGACACGCGAACAACGGGACCAAGAAAACGATCTAATGACCTCAGTGAATGTCATGTTTTTTTTGTTTTTTTTTGTACTCGCATTTCAACTGTGCGAAAAACCATCTAATTTCTGCCTACAGCTTGCTGGGACAAAAGAGTTGGGAGTTGAATAATTGGAGTTCGCTATACCCATTTGATAATGTTATATCTTATGTCTTAGCGCATTGGATTAGCGATAGAGAATCTAAGTTGATTGTATACTGTGCCTGTTCTGTATGCTTGAATATCGTTTTAGAGAGCGGTGGTATAGAGCACATAGGGAGTTAATTGGGCAATATTTTGACCTCCGGGCCGGGTATGGAGAGCATTGCTTACATAACCACAATACTATTGGTCCGCCAAGGTCCCCTTGGAATGGCCGTGTTAGCGAGGGCTGAACCCTATTGTAGCGCCCAAACGGGCTGGCTGGGGGGAGACCATCGAGAATTCCCTGCAAACTTCGCCATCTCCACGAGACCACCTTTTGCTTCACACCCTCAAGCAGGCCATCTCCATCAGCGCACTATTCAACCTCTCTCGCTGATCGACTTTTTTTCTCGTCAAGATGGTGAGTGATATTTTTTTCGATTTTTTCCATCAAGATATACCTCGATGCAGCTAGGAAGACGGTGATCATGTCAATGTTGTCGCCGTCATCGTCACTGTCGCCGTCTTCTCTTTTAAATCGAGAACCCATCCTCAAAATTCTTCCCGGCATCAGGGAAGACTAGGCTAACATGTTCTTCATCGAATAGGTTCTCGCGGTCGACCTCCTCAACCCTACGCCTCAGGCCGAGGCCCGTAAGCACAAGCTCAAGGTATGATATGATGATTTCTTCGCACCCGGAGCAAGCGAACTTGAGACCTCATCGATTCGGATAACTGATCTTGGGAATTTTTTTTTTTTTCGAACAATAGCAACTTGTGCCTGCCCCCCGTTCCTTCTTCATGGACGTCAAGTGCCCCGGCTGCTTCACCATCACCACCGTCTTCTCTCACGCCCAGACCGTCGTTGTGTGCGCCGGCTGCTCCACCGTCCTCTGCCAGCCCACCGGTGGCAAGGCCAGACTCACCGAGGGATGCTCTTTCCGCAGGAAGTAAATGTCACGACGGCAAACGGAGTTGGAGTGATGACGATTGCAACGTGGCGTTCTTCGATGATGATGGATTAATATTATATTTTTGAGAAAGCAGATTCAGATAGAAGATGGAATCCTCGCCCCTTGCGAGAAACCCCAACCACCACCTCATGGGCAATGAGAAAAAAAAATTTCTACCTCACATCCTACCGTTCAATACCAAAAAGCGTTTTCTTCACATGGAGGGGAGTTCCGGATATCTGGCACACATGATCGGTCCATACTCTATCAAATTCTCGCCTTTTTCCGTCGAAAATCCATATTATTTCCTCCCTCTCTCTACGTTGTGTTTATGCGTCTTGTACATCGTTTTTTTTCTGACGAGCGTACTGAGTACACTTGGGAAGTACCTTGGGGATGTTACAGCACGCACTTTTTTTTTTTTCACCTGAGTCATGCCGGTTGATACGGGAATTCGGATCTCAAAGGAGTTAAGATGAATAATCTTCCGTTGATGAAGATGAATGACTGGTCTATGGCATGTGCTCAAGTGGAAGTGTGTGGATTACATCGAGGCTTCTTGTATAGCAATACCCAGAGTGGTTTGTTATAACTGGTATCCTGCATGCGAATCCACGCTGTAGTATTCCCAGGTTCAGTAGCGAATTGTATACTTTACTTTTATATGGTCGGTCTTGTCGACGTTCGTCGCTCCAGCAGCATGTAGTCTTGACGTAAGAGATCTCGCATTTCGATATCAAATACCAGACCTAGCGCATGGATATTTGTCTGGTCTCGAGTCCATTGTAGTATCTGGGGGCCCGCTCAATTCTATGTTGTCTGTGGTCAGCTACTTAACTCCCAGGGAAGCCTGTATGTCGACCCCCATGACGAATACTTGCGGCCCGTTTCAACTACCCATTGAAGATGAATTCCAGTCCGCAAGTGTAAATTAGGAGAGACGGAGATTTCAATCCGGTGTCCAGCTCAGTCTCAATCAATATATCCAGGCCTCTGCTCCAACTGGGACCTTTCAGGCTCTCGCCAGTATTCATACACGAGAGCTCACGAGCCAAACCCAAAATAATAACCATTGATATCAAAGGAAGCGTGTCTCGAGTCATCAGTTGAGTCATAGAGGTCCCCAGCTGCGTAGGTCCTAGTATACCAAGTGCTATATAAGGCACAAATATGCAGTTAGTTACATAGTTAGTTAGTACGAGCGTTATCTTATCAACCAGTCCCAATCAGGATAAATTGAATTCCCACCGCCACAGTCATAATTCAGCCCACTTACCTTCTCTTAGTACGGAGGAGTACTTGCACTCTCACTCCTCTTCCACTCTTTACCTCTCTTCTGATTGTTTCTTCCATCACTCTTTTAACCACCCTCCCCCCCCCAAAAAACAGAAGAAAAAGCAGAGAGAGAGAGAGAAAAAAAAGGGCAAAATGACCAACCGCCAACCGTTAAAACTCCTCATGCTCCATGGCTACACCCAATCCGGCCCCCTCTTCCACGCCAAATCCCGCGCCCTGATCAAACACCTCACCAAGGCATTCCCCCTGCACGAAGTCTCAGCGATATACCCGACAGCCCCTCACCGACTAAACCCCGCCGATATACCCGGGTACACACCGTCCCAGGAAGGTTCCGGTTCCGGCGACGACGACATCGAAGCCTACGGATGGTGGAAACGTTCCAACACCGCCAACCCACCGCTGTACCTGGGTCTCGAGGAGGGCCTAGACGCAGTGGCGAAAGTCCTTAACGAGGAGGGTCCCTTTGACGGCGTGATTGGGTTTTCGCAGGGCGCGGCCATGGCGGGAATGGTTGCGGCGCTTTTGGAGCCGGAGCGACAGGATGCGTTTGCTTATTTCTCTTCTTCCTCCTCCTCCTCCTCCTCCTCTTCTTCTTCTTCTTCTTCTTCCTCGCCCTCCTCGTTGGGGGGCGAGACAGCAGGGGAAGGAGGAGCAGCAGCAGCCGCAGCAGGGGTATTTGCGTACCCTGAGTCGTTTGCGAAGCTCTCCCATCCGCCAGTGAAGTTTGCGCTTTGTTACAGTGGGTTCCGTTCACCTGGGGAGCGGTACAGAGGGTTTTATGAGCACCCGCCGATCCAGACGCCCATTCTGCATGTGCTGGGGTCCTTGGATACGGTTGTAGATGAGGGGAGGAGCCGCGCGTTGGTGGATGCTTGTGCTGGCGAGCCCGAGAAGGAGGGGAAGGTGGTTTGGCATCCTGGCGGCCATTTTTTGCCTAGCCAGAGGCCTTATTTGGATGCTGCCACGAGGTTCATTAGGGAGGAGTTGGAAGGTGGGAGGAATGCAAAGACTAAGAAGGATGAGGAAGATGTGAATGATATGGATTTGCCCTTTTAAGTAAGGGTGTTGTATATAGATAGATCTGTCTGTTATTATTGCTATAGATTGGTTAGACTACGTTTAGATTAGATGTACAGTGGACTATGTGAATAAAATTAGATCAAAATCGGGCGGGAAATTATCAATTCTACTATTGTATAATTTTACACCCGGTATGTGTCAGTCCGTTCGTCCATCGCTATCCATGATGATGATGATGATATCTTTCGGTGCAAAAGAATTCATTTAACGAGCCTTGCTCTTCTCCCGGGTCGGAAGGATGCGTGCCATCATCTCTTCCTTGGTAATTAAGTGGTCAATACGCTCCAACAGACCCAGGAGACTCTTCATATCGCTGCTCCACTCGTTTAACACATCGTCTGCATCGCGGGGTTTGGCGAAGTTGACCAGCCGCGCGGGTCGGTCAATCTTCGCATAGATCGTCTTTGATGTAACTAGTTCACTGATGTATTTCTCCGTTTCCTCCTCAGTCAGGTCTAGAAGCTCGGTCAACCGGCCCATCTGGATGCGAGTGTAGTACTTGGCCACCACGCGCACGTTGTGTTCAATGACACGCTTCCGCAGGTCCTGCCACCGCTTGTGTGCCTGATCCTCGGCAGACTGGCTAGGCTTGGGACTAAACACATCGCTGTTGCAAAGGTGAGGGCCGAACTGTTCTGAAACCATGGGCCAGCGCATGAGCTCGTGGATGGTAAAGAGTTTCACCAACCGCGCTTCAACAGGAACCACAGAGAGTCTCGAGTCCTGTTGGATTCGGTGAAGTAGATCGGACTGTTCGTTGTCGTACGGCGACAAGACAATATAGTATACAATGCGTGCGAGGACCTGCAATTAGTAAATTAGCTTGGGGCATACGATTTTTTTTTTTTTTTTTTTTAAAAAAAAAGGACTGAATGCTTACCGCACGAAGCTGTTCAGGGTTGTCCTGCACCGAATCTGTGTCAAGAACCTCTCGGTAGTGTTTGCATACATCCAGGTATTTGTAGTCATGATTGGCAAGAATGATCTGTTGTTCGTAGTAACGAAGTTTCAAATCGGTGACGTCGTCGTCCACCTCCATAGGAGGTTCATCGGGCCCACGGGTCTTCTCTCTTTCTTCCGCCTGTTTCTTGAGCTTTTCGATCTCTTCTGCGCTCTTCTTGGGCTTGCGCGCGAAATATCGTTTGTTGATCTTACGGCTCAAGATGGTCGCTTGCGTCCAGTCACCGCGTTCTATGCAGAGACCAACCTGCTCTAGGATGAATTCGGTCTTCTCCCGTCTGGTCATCGAACCGAATGTCTCCACCTGCAACTCGCAAAGAATGTCGGCAGCGGCATTCAAGTCACCTTGAGACTTTTTGATCTGCGAAAGGATGCGTGTAACCCGGGCTCTTTCAACTTCGACGAAAATCTGCGGTACTCGTTAATCCAAAATGTACGTGGCATACTGCAGTTAGCATGGATGCTGACCTTTCCCTCCGTCACAGTGCGCAGAGTCTGAATGACGGACAACTTGGTATCCATGTTTGGTGTCTCATCCAGGAATCCCATCACCACCTGCACCATTTTCGTCACGGCTTGTTTGAGTTGGCCATGCTTCTTGGAAAGGAGGAGGACTTGGTCATTGAGGAGGTTCCAATCCCTGGAGTCTTTGCTGATTGTCACGATGGTAACGAGTAATCGAGATGTGGTCGGGAGATCGGACGACTATGGTTGATGAAGATTAGAACAAATCCTTGTGCGGAACCATAAGAGTGTAATACCTGTCTTGCTTGCTTCTCCAGCCCTAGCAGCTTGTCAATAGCACCTTGCACATCGGTCTGCCAAGATCGTTAGTTATGGACTGCCGTAATATGTAGTATGTCTGCTTCATACCTTAGCAAGCTGTTCTGCCTCTGGAATCAGCTTGTCAGCCTCCTTAGAGAAGTCCTTCTCCGGCTTCAAGAGTCCGTCGGACATGGTGACCCGTGCTGAGGTGACCGGCTTTCGAGCGCTGGGGGGTGGGAAAAAACGTAGGATTTGGGGAATAAAGGATGCAAATAATGGAGATAGTTCGTGAAATTGTAGTCTTGATGGGGGTTGAGAAGGTAGGAGATGATGAGGTATGATTGTACCTGAAGCTCTCCCGGCGTCCGTCGAGCTGGCTGGAGCTCTACATCACGTGATATAAATCATCGTCGGGGGACAGGCCAACAACAACAGTAACAAATATCGTGACAACTACTTCTGATTCCTTGAATTATTTGTTATTCTACAGTCTGATATAAAGCGAATCATTCAAGGGCATTCGAAATCACCATAGCTTTTTCATATCATGATCAAGACGCATTGATACCAACATTATCCCTCAAATTACGGATGGCTGACATGTACGCTACGTGCCTGTATGACTGGCATGGAATGAAGTATGCAAAGGGCATATATATACAACATATATCTTCATTCCAAGCACCTTTACCGCTATCAAACCTCAAATAAGAAGCAGGCTGGCTTCTTTCCCGTGGCAGGGATTTATGCCTTGTTTCTCAGGCACAAACCCCAGGCACACACTTATCTAAGCCGATCCGATCACGCCATCGTTTTAACTGCTTTAGGCTGAACAATGTATAAAAGTCGATGGACAGAGGAAAAAGTCACACTGTGATATTTGAGCTCCGCGGGGTATTCCTTTCTTTTCTGAGGGGGTTAAATCTCATAATCGCTGGAGATAGGCTTATCGACTTGCTTGCTACCAGGAATAGTCCTTGCCAACAGCTTCAAAGTCTGAATTGTTATCTCAATTCGCCCCTCCACCAATTGGCTTGAACGTATTTCCGCGGAGTACTGGACTGCCAACCGTTTTGAATGATTCATTCCCCACGACCTGCCCCGTGGAGAATCACCTAAATCAGGCCCGTTCACATCTCACATATAAGCTGGCCTCAATCTGAACTCAACATTTCGCTTAGAGAAGAAAAGACTGGGAAGGAGTGTTCAAACCCGCCTTGGTGTGAAGCTCCCACCATGAAGGATACATCATCTAAGAACGCAGCCCAAGTTCCCCTGTTGGCGGCTATAAATGCAGACTCCCAAGTGCACTTGATCATTGGAGCAAATCCTCTCGCTGCAGCCCGTTGTGCTAAGAGCGTGGAGGCTGGCGCACACCCGGTGGTGATCGCGCCCGAAGAGGAGAGTTTACAGTTCACTTTAGCGGGACATATTGAAAATGGCTCCGCAAAATGGGTTAAGAGGCAATTTCAAGATGACGACTTAACTACCCTTGGACGGGAAGAGGTTGACCATGTCGTGGATATGGTTTTCGTTACTATTGGCGCAAATCATCCTCTGAGTACGTGCTTCATCTCACTTATCAAGCTTTTAAGGTCTAACTTATATTTTAGGTTCTCATATTTCAAAAATCTGTCGGCGGCTCAGAATCCCAGTGAATGTGTCTGATGCACCGGATCTATGTACCTTTAGCTTGCTTTCCACTTATTCAGAAGGCCCCCTCCATATTGGAATCACGACCTCAGGACGGGGGTGCAAGTTGGCGTCTCGATTAAAGAGAGAAATATCAGCTTCCCTTCCACCTAACCTTGGGTCTGCTATAGATAAGCTCGGAGCAGTTCGAAAACGCCTGTGGAAAGAGGATTTCGCCGCTGGTCTTTGTGATGTGACATTAGATGTCGATGAAGATGACTCGACTGGCCAAAAGCACACATTCAACACATTGGTAACAGAGGACGACGTCAACACCGCCAAAACCCGGCGCATGCGTTGGCTCTCCCAGATCTGCGAGTATTGGCCTCTGCGCAAGCTTGCGTCGATTACCGATTCGGACATCGAATCAATTCTCCAGGCGTACAGCGCAGGAAAGGAGAACATCACCGATACTAATAGTATTCAGTTTTCCGAGAAGAGAGGGAAAATCGTTTTGGCAGGCTCAGGACCTGGCCACCCGGATCTCCTCACTCGCGCAACATATAAAGCCATCCAGAATGCCGATATAATCCTGGCGGATAAACTCGTACCTGCGCCGGTTTTGGAACTGATTCCACGCAGGACGGAGGTCCATATTGCGCGCAAGTTTCCAGGCAATGCTGATCATGCCCAGGAGGAGTTCCTGCGAATGGGCCTGGAAGCTTTGCAAAAAGGTCGCGAGGTGCTTCGTTTGAAGCAGGGCGATCCATACCTTTACGGACGTGGGGGGGAAGAGTTCGAGTTTTTCCGCGCTGAAGGATATACACCTGTCGTCTTACCTGGCATTACTAGCGCATTGAGTGCCCCCCTATTTGCCGAGATCCCTGCGACTCATCGCGGGGTGTCCGATCAGGTCCTGGTGTGTACCGGCACTGGAAGGAAAGGCGCAGCACCGGAGCCTCCGACATATGTACCTACGCAGACGGTTGTGTTTTTGATGGCTTTGCACCGCCTCTCCTCCCTCGTTGAGACACTGACCGCTCCACCCGCGGAAGGCGAACCTTCTTCTTCTCCCTCCTCTCGAACACTCTGGCCAAAGGATACGCCATGTGCCATTATCGAGCGTGCTTCATGCAGTGACCAGCGGGTGATCCGTTCCACGCTGGAGCATGTTTGTCAAGCATTTGAAGCTGAGGGATCCCGACCACCTGGGCTACTTGTGGTCGGAGCCAGCTGCCATATTCTCCATAAGCCAGATGGCCAGAAATGGATTGTTGAAGAGGGATTTCGCGGACTCGACGAGCTGCAGAGCACGACAAATGCACCACCGATGCTGAGTGAAACAGCATAGAGTCATGATGCCATGCTTTTCAAAACGACGGCGTTGGATATGATACCCACATAGATATGTTGATTAGAAAGAAATGTATATAATCGAATTAAAACTCTCAATACTCGAGGTTATGAATGGTGAACTCCTGGTAGATTTATGTCGAAATCGAACTATATAATAGTAGGAAAGCGAAAAGCAAGTCACGGGTTTCGCCGACGCCAAGACTGTTGCCTCCTGTTATCAAACATCAACGCCAGTTACTGTCTTTCATCAAACAATCATCACTCCAGACTGGCTGCGTGTTCGGCATGTCTTCAAAGCCAAGAATATATCTCTCCAATGGAGAGATCCTCCAAAAGTAGGAAGAAGCATCCCTTGACCACCCTTTAAACCAGCAGCGCCAATCGCTAACCAAAATGTCTCCATGTATGTGCAGTCCACCGATCTCTGTCCGCATAAGGCGCTTCTTTGAGAGCCTCTACCTTATCCTGGGTCTCTATTTCACCAGCTTCTTTACGGTATGTTTGCGCAAGTGTTGATTTGATTTTGCACGATATTCAACCTTGTCTCTCCGAAACTATCTTGTGGGACTTGTTATGCTGACAGCTCTATTCCTAGCTTGACGCATACACTGCTGCTCAGAACTCGCCCTTCAACGTTGCCAATCCGACCAACAGATCCAACACCCGCGCCCGTTGGGTAGGACCTTCTGGACCCGGAGGTGGTAATGGTGGAGGTGGAGGTGGAGGAGACGGTGGTCCACCAAGACCACCGAGGAGGATTGGCCGGGTGGATGATATTCGAGGTCCAGAGTGCAAAAGTTGCCGTTAAGAAATGATGAAAAAAGACTGGTGTTGAGGTCTCTTTCACTTGATTCCCCGTGCTAGATTCAACAAGGGGCCTCTGTCTATTGCTTGCGCAGAGGGTTGGTGGGGTAAATTGAAGAATTTGGAATACCAACCATGCAAGACAAATCCTATTCTATAATATCTTGGCTTTGCTCGATTGCGTTGCCTTTTCTTGAACCTATCGCATCATGCCTATCCTATAACTCCTAATCACGAGATGCTGAGGGCGGCTCGAGTGATTCATCGTTGCTATGCATATGGTTTATGACCCATCCCCAGATTTCTACCAATTACTCATCGGCGGTTAGCGCTCTTTACAGCAAGTTCCTGATGCCAATAGCTTGGTAGGTATATATGCATACTCTGGCTTTTGATATCATCACGTGATTCTGGTTTCTCCCCGCACGAGGAGGGGTATAAAACTTTACGAATGTACATCTCTCATCAAAGCCCGCATCTGCTGAAGTGTGGAACTGTCCAGTGCTAGGTATCAGAGTACCGGGTTGGCCTGAGCTTTGGTGATTGACTTGCATCGACACTTTCTCTCTTGAGTCATCTAGGTTCGCCAAACCCAGTATACTAAGCGCTAATCAATACAAGCACGACTGCATCATGTCTACCCCAGGGAGCAATGCTGAGTGGGAGACGCTGATATCCAAAGTCGCGGAAACGCTTGAAAACACCCGACTGGAGCAGCGGACGTCAGTGACCTCGAACCTCAACCGCACAATTGATCATACACAGTTGGCCCTGGCAGCGACAGAAGAGCAGATCGATGAGCTGTGCGCACAAGCTTTGAAATACCAGTTCGTCACAGTTTGTGTACGCTTAAAACACGTCAAACAGGCGGCTGAGAGGCTCCGCGCAGCACCTGACGTGGGTGTGGCCTGTGTTGTGGGATTCCACGAGGGCATGTACGAGACATTGGAGAAAGAACAGGAGGCCCGAGCTGCTGTTGAGCTAGGTGCTACAGAGCTCGACATGGTCCTGAAGTACCCTTTGCTGAAGAACAGACAATACACGGATATATATGAGGATGTGATTGGTGTGCGCAACGCCGCTCCTGCCCCGGTTCTGCTGAAAGTTATCCTGGAGACTTCACAGTTAAGTCGGGAGGAAATCATTGCTGGATCGGTGATCTCTTGTCTTGCAGGAGCGGATTACATCAAGACCAGCACTGGATTTCAGGGTGGAGGCGCAACGGTTGAAAATGTGGCATTGATGTCCCAGATAGCTGGTTTGCTTGGTAAGGGGTGCAAAGTGAAGGCCAGTGGCGGTATTCGGTCAGCAGCGGACTGTGTCAAGATGCTCCAGGCGGGAGCTGACAGGATTGGCGCCAGTTCAGGGGTGAAGATTATCCAAGAGGTGAATGGAGAAGAGCAGAGCGAACCAGGAGTTGCATCTGGCGCGTACTAAATGCAGCAAATCCTTTTCATTTGGAGCTCATCTGATATGTTATATACCCAATACTACTCTGTAGTGTTCGCCTCTGGACTTGCTGTCAAAGATTTGTATCTAGATCTGATAACATTGAGAAACTCACAAACATATATCGTTAATTAATAAGTGGAAGTCTTTAATGAACTTTAGTTTCCTCCAGGCATACAAGCCTCATTTGTATATAACAGCTCAAACCTTACACCAAAGGCGAGAGAGCCCGTGTATAAGTAGATCAAGATGAAAAAGTAAAAGTAAAACGTGTATTCTTCATACATGTCAAAGGAAGAGCCAACATGCAAAGACATGCTCCAAAATCCAATCTGTTCAATCTCCTAACCCATGCACCACCAAGCGCCCCCGTGTAAGAAATCGGCGATTTATCAAGCCTATTACGATCATCGACGATTCATTTTTTGACGCCTTTCGTCATCCTCTTGAACTGAACTCTCCATTCGATGGCCAGTGTCTTGATTGCTTTCAAGCTTAGGGATCAGGTGTCGTTTGTTCGAAAGGATTATTCTTCCGACAGCCACCGGAAGCCTTCGTCCCAGACAGACAAGCAGAATTACCCATGATAAACAGGGTGTCTATTATTACCTTACCTAGGTAGGCTTCACAAGTCATTAATTCTTCGGTGGTTGACTGTACTCGTTGATGAAGGGATCCTCCAACTAACTACCACCATTACCATTAGGTAGCTTCCAAGCTTGCTTCACTCCGCCATCTCCTCTCGTTCACAGGTCACAAACCTCCCTCCAACAGGTGAGATCAGATTCTCAACCTTCTCTCTCCTTTTACTAAATGCATCAGTCAACCTCAGTTGCAACCCCTCCTTCATTCCTCGAAAGGCACGCCCGTCTCGAATAACCCCCGAAGCCCAGACTGGAACCGGAACCGGACCTGGAAGGATTCCATCTCTCCCATTACCAGCCTGCTAGGGATATTAAAAAAAGCTCCTACTACGGAGTACTACTCTATGAATCCAAGGAAGAGCAGGCAGGTAGCTAGCAGAATGTGCCATGACCTAGCTGTTTCAACGATAATCCTTCGAACAGGTCTGAATTAGAACCGGTTTTTGCTCTCTCTCTCTCTCTCTCTCTCTCTCTCTCTTTTATTTTGCGCTCGCGGTATCCTGTCTTAGCTGAGTACGAGGCACTAACTTCCACTGGTATTATTATTTCCATGTCTTCAGCAACGATAGATACACACACTAATAAACCTGTTTTGGTTCATGGTGGAAGGTGGTGGAGATGCATCGCATCAGTCATATCAATGACGTTTACGAAGTGAACTGTATCACACTCATACACGTACATATGCACATGTATATGCACAGTGCCCTGACATTTTCAAACACATTGGAATGTCATCATTACTTGTTAGTTAACTACTACTGTAGTTAGTTAATGGTTGATCAAACATGCCCCTAGGGTTTTGAGACATGTCAGGAATCTGTGCTCCTCCTGCAGCTTAATTTTATTTTATTTTATTTTATTTTTCGTGCTAGTCCTTGAGGTAGAGTCTAGATAGAATTCTAATGCACCAGAGTAAAATGCCAGGTGATTGCTAGGCTAGGTATTACCTGCTAACTAACTATAGTATTTGCCCTGGGTTTGTGCTGGAGAGGTATGGTTACTGCCATGGAATAATCCCTGCGGAGAATGAAGGAATGAAGATTGTGAGATAGGTCTATTTGATTCTTCGACCCTCACTCGTATTGTTTAATCGTTTGCCTAGTTCATATGCTAGTTCCATAGTCCTTTTTCGGACGTCTATTATTCAACCCGGAACTTTTGAGAAGCCCATTTGCGCCGTTCCAAGAATGTAACCCAAGAATCCCAAAAATGATGCTACTGCAAGTCCCGCGAAAATTGAAGCCCGCCGCTCGGAAATATTATGACAAGTAGAAACATGGTAGGAGAAAGAAAGAGAAATGCGGAACGAAGCAATTCGCGGAGAAAGGATCATGGCTCGTCGCTGCTTTGATCATCGCTGTCACTCGTCTCGGGGCCCGCTTCCGCCTCCATCCGTCGAAGAACGGCATCCCCATTCTTACCCTTCTTCTCCGAGGCAAACCAGGCTTCTCGTTGTTGGGTTGCACGCTCTTCCTTGCGCGCTTGCCGCTGGATTTTTTCGCGCTGAGACTGCTCCTGTTTCCCATGGAGTTCGCTGATATAATCGTGAAGGTTGGCTAGATCAGAGCGGAGCTTGGTGACCTCGTCCGTGGTAGCTTGGCGTGCAGTATCGCTAACCGATGATTTCTGCTTCAAGGTGGCGAGTTCGCGCTCCAACGACGCGATCTGGGCATCTTTGGCAGAGGTGTCAACCTCCATGGCTAGATTCAGGGATTGAGTGGGGGCGCCATTACTCCCTGCGGTCTGACCTAGAGCGGATAGATCGGCTAGACCTTGGTCTAACATGGACGTCGGGAAATAAGGATGAGCCGCCGCCTCTGCAAACCAGGTGGATTTTGCACGCGCGTCCCGGGATGCAGATGCAGATGGGGGAAGAAGGTGGGTGCTAAATTCGTAATCGACTGGGACTGCGCCCGCGGCGTGTGAGTTTTCCAAAAGGGTATGGTCATATCGGGGTTTGACTATCGTGTGAGCTATTCTTTTCAAACTAGAAGAGGCCTGCTGATGTAGACCGCTGAGCGGAAGCATTAACAGGTTTGTAATGGGATGAGTCTGGTCGGCCACTGTCGCGGCATATTTCCTTCTTCCAACATTCCAGGAATAAACCTTGCCGTTCTCGTGGCCAGATAGTAGCGTCATTCCATCGTACGAGAGTGTCAACGTGTGAGCTGCGCCGCTGTCAGAGGAAGGTGGCAGCCATCGATCTTCGGTGGGCGGTTGAGAGGGCGTAGCCTGGAGTGATGCGTCATGAAGAGGATGCTGAATGGATTGATCCTTGTAGAAGTCGACTGCCTGAACACTGCCATCAGTGTATCCTACATAAAAGGCTCTGTCGACTGGGTCGAGAGTGAGGGAGACAGCGCTGAAAGGCAGGAGGAAGGTTCGTAAAACATGCCCGGTACGATAGTCCCAGGCAATGGCAGTATTGTCTTGAGCCACGGAAACAGCAATATTGTATCGACCGGAACTGTGCCCCACCGCGATTGCGCTGATGGCAGCGCGGTGGTTCGAGAAGGTCCGAATGGGCGAGTTCGGCGGTTGTCGATCGCGACCAGATGGAGGCTTCGTGAAGGATAGAAGATCAACCAAGGACCAGACGTGAATGCTGGCATCTGATGAACCCGAAAGAATAAAGTTGGAGCTGGGATCAACCACAAGAGCAGTTACGGGCCGCAGATGCGATGCTGTCGTTGCGACTTGGCGTCCTGTGCAGACCTTTTGAAACACTGTCAGTCGTCTTCCAAGAACTCCCATGTTATGAATTCTGCTATTATAGATCGCAGTGTAATTAGACCCACCTCCCACAGTATTAAACGGCCACCTTCGGTTCCCAAAACCAAGATATCGCCATTCTTAGACCCCGCTAAGGCAATACTCCGAATGCGCTCAGGAAACGGAATGGTGGCTTCCTGGTTTCCTTTTTCCCTGCTATAGACATGCACAATAGCCTTTTCGGACTGAGCCGCGAAAATATGCGCCGGGCTTACAGCCAAACAATTTGGAGCGGTCGAGCTCTTCTTGAAGGTTGAGCGCAAGCTTGACGACGGCTGGAATTCATGAAGACAAATCCCTACATCTCTCAGTGATGCTGCAGAGGGGGTTTTTGCGGACGCTAAGGTCGACGCGATGAAGCATTCTGAGAGCATGAGGAGCTATGAAGAACGATCTGGAGTTCAATTGTTCCACAGCAAGAGTCGATCAAAATTCATCCCAACTTGATATCACTATTTTTTTTTTCTGCGAATGGAGGCAGTTTGCACTGTTTGTATCAGATCACATGACTTGTGTCGATTTATGAAGAGCCCGAAATTATTCAATGCAGCTCTCGCGATTAACCATCAACCATCAATCATCAACCCTCGGGCAAGGAAGGTCGCGCTTCTTTCGGTTTTTTCTTTTCTTTTTCGGATCCCTCGACTCCTTCATTTCCAAACTGCGAACTAACTCTATCGGACTAGCTTCAGGTGTTCTATGTTGAGGAGCACTACCCCCGGTGGCCCGAACGACCACCGCCAACGATGTATCGCCATCCTCAAGAACTTGGCTTGCATCAAGCAATTGGACGCCTTTTAGGTGGAATTTAAGCCTTGTTGATAGTACACTTCAAATCTCCGCCGCCGGAACTCAGTTGGAATTCTTGCACATGCTGGCGAAAATTGCGGTCCTCGCCAAATGGGCCTAACCCACTGCACCCACAGCAACCGAAGCAAGGGGCTCTTTCTAGGGGCTGCACCTTTAGATTGCCCGGTGCAACAGCTCTATTCGACGAGGCAATTGTGACGTCTGCTCATAATGTTCTCGACAGGGGCCCTCCCTCTCTATTGCCTGCTTTCTGCATGTCTCATTCCTTCTCTAATGACGAAATGCAGAGTCCCTGAAAAGCGGATCGTCCACGTTGTGGTGCGGCGCACTTTGCAGATTCTGCCCAATAATCTAACCTCGTTGCTGGATCTCACCTCTCTCTGGCATGCAAGGATAGTGGTGTAGTGGCCCTTTACACTTGGTTCAAGTTCCAGAGTCTAAGATAACCCCTCTGGAAGGGGCAGAGGGACATGCCCGTTGTCCGGCGCTCTGTCACCGCAAGGCAGCCAAGGGATGTTTGGGAGCCCATCCTGTTTCGTAGTATAAGGCCCTGTTGGCCGCTTTCTTGACTGTGGCGCCCTGGTTCTTTTTGTTTTGTTTTCCCTCTTGCCCTGCCCCATCACCAGTCTAAAAGTGGTTCTCACTTGTTGTACCACCGAACTTTTTGTCGAGTTAACCATGTCCTCCATGGACTGCGAAATCGCAAAGGTGCAATTCAAATCACACCATAACCACGATCGTCATAACACCATGGCTACAAGCCCTGTTCCGACATATGTAAACAGAAGCGCTCCGACGTATAGTATAACAGCTCAAGACCCAGCATCCCATGGCAATAGCCTAGCATCTCCACGCTACTCTCCAAACGTCCAGCCCTGGAGGAGACAACAAGCCCAGAGTTCACTATCCTTCATCCCATCAACCTCCCCTCGCTCCGAACAATCCGAGTATACCACCTCGCAACTGAAGCACTCTAAAGATCGTGGTGCCGCGTGTGTTTCGCCTTTTCGCTCCGTTCGCCGGATGAAGGAGCCTTTCCAGCTCCGTCTGCCCGCGTCTCCAACTTCTGAAAACAACCCTAGCTTTTCCAAGGAATCCCGGGTTACTCCAGTACCATCTCAGACCCGGACATTACGAACATGGCGCTCAGACCAGAACCTCGTGTCTTCCAGTCTAGAGACATTTGGACTCCTCCCTAGTCCCCCACTGTCTGATACTCGCGCATCCCAACCGTCCCCATCATCTACATACTTCTCATTGAAAGCTGGATCCGAGTTGGATAACGATCAAGACCAATCCAAAGAATGTATTTGCTTTCCCGGAGCACAGTCCTGTGGTATCTGCGACCCACGCAGCCATGCAACCGAAGTCGATGATCGGAATAACTCATTTCGGACCACCAATGTGCATATGGCACATTCGAATCTTGTGAGGCAGTGGGAAAGCGATGATGGGGAATTGACCCCCGCGTTGACGGAGTCGGAGCGCATGTCCTCACCCGCAACCTACTCGGATCTAGGGTCGGTAGGCAAGAGAAATTTCTCGGGCTTCTCTGCTGTAACTCAGCGAAGTAGATCGGGGACCGTGTCGAGCGAGGGCAGCTGGGTGCCGAGCAGTCTTTCATACTGTGAAACATGGCTCCAAGGCGCTCCCCCTATGGAGGGTACAGGAGACAAAAGTGGGAAATCGAATGGGTTTAACCGAAGGAAGTTTCAGATAGTTCAAAAGAGCCCTCTTATCCCCGACTGGAAACGCGGACCGAATGATGTGGTAAGTCAATTTTATGTCAACACACACCACACACACACACACTAATTGCATTGCTTGTACTAGATGTTTGCGGTAGCCAGTAAAACAAAGCCAAAGCTTGTGGATATCTCGCGACAATCCTCACCGGCTATGAGCTACTCACTACCCACTCCAATCCATGTGGTACCCTCGACGCCCGATCAACCCTTACCAGAAATATCGGCTTTCAGCCCTGATACGCCCCTTGAGCTGTCAGATAGTGGATATGTCACCCACAATCCCACATATTCTCCAGCAGACCCTAGTAGGGATAAGGATGACGAGTATACCGACTCGAGTTCCGTGGGTTCAAGAAGTGCCAGTGACAACGTTGTCTGCGACAAGGTACCGCCGAGTACTGAGCGCCCGAAACCACCTTCAATACCCGATATAGCACCCAGAGTTATTTCCTCACCGACGATGCAAGTGTCTTCAGGCGGTTCAAACAAACCAGACCAGGAAGAACTGGAGAAGTGGTGGGATCACGAATGGACCGTTGACCAGCTTGAGCATTCCGTTAAAGATTTCCCTCGCAATAAGCTCCGGCTTACGTCGCCAGTGATCATGTTTCTTCGCCATAGCCATGAGAAGGCTCTCATGCGACCCTTTCGTCAGATATTCCCCGATGCCCCCGAGAATCTGCTTGATTCTCTCTGTGCCGTTTTGATAGCACGAAACTACGTTATCTCCCTGCCGTCCCACAGCCGCCGAACTATCAATCTGCCAGCTCGGTCTCACTTTTCCAAACTCGACCCTGTCCCTGAGAAGGCCTCCTCCATTCTGGGGATGAAATACGGCCAGTCCTCATCCTCTCGGATCCGAGACCGGGTTCTCGGGTCGCGAAGCGACGAACTTCGCAAACATCTGGATCGAATTGTCGAGGGTCTTCTTTTTGAGATCTGCGGACCGACCAACGAAGCCTTGAAATCCGCCGTCCTTGTTCTGATCCAGGTCCTTGAAGCCAAGGCATAATAATACTCATTACCAATCCCTCCAGCAGTCTATTCCTATCCATTCTTTCCTTTTGACAAGGCCATTCCATATTCATTTATTGCTGTCTGTTTCCTTTTCCTTTCCGCCCTAGATTGTGTAGATCTCAATCATTGTGGCAAGCATATCCCATCATTTTCTTTGCATCTCATCGCATAGACACTCGTTGTTATTGTCTCTCCTTGTCTCTTTTCCTCGCACCCACCCATACGTTCACTCTGTCCTGGCCCGGGTCTATGTGACCGGAGGATACTCTCCATTTCCTTTGTACCATGTCTACTAAGTAGGCTTTGTTCTGAGCTACTGTGGTTTATATATAATTGTGCAGTCAATCCTTGAACAGCTGATAGAATAATGTAATGATACCCTATTTCACTCATCCAGCTCATTTTGGAGAAATTCTCTCGCAGCCCAAATAATAATCCATCGTCATTTCTTACCAAGTGTTTCGTCGGGTATCTTAAGACCAGTTCCATTTTTCTGACCAAGACAACACGAGTGATCTTAAATTTTCAGCATTTATTGGTGTATGCTAAGCGCTTACATGCATGTCGGGAAGTATCCATACTCAAAGTGTCTAGAATATTTTCATGTTTAGGTAGTAAAGGCACGGAGTTACCCTGCATAGACCACTAATGCTGATACGAGTTTTGTCAGTATAAACCATCAGCTTCACGGTGTCAAGCTGGTTGTCTCCGATGAGATGGTACAAGAAGGTGCTTCTAGTGTCATTTCTTGTTTGTAATGGTACTGTGGACTTGTCTGATGCAATTGTGAAAGGTGCCCGCGTGCCTTGTCATCATCAGCTCAATGCATGAATCGAGCGATGACCTATCCGTCGATTAACATCTTTTCTGGTAGTTCCTCAGAACAGAGTGGGTTGAACTCACAGGGAAACGTCCAGATTAAACGTCTCGGGTCTCGATTCACCACTGCAGCATGGTCTAAATTGCCTTGATCCTTCTTTAAGGACGACGACCTCAACATGAGAAGATCGTTATGTTCCATGACAATGACCCTTGGATGCTCTCACAGGGCCATCTGTGTTATAAATCTGCTAAGTAGTAACTATTAACTAACTATATATATGAGACTCTTAAAGAGTCCAATTTAGCATAGTTCCCAATCCAGTTTAGGCTGATTCTGCTGAGTCAGCGGCTTGTCGATCCTCCGATAATCTTTCTTTCCCGCGGGAATACAAACTTTCTACCACCAACGCTGGAAGTTGAAGCAATTTAATCACACAATGGCCGCGGCTTCGACAAACCGACTGAGGATTCTATGCTCCTCCTCGAGGGCTAAGGTCTCTCAATCGGGATCCCTTTTCTACATCGGTTCTCGTGGCTACGCAACCACCGACCCCTCTCCGTCGGCCACTGGCGCCGCCGCCGCCGCCGCCGCTACAGCAGCCCCGACAGCTCGCAGACGGACAACATTCAAGGATAAGCTGAACGCTGGGCCTTCCTTTTCGGATTTTGTCTCCGGAGGTAACGACGATGCGCCCCTGGATCCGTCCGAAGCGTACGCCCTTAAGACGGCCATGGTTGGCCCCGCCGGGCGCAAGAAGGAAATGACCCGTTTACCGTCGTGGTTGAAGACGCCGATTCCGGACTCGAAGAACTACCAGCGCTTGAAGAAGGATCTTCGCGGGTTGAATCTACATACTGTTTGCGAGGAGGCACGGTGTCCCAATATCTCTGATTGCTGGGGTGGAGACGACAAGTCCGCTGCGACGGCTACTATCATGCTCATGGGTGATACTTGTACTCGTGGTTGTCGGTTCTGCAGCGTGAAGACATCCCGAACACCGGCTCCGCTTGACCCGCACGAACCGGAGAACACAGCCGAGGCGATCTCGAGATGGGGCCTTGGATATGTGGTGTTAACGAGTGTGGACCGTGATGACCTGGCCGATGGCGGAGCTCGCCATTTCGCTGAGACGGTCATTAAGATTAAACAAAAGGCGCCGAGTATGTTGGTCGAGTGTTTGACTGGTGATTACGCCGGCGATTTGGATATGGTTGCCCTCGTGGCGAAGTCCGGGTTGGATGTGTACGCGCATAATGTCGAGACCGTTGAGGCTCTGACACCGCACGTGCGTGACCGCCGCGCCACCTTCCAGCAGTCCATCCGTGTTCTCGATGCTGCGAAAAAGGCCCAGCCGTCGTTGATCACGAAAACCTCTCTGATGCTGGGCCTCGGTGAGACTGACGAGCAGCTCTGGGATGCTTTACGCCAGCTCCGTGCCGTGAACGTCGATGTTGTTACATTCGGTCAGTACATGCGCCCGACCAAGCGGCATATGGCTGTCCATGAATACGTTACCCCAGACCAATTTGAGTTGTGGCGCCAGCGTGCGCTGGAAATGGGCTTCCTGTACTGTGCTTCCGGCCCCCTGGTTCGGAGTAGCTACAAGGCCGGTGAAGCATTTATTGAAAATGTTCTCAAGAAGAGGCGCGCTGGAAATCCGGGAGCTGTGGGCGAGAAGCCGGTTTCTGTTGACGAAGCAACACGTTGATCTTCTCCTAAAATATTTTGCCCTATTTTCAACATGTTTCTCTCTCTTTTGGCGCCGGGTGACAATTGGCATTTGTAACCGTACATTATTATTATTATTATTATTATTTTCAGGGTGTTTTGTTCACAAGCGAATTCGGACTTCATTATTCTAGACGTTCCCTTTACAACTACCGAAACTCCAGCGTAGAGCAAAAACCAATAGCATTTTTAGTTCAACAGATAGATTTATTCAATGAGACGAGTATCATAAATACATACATACATATATATATATATATATATCATTTAATCAGAGGCTCGCTTATGTACCTTTATGTTCCGTCAACTACACCTACGTCCGGACAGAATGTTACCATATACGTTTCCATGCCTGGTTAGTCGTGGTTGAATCATAACGGCGACAATCGCATATTCGAAAGTCCTGGGACTCGAACCAAGAATGGAAATAAAAATCTGGAAATATGTATAATAAAACCTTGTAGGACCCGCTGACAAGTCGTTGAAGCAAAAAGGTCTGCGCCGGGCGAGAGACCAAGGAATAACCACCGGGAAAGGTAGGGTTTGATAGCTCCGTGCTCTAGAGAGAAGTCATAAGAAGCCATGCATTTTTTTTTTTTTTTTCATTTTTGCATGCAGACTAGACAATGAGCTCCTCAACTTCTTCCTGAGTCATACCAATGAGGTAGAGAACGTCGACAAGGCTCTCCCCATTGAGACGGGTTGGAGCCTCGAGTTGAACCTTGCTCTTGGCGCGCCAGGCCACTCCAAGCCCAGCGGCGTGGAGCATGAGAAGGTCATTGGCACCGTCACCAACGGACACCGTCTGCGAGATGTCGATTTTGTGATCTGCAGCGATAGAGTAGAGTAAAGCGCGTTTCTGATTGGCGTCAATGATGGGATATGAATCGACTAGTCGCCCTGTTAGGGTTTGCGATGTGGGGTCAATTTCCAGCTGTAACACAGGAAATCGAAGCAATTAGTACTGTCCAATGATAGTCCGGAATTAGATGGGGCGCAAGGCTTAGCACGTACATGATTAGCATGGGCGTAGTCAATACCAAGCTCGCCGGCCAACCATTCCGCAAGAGGCTGGAACCCTCCGCTCAGAACCGCAAGCTTGCAACCGAGCCTCTTTAGAGCTTTGCATAAGTCCTTTGCGCCGGGGGAGATGGTGATCACGGACTTGAGCTTCTCAAAAACGTCAGCAGGAACTCCCTTCAGCAAGCTGACACGCTCCTTGAGCGATTCCGAGAAGTCAAGCTCGCCATTCATCGCACGGGCGGTGATTTCCTATCCGTATTCAGTGTGAGCGAGACAGAGAGACACTTTAAGACAGGATAGATAAGGCTGACGAACCGAAACTTGCGCCTCAACGCCGATGAATTTCGCAATCTCATCAATCACCTCATTTTGAATCAATGTACTATCCATATCAAACACAACTAGTCGCTTGTGTCTGCGGAATACGCTCTCCTTCTGGAGCACAACCTCTACGTTCCATTCCCTCTCAAATCGCCATATGCTTTCATGCTTGCGAAGGTCAGAAAAGGTGAGATAATCTGGATTTGGAGGCGGCGCAAATGTGACCTCAACAACGCGAGGTTGGTCATGTCGGTCGAGGCAACGGTGGGAGGTGGCCATGCGCTGGTACGGGGTCGGGAGAGATTCAATGACCTGAAGGAAATTGGTCAAGCACATCTGTGAGATATAGGGACCGTACAGATGATCCAACGGCTCGGGTTCCAGTACTGGGGGTTCGCGTGGTATTTTATCCATGTCAAGGGTCGGCGCCGAACCGACGGGAACCATGGGGTGCGGAAGTTTATCGCCAGGGACATGGGTGAATGAATCGGGATGGGGGTGCAGGTGGATTGGATCAGAGGCCTTATAGAATATCGTGGCGACTAGCTTGGGGGTTCCGAGAGGAAGAAGACCTTCCTGGTGGTGGAAGATGCTATGAATGATCCCACTATCCGTCACCCTCTTCGGGTCAGGGCTGATAGGGTTCGCATTGCGTGTGAAGACGGGGAGGCTAGGCTCTTCAGCGTTCTCGAGGACATTGCCTATGGTTTGGTTGTAGGGAACCGACGGTTTATATTGCTGATGATCATGGATGAACGAGCTGCTCGAGAAGTTTTGTTGCAAAACTGGCCGGGTAGGGCGGGCCCCAGAGGGGGGGTTTGGTGTTGACATTTCGCAGGAAAAAGAAGGAGAAGCGTGGGAAGCTAAAAAGGGTCGAAGGAGGGAAAAGAGCTAAACTCTTGATAATTCAGGATTCTCAGCAATCAACGGAACCCGCCCAAGGGGAACTGATCCCTCCGATAGCACGAGATGTAGATTGAGAGCGACGAAATTCGTGACTTCGACAGCCCCAAACGGCGTTGAGATGCGGGATGTCCTGCATCGATCGACAGCACGTGGTTTCCCTGGATGCCTGAGGCGCCCATCACATGATTTGATATGATTTCTGCCGGGCGGTGAAGTTCTTCCGACTGTGGGGCATCGTGGAACTTGCAAGTTTAGTCTTCAGCCTTCCTCTATCCTGATGGACAGTCGTTACTGCATGACATACGATAATACTGCTACTCACTATGTAGTAAGGATGAAAATGATTAATCTTCACAATAATCTATGTATGTGCTCCTCTTGCAGGTTCCTACGGTTTGGTTACTAATGAGATGGAATAGTCTGACATCAGAACGCCTCTTCAGAACAAAAACATCATCGATGACTACCAAATTCCAAATTTACTAGGGAAGAAGAACGATTTCTAATCGATCTTGAGCTTGCTTCAGATGATGTTATTATCCGCCCAAATATTCTCCGGGTTTCCACCCGTCAAGGAACCCGTCCAAGATGAGTGGATTTATCATCCACTGTCAACAAAGTGTAGCTGAGACAAGCCTGTTCGGGAGGGCGCCAGAGACCCAAAACGCAAGTATTGCGTGATTTCAGGCCAACATGAGGGAATCAAATTTTTCATCATGGTCCCTAGAAATGGCAGGCGGTCACGGGCGATGTCGTGCTCACAGCCGGCAGAATCAGTCGGCAATCTATGAGGGATGAAAGCAGAAAGAAACACGCACCCATTGCCGATAATATTGTGACTGCCCGTGTCGGCAAGTTTTCTATATCAGACGGGCCTCCTGCATCTTACAGCTTTGCATCTTCCCCGCCTCACTCTCCCATCCTCCACCCCTTCCCATACATTGACTGTATACAATAACATTCTCGATTACTGCAGTCAAAATGCCCGCCAAGATGCACAGCAACTATCCCTCTGATTCCGAGACTGTGGATCTCAGGGATTCGACAGAGTCTGGCTATGTCAGTGGTAGCTCAAGTGATGATTATCTGCCCGAGATTGTCTTCACCAAGCCACATCTTCAGTTCCTTAACCGTCAGCTACAATTCCTCGAACCTCAGGGTGAGTGTCCTCTTCTTCCATCCTGTCTACTTGAAACATGGACTGACTTGGCACCCTTCAGATGTCCTGAGATGGTGTGTCACCTCGCTTCCTAATCTCTATCAGACCACCGCTTTTGGCTTGACGGGTTTGGTGATCATGGATATGCTCTCTAAGCTCTCCATCCCTCGCCCTCAAATGGTCAACCTCGTCTTCCTGGACACCCTGCACCATTTCCCAGAAACCCTCGCCCTGGTCGACAAGGTTCGCAAGAGGTACCCTATGCAGCATATCCATGTCTACAAGCCCAAGGGTGTTGAGACAGAGGAAGAATTTGCTAAGAAGCACGGTCCCCGTCTCTGGGAAACGAATGATCAGCTCTACGACTGGATTGCCAAGGTTGAGCCCGCTCAACGTGCTTACCGTGATCTCAACGTTCACGCTGTTCTAACCGGCCGCCGACGCAGCCAGGGTGGCAAGCGTGGAGACCTGGATATCATCGAGGTTGACGAGGCTGGCCTTATCAAGATCAACCCCCTCGCCAACTGGAACTTCGATCAAGTCAAGCAGTATGTCAAGGAAAACGACCTGCCCTACAACGAACTGCTCGACCGTGGCTACAAGAGTGTTGGTGACTACCACTCCACTCAACCCGTCAAGGAGAATGAGGATGAGCGTTCTGGTCGCTGGAAGGGCCAGGCAAAGACCGAGTGTGGCATCCACAACCCGAGATCAAAGTATGCTCAGTACTTGATGGACATGGAACGCAAGCGACAGGAAGAAGCTTTGTCTCAGGCATTGCAGAACCAGCTCACTACTGCCCCATGAGCGGTTTCCATCTCTTCCAGTTTACTTGCATTTGTCTCGGCGTCTAAATATTGGTTCATTCACTTCAGCGGAGTTTTACACAGCCTGTTGGTATTCTTTTTTTTTTTTTCTTGGTGGACCCAACCCCAGATAATGTCGTCATGATTGTTTTGTTTTGCGAAAAGAATTACTTTACCGCTGATGGTTTTCCCGGGCCAAAAGCATTTTCACGCCAACCCCTCTTCCACTGGAAGTCTGCACAGAAAGGATTGGCCAAGCTTCAATATGGACGTATAGTCCTGTATTTAATGAATAGAATGATAGAAGTGGTTAGATTTTTATGGACTAATTTTTTTTTTTCCCCTTTCAATTTACAGTAAACTTCTGCCACAATTGTGGTGCGACTAGAGGAGGATGGCTTTCCACGGGTTTCTTAATCGCAAAAATATTCTAGGTATCCCCAACCCAATTAGAGCTGCAGGGCATAAGCAACCCTCCAACATCACCCATAGCCAGCTCCGATGACGGACACCGCTTCTCCCCCTTACGGATGAAAACTTGGTTCGTTTCTCGAGGAAACGACGGCTATGACCTCACTAACCCAACCCGCTCTAACACCCTTCCAACCTCCGTAGTCGGATAGATTAATCATCTCCGAGGGGAATTAGTTATGTAACTCCTACTAGTACCTAATTGACTGTCTGCCTAGTGCCTACAGCGCTAAGTGGACAGACAGTGAGACACTAGGTGAATGGAAATCGAACACCGGAACAACTACCTACCTAGGTACGGAGTACGGAGTACCAACAATTACAGTACGAAAAACCCTAACGCCGAAACAGAGAAAAAAAAAAGAAAAAAAAAAAAAAAAAAAAGGTAAGCACGCCAGGTTCTGCCTAAATCAAAATGTCGCAATTCTCGGAAGCAGAGAGTGATTCATGGAATAAAATGATGTAAATTATTCACTTATTCTGGAATAATAATTTTTTTTTTTCGGCGCTAAAGGTGATACCGAACTGTCCTCTGTACTCTGATCTGCCCGGTACGACAATAGGTAGAACTTCCCGATCGTGGGATGTACGTCGGAAGGTGGCGGAGATCTAATCTTATCTTATCGATCTTATCAACTAGTGTGGATCTTATCTGAGCTGGAGTTTAGAAATTGAGACATGTCAGAGTTTGGTGGGGTTGTGGGTGGAAAGCTTCGATCGATGTACCTACCGTACATACCTTAGGTACCTACTACTTAACTAGCACTTAGCACTTAGTATATCGCCGCAAAGTATACGGGAGCTAGGTATATTCATAAATGAAATGGCAGATAGGTTGGGAAGGGTCTACTTTTTTATTTTTATTTTTTTTTTTTAGATTTACTATGCTTTCTAAATGCTTGTTTGGCTTTTATTTTGCTTGCCCTTGTTACCAAGGTGGCTGTCCTGGCTGTGTGCGGACGGCAAAAAGAGCTATCATACAAGAGTAGAGAAATGTGGGCGAGTAGAGGAAGGGAAGTAAATTACTTCTATTGTTTGTAGACATACCTTTTCTTTCTTCCATTAGTTGAATTAGGGAAAGTACTTCCCCGCGTTCATACAGGATATTCAGATATACATAGGTGCCCCTGGAATAAATGAATTCTGTTTCTGTTGCAGTAACAGGTGGATAACTTTAAATTAATATTAAAGCAAAGCTGAGCTAGATTTCACTTACATATACTTGCCAAAGTTCACTTTTCGATATCATTATCCAAGGAGAAGCTTCAAGCCTTAAAACGTGTGAGAGCAGGCCCTTACTCCGTAGACATTGACAGGCAGTTTCATAAGTAGCTAGTTAGTTATTCAGGAGAGCTTACAAAGGAGCTACGTCTCGAGTTACATCGGGGTTCCAGTCTGTTTGGGGTAACAATCTCTGGAATTGAGACCCACATACTTCTTGTGTAACAATCAACACTTGTTAAAACCTGAGACCGAATATTTTACAAAAGACCCCTGGAAGTCAATACCTAGATCAGCCACTGGATATTTAAAATTTTAATAGTATTACCACCTATGTTTTAGCCTGGACTGAGGCTGACCGGATGGCTTAAGGCATCCAATCGCGGGGTTTTCTATAGTGGGGTAGGCTAATCCAAAAAGAGACTAGTGAATCACGCAACCCATGTGGAGGATGTCGTGCTAGCACGTGATTCTCTTGCGGGCAGCCATTTCAAGGGAGTTTTTCATGTTTTGCATGGGTTTGGTATTGTTTCAGATTCTATCAGACTTGAGAATATAAATCTAGGTAATTGAAAGATTCAATTGACTGCAGAATTGAGAGGGAACCAGGGGGGGATTTATGAATCCATCAGGCTTCGACCTCCGCCTTGGCAGCTTGGCTTGAATATCAAATTCAAGGAAATTAACCCAAGAATAATCTTCCTCAGCAGAATCCTTATAAAAAAAATAAATAAAATGACGACGACAGTGTCGAGGGAAGAGATAAACAGGGCTTTTGATCTTTCATTTTCTTCGTCTTTTTTTTTTCTTTTCTTTTGGGTAATTTCCCGCCCCTGAAAATCATCAATCATGACTTCATCAAGGGACTTATTTGAGCAACAGAGGCCTATCTCTGGATGTGTATCCCGGAAGATAGAAAGAAGACTGGTTACTCACGGCTGTTTTGCCCTGGTTATTGATCCCAGGAGAAATTGAGTAATTTGCAGGATTATCAGCGGAGGAATATGGGATTCGTATACGTATACCTTGACGAATTGGGAACGTATACTCGAGCATCCTTATAGTCCACAGCCCCTAAATTCCTTGACCAAGTTAATGAATGCACTATACATACAGATTAAAGGGCACATTCAACGTGTTCCTAGGTAGAGATGTATACGTAGACCCAAGACTCAGCTTCTCCACAGCAAGTCTGAAAATCCGACAGTGTAATATGTATTTGGCGGGATGGGGAATTGGCCCCGATGCTTATTATTATAATTATTATTATTACATTACCTGTAATAAAATATTTAACTAAGTTATTCTTCTTTTGAGTCTTTCTAATCTGTCATTCTGTGGTTCCGCTCCGTCACCGTCTGCCCTCGGGCCTTTTCCCTCTCCATCTTTTTTTTTTTTTTTAAACTACGCCTCTTTCCCCTTCGTTCTTCTCGCTCTCTTCCTCCCTCTCTGTCTTCCTCTCATCTCCCTTCTTTTCTTTCCCCCTTTCCCTTCTTCTTGTCTCCCTGCTTTTGTTCTCATATCCTTTAAAAGTATTTACTCATTCACAAAATGGCCAACCCTCCTCACGGTGGTATTCTCAAGGACCTGCTCGCCCGCGATGCTCCCCGCCACGACGAGCTCACCGCTGAGGCGGAAACTCTCCCCGCTATCATCCTGACTGAGCGCCAGCTATGTGATCTCGAACTGATCATGAACGGTGGTTTCTCTCCTCTCGAGGGTATGTTCCAACTGTTCCTTGCGTCATTGTGGCCTGCCTTTACCCCTCACCAGTCCACTTCCTCCGTTCTCGGCTACTAACCACATTCGCTAGGTTTTATGAACCAGAAGGATTACGATGGGTACGCATTATTCTTTCTCTGAGGTCGAATGTCGTGCAGGATATCTCCTAGGACAAGATACCAAAAAATCAAATGACAATGGAGGGGTCTGGAAACCGCCAGGGCACTTGGCTAACTGTGGGGCAATTTCTAGTGTCTGCGCCGACTCCCGTCTCGCGGATGGCAACCTCTTCTCTATGCCCATCACCCTCGATACCTCCAAGGAAGTCATTGAAGAGGCTAAGCTGAAGGCTGGCTCTCGTGTCACTCTTCGTGATTTCCGTGACGACCGCAACCTTGCCATTCTTACCATCGATGACATCTACCGCCCTGACAAGTAAGTTGCTTTTGATTTCTTTCTTTCCTTTTTTTTTTTTTTTTTAACTTGCTTCCCTTGCGAAATTTGAGGGAATTATTTGTTTTCTTGGTCTGGTCTACTCTCTGCTTCAGAAGGATAGGAATGTGGCCAGCATCTGTCGCCCGCGTGAGCCAAGAATCCCGGCGCGGGCAATTTTTTCTTATTCCTACAAGGCACATAAAAGACGCAAATGACTGACGAGATGCTTCGCAATCTAGGGAGAAGGAGGCCAAGCTCGTGTTCGGCGGTGACCCAGAGCATCCCGCTATCAAGTTCCTCAACACCAAGGTTCAGGAATTTTACATTGGTGGAAAGATTCAGGCTATCAACAAGTTGAACCACTATGACTATGTTGGCCTTCGCTGTATGTTTTTTTTTTTACCCCTCCGCCGAGCAAAACCCAAAAAGAACAAGACTGACGCAATCGATCTGTAGACTCCCCCGCTGAACTCCGTGTTCACTTTGACAAGCTCGGCTGGACCCGAGTTGTCGCTTTCCAGACCAGGTTTGTTCTCCGTCGAGATAATTCACATGGCAAAGCAATCCATATTAACTGATTCCCACAGAAACCCCATGCACAGAGCTCACCGTGAGCTGACCGTCCGCGCTGCTCGCGCCCGCCAGGCCAATGTCCTGATCCACCCAGTCGTCGGTCTCACCAAGCCAGGTGACATCGATCACTTCACTCGTGTCCGCGCCTACCAGGCTCTCCTCCCCCGCTACCCCAATGGCATGGCTGTCCTTGGTCTCCTGCCCCTGGCTATGCGTATGGGTGGTCCCCGTGAGGCCATCTGGCACGCCATCATCCGTAAGAACCACGGTGCGACCCACTTTATCGTTGGCCGTGACCACGCTGGTCCTGGTAAGAACTCCAAGGGTGAGGAGTTCTATGGCCCCTACGACGCTCAGCATGCCGTCGAGAAGTACAGAGAGGAGCTCGGTATTGAGGTCGTGGAGTTCCAGCAGGTCACCTACCTCCCCGACACCGATGAGTACAAGCCCAAGGACCAGGTCCCCGCTGGGGTCAAGACCCTTGATATCTCCGGAACTGAACTCCGCAACCGTCTCCGCACTGGCGCTCACATCCCGGAGTGGTTCTCCTACCCCGAGGTTGTCAAGATCCTGCGCGAGTCTAGCCCTCCCCGTGCCACCCAGGGGTTCACCATCTTCCTTACTGGTTACATGAACTCTGGCAAGGACGCTATCGCCCGTGCTCTTCAGGTCACTCTGAACCAGCAGGGTGGACGTTCCGTCACTCTGCTCCTCGGTGACACTGTCCGCCACGAGCTCTCCTCCGAGCTCGGCTTCAGCCGCGAGGACCGCCACACTAACATCCAGCGTATCGCTTTCGTTGCCGCTGAGCTCACCCGCGCTGGTGCCGCCGTTATTGCTGCCCCCATCGCTCCCTACGAGCACTCCCGAAAGGCCGCACGCGAGGCTGTCACTGGCAATGGTGGCAACTTCTTCTTGGTCCACGTCGCTACTCCCCTTGAATACTGCGAGAAGACTGACAAGCGCGGCATCTACGCCCAGGCTCGTCGCGGCGAGATCAAGGGCTTCACTGGTGTCGATGATCCTTATGAGGCTCCTACCAACGCGAACCTTACCGTCGATATCTCCAAGCAGAGCGTCCGCAGCATTGTTCACGAGATTATCCTCATGCTCGAAAGTGAGGGCTACCTCGACCGCCTATAGAGTAGTCACGACCTTTTTTTTTTCTTTTTCTTTTGGAACGATTTGCGCTTTTTTAAACTTTTCTTTTGTATAATGCGATATAAAGACGGGATCTTGGAATAAGACTTGATTTTAAAGGGATCCAGCTGTGTCTCTATTCTATAGAAAGTATTGAATTCAATTGTAATGGCTTAACATGAATTTATATGAATTTTTTTACTTGAATTATTTTATTTGAATCGTCCAGGGGGACCGAAAACATCGTTTGTGCTGTATGGAGAAGATGTAAACAAGACAAACAAGACAAACACCCCAAATCGTCATCTGGCCGGCGAAACTTCAATCGTATCGGCAACAACTTGGATCATGGATTTCATACTTCCAAGCATCCCAAAATGCTTCCACATTGTCGCCGGTTCCCTCGAATATCGGGGTCCTCCCGTTTAGTACGTCCGCACCTCGCCCACCATGGCGCTCAAAATCCACCTTGCCGCCCGTTCACCCGAAAATCGCCTCTTTTGATTCTCTCACCTTCGTTGGGTCGACCCCAGCTTCCCTTTCTCTCCCCCTCTCCAAGCAGTCGCGCCCTTCCACCATTGTCTGTTCATCTTCGCCAGCACTTTGCGCGACTCATTTCCACCGAGAGCCGCAATCACTATAAACGCCGCTTTTCGCGCGGGCTGCGGGTCAGCCTGTCCGTGACCGCTATACTCGTCTTATTCCAGGTGATCAGGTTGGGCGTGTATCATGAAGAACTCGAGCACAAGTGGCCCACGCCGCCGGAATGGACCTGGAAAAGTCGATGGTGCCTGCGGTCGGCCCACGCCCAGCAAAACCCGGAACAGATGGGCAAAGTGATGACTAGTTGGCCGCAGGTTTCGGGATTCCTGGGGGAGTTGCTGGCACGATTGGAAGACATGGATGGTGAAGGAAAGGGAATTGTGGAACAGGAGGAGGGTGGGATCTTAGTGGATGGTGTGGGCAAGACGGGATTTGATATCTCGGCGAAGAGTGAACCATGGAGACGGGGCTATTTCGAGGCTCTTTTGGGAGCTGCCAGGGCCGCGGAGAATCTCGAGGGTTGGTTGACGGACCGGAAGCAGCGTCTCTCAGCACCAGCGGCCTATGTCATTGGTCCATCCAACCCCCGTCCGAAGCCCATGCCACCGGGGCAGAAAGCCATTCTGAAAGAAGAGGATTGTGAGCCGGCATCACCTAGCCCGGAGGTCTTCTACATGAAGATCCTGACTACTCGTGGATTTGATACGAGGCAAAAACTCGATGCCGCTCTTGCGTATGCGGACTGGCTGGACTATAAGGGCTTGAAGGATACCGCGGCTGATATGTATTCTTGGGCGATGGATATCGCAGCTGAGGGGTCACCAGTGGATGCTGCAAAAGTGGTAGATTTGAAGACAGGAATCCTCAGGAACAACGGCAAAGAATCTCCATCTGAAAATATCTTTCGGGTATCCACAGCGCTCGCAGTTCACCATGCCCGACAAGGAAATCTCGCTACAGCTCTATCCATCTTCACCTCCGTGCTAAAAGCCCGCCGTGACCTTCCGCCGGCGCCTCCTGGAGCTCTTCTTCCCCCCACTCAACCTTCATTTCCCAAGCCAACTAACGACCCATTCCGCTCTCTTTTCAACACTCTCAAAATCGTTTTCACCCCGGTTCAATACCCACCTCCCCTCCCCTCTGGAAACGAGCCCCCTCTTCGAACTACCAGCTCTGCCTGCGACGAGGCAGGGTTGATGACCTACATTGGCGAAATCATCTTCGCTTCCTCTTCAAAAGAAAATGGTCTTGCCTGGACCCGTGACGCGGTCGACATGGCCGAAACCACTCTCCTCGACCTCAAACCCGAACATAGCAGCCCGCAACACCGCTGTGCTGATTGCCTCCGTGTCGGCCTAGAGAACTGGAAAACAATGGTCTCCCAACTGGTCGCCCAAGCTCGACAAGATGAGCACGAAACTATCGAGACAGCTAAGGCATCGTGGTTCGGTCCCTCCCAGAAACAGATCCAGGCCAAAACCAAGGAACGCAAGAGATGGGAGGCTGAGAGTATGATCCTGGATGATCGAATCAGAAGAATCCGCCCCATGATCGGGGACTAATCTGCATTACATGGAATCTCCCTCCCTTTCCATTCAAACAGCTAATTGTTTTATATGCGTTTTGTATGATCTAGTGGGATGCATGCAGTCTCTCATGAATTTTTTTTCCCCTTCACTTCCACCCTGTCATTTTTATATCATCACCAGCTAGCTGTGTATGTAAATACAGCCTTTTTGTGTGGAGCTTCCAGTGATTATTTATTTAAAAAAAAATAGTCATTTTTATGTTTCTAGTTGATATGTATGTATTATTAGAAGAGAAACCAAAAAAAAAAAAAAAATTTAACACCTGATCAAAAGACATTTACTGCCATAGCATAACACAGAGGCTGTTAAGTGTCTGTCTATATATATATCAAAAATATTTACTCACTAACCAACTGTACACGCTACATATCTACATATGATCTCCATCAGTGGATAAGGAAGAATTGTTTAGGGGGGAGAAGGAGGAGGGGAAAGAAACAACAATGTACTAATGTATGTGTATGTACCAAAAACGCCTCATGGAGGTAAACAAGAAACTAAGTAGGTACTTGTAGGGTAATAAAGAAAAAGAAGTGCATAATAATGTAAAGGAACGTGGCCAAAAAATTTTGGGGGAGATTTAGCATCCCAAGCGGAAGCGGAATGAATATACAACATAGTACGGGGTGTTACAAAAAAAAAAAAAAAAAAAGAGAGTAATGATAATAGTAGTAGGTATGAATGAGAGGTTGACTAACCACCAATAACATCCCCGTTGAGATTGGTGATTGTCAAGTCCTGGAAGTCGAGGGTAAAATTACCCTTCACCCCAGCGGGAACGAGGTTCAGATGGTATATCCCATTGGAGGAGTGGGAGTACGACTTCTCCAGGTAGGTCTGTATGGCGTCTGCGGAGAACATGGCTGCCTCGAGAGTGCCAGTCTTTTCCAGGATATAAAGCACAGCGATTCGGGAGAAATCAAGGACTTTCGTAGTGATGGTCAAAGAGCTGGAGGTTGTTGAAGTTGATTTCGGTGTGGCGACTGAGGAAGGAGTTGTTTCTACGGATTGCGAGGTCTCGGTGACTGACGAGTTATCGAAAACGATGCCATTTTCTGTCGCAATAGAATTTCGGGCAGTAAGGGTCGGTGTGGGAGTATGTATAGGGGCCGGGCCAGGAGGACCATTATCATCAGAAGGCTCCCCGTCTGGGACCAAGACTTCATCGAGAGACAAAGAACGACGGGTGCTGTTGCTTGAGGTCATGCCACTGAACGACACAAGAGCATTTTCGGTCGTGCAGGAGACATTGTTCTGACTGAGGAGCGCCATGATAGTAATTGGATCAAGGGGTATGCTGAAATTGGTCTTAGAGTCTTCGAATAGACGAGGGAGGTCATCTCCCATGGTAGCATTTCGTGATGTTGAACCCTGAGTGATTTCGGTCGTGACACAACTGGCATCTCCCACAGTTGTACAGCGTGAACCAGTGTAGCCATTAGCGCAAACGCAGGAGCAAACATTGCCACTTGAGACACTGACACCACCGTTTTCACACGGTGCAGTCTTCTCGCATGTCGAACCGCTACTAGCACTATTTTGATGCTCTCGAGGCACCACAACAAGGAAAATCGGGATGAGAACAGCAGCGGCAATGACGAGGATTAGAATGATGCAGATCAGAATGAACGCCCACAGAGGGAGTCCACAACAACGACGTTGTCTATTTGTGCCTTTTTCCTGGCCTTCTTCTGGGCCCTGTTCTTGGGAGTTCAATTGGTGAAGAGTAGACCTCTGGAAGAAGACCGGCCAAGATGAGTGACCCTCTGGGGTTGCGGCAGGCGGTGGGAATGAGGCCAAAATATCTTTAATCGAGCCTGACCTGCTGCTATGATCACCTAAATTTTGTATTAGCCCAGAGATTGGTGACCAGCTAGCGCGTTGCATTGCTCACCACGAAATGCGAACCTCGAGCCCCCGCCAGCATTAAGCAAATCGTTTCTGCTTGCCGTTCTATTATGCTCCAAATTTGACGCAAGTTTTGTTGCACGCTTGATCAAATCCGACAAACTTGTAAGACTGCCTCGCGCCTCTGCATCACGAACCGCCGCCATATTCAACCGAGGAGGTCTGCGGGCCCCTGGTCTGATCTCACTCATTGTTGGGGCACCCTTGGGCAGTGCCCCCACCTCCTTCGCAAAACCTCTATTACGATAACCTTGATGGGGCCTTGGATCCTCGACCAACACTATGGGTGGTTTTTCCGGGTCGAAATGTGACTCTTCAGACGAATCTGATGAAAGAGAGTTTCTTGGATTCACACCAGCCGCGACTTCTTTCAGAGCAGCCCCGGTTGCGAGCTCCCGAGGAGAAACTGTTTTGCTTTCACTCTTGGGGAGTGGGGGGGAATCCACGCATGGCTTACTGATCGTACGTAGGGAAGGCTTGCCTCTTTTCCCAAGACTGGCTTGACGAATTATATTTCCATTGTGGCCTTCGATCGCATGCGTAAACTCATGCGCACCACCGGAATCGCCATCTGCATAGGCCCCGAGGATAGCAGACTCCCCTTTTTCGGAACTCCAGCTAGAGCGGGTGGTTCGACTAGGAGCGTAAGGCTTATTGATTATTGTCGGGCTGTCAAGTAATTCCTCGGGGATGGGCGAAACAGACGCTGGGTGATTCATGATTGCGCGCGCCGCAGCCTGAGGAGCAAGGTTACCCGGCTTCCTAGGAGGAATCGGCTGTGGTAAATCAGGTAGTGACTGAATAGAATTAACAGAAGAAACTCCTGGTTTTCTAGGCGTATCTTCGCTTGTGACAGGTGCAGGGTCCCTCAAAGCTGGATGGATGAGCAGTTGATTGTGAAATGGATGTGAAAAGGAGGGTTTCGGGTGATTGATGTGCAGCGGACTGGGCGCAGCATCTGAAGCGCTTCTGACTGAGTAGATAGAAGGGGATGGAAGATCGGGACGAGGTGGTCGTTGAGGCGGAGGGCTCTTCGAGATTAACGGAGTCCCTTTTTGATCGACAACATTCGTTTGTAACATATTGTCGTCCGGTAAAGGCCACTGTGTTTGGCGAGCATCTCGTCTGGAGGGTGGTATTCCTCCTGCGTTTGCCTGGGGAACTTGAATTTTGGGACGTCGACCCGCCTCTAACATTTCTCTTGCTCGCCGAACAGATCCCTTTCTTTCGGGAGGATTGGAGTCGGAACCAGCTGACGGATCCATGTTGGTTAATGGGATAGTCAATAAATCGAGCAACGAGCACGAGACGAGGCACCAAGAGAAAAAGTCAAATCTAGTCGACAAAGAAACGTTGATAGGTAGAAAACGGTCGTTCAAGAGTTTCTTCTGTCGTCAAAAGCGTATATGAATGAGCAAAAACCAGCTCGCATTAGATGGAGAAAGAAGCTCAATGATAAGAAAGAAAGAACGGAAGAGAAACACTGTAGACAGTCAAAACGATTGTTTAAAGCTCCAACCGGTTTAGATGATGGAGCGAGGAGCGACTGTTCAGGTCAGATTCTTTGAACGAACGAACTTGAGGGCCAAGAGCTCAAGACAGGAAAGAAAGTGGTTGGTGCGGTGGCACTCAATGCCTCTGAGGATATTTGCAAATTAGTTCAATGCCACGGTTCAAAATCGCATTGCAATGACTGGACGAAGACTGCGTACCACAGAAACAGATTTGGAAAGAATGGAAGAGAGAGGGTTAACAGCGCGTTCACAACTTCATTGTATCGTCGTTCCCAAGTCTCGTGATATTCTTCAAGTAACCATCCCTAAAATCACATGAGGTTCGACTGTCAGTTACATTCTGTGACCAGTAAGTGTATGGCAAAGACTTACAGGTTCGCCCAAAGAAATAAAAGAGCCTCTAGCCCTTGGCTAGGAAGTGAAGAGAAGAGCGAGATAAGGAGGAGAGGCGGGTTCTACGGAGTAAGGAGAGGCGGAGTCGATAGTCAGTTAGTACCTCACACGAGGTGGGTAATGAAAGGAAGGGTCTTCCAGAGACTTCAGAACCAAGTGTCAGACATTGAATATGTGAGCTATTCCTGGTTACATGGGCCAAACTCCCCTGCACTAGTAGTCGGCCTCTTGGAATCTTTGGGGATAAGTGAGTGGGGAGCAAACCCTAGTGCGAAATTGACACCGACGCCAGGCCTCTTAGTTCGACATCCCAAGCCTTAGGAGTCGAGGGGCAGTCCATCGATAGTTTAAAAAGGGGAAAGGGGGTGTTTCCCAAGTCTGTCCGCTGCAATATCTTGAAGAAAGAAAGAGAGAGAGAGAGAGTATACTCTCTTCCAGAAGCTGTAGATTCTTTGGGACACTCTGCGCAGACTGTTGAAGTGGTTTCAGGCAGTACTCCGTACAACCCTATCGTGGGTGATTGAATAAGCGAAGGCTTGGCTATTAAGGACTAGGAGCTGGAAGGAAAGAAAAGGCCCGTGGTTACTGAGGCTATTGGCCGGGTGGAGGCGACTAAGGAGATGGTGGTTTGATAGTGCGTCTCAGGTTAGGTAGAGACGCGACGGCTAGCAGACAGAAGATTTCAACTTGAAACCAGGCTACCCATCTGGAATTGGATGTTCCCCAGATCAGATCGAGTACTCTCAATCACGGTCTGGAATGTGGCCTCATTCCCACCATTAAAGGTCAAACAGAAACCACAAATCTAACCAGAGCTGGCGGAGAGTAATGATCGGATAAGTAGCCAATGTCTTCAAAGGGATTGACCGCAAACGATGGGGGGAATAAATAATACCCCCATACAACCCTGCCGCCAGCTGATAATTTCGCTTCCAGTCAGGACTCAGGAGGCGGCTAGTTCAATGAGCTACAGAGTAGCTTGGTTTCGAGGTTAAAGCCAGAGGGAGGAAACCTGGAATATTATGAGACATTCCTCTGATATTCATTATCAGGACGGTGGATCTTATGATGCTGGTGTCTGTAAGAAGTTAAAAGATTCAAAGATGATGGGATGGGATGATGAAAGATAAGAATGAAGAGCTTGTTGATGAAGACGTTGAGATTTGAATCTGCTCGAAATAGGAGCACAGACCTGATTCGACTCCATCCAAAGAAACAAAAAAAAAACATTGCTGTCTCTGACGTTTTAAATCCCCTTCATTGGTTAGGCTAACCAGGTCATGCATGAAAAAAAAAATAGTATATTCAAACACCACGCGTCTTGTAGTCTATTTCGAGTCCCCTAATGATATCAGGTTGATACTGGATGAGATGGACTACAGAAGGTCGCAATAAATGATTCTCTTGACCCCAAAAACCTATCCAAATAAAGGAGGAAAAATAGAATCTTCAATGTATATCCTATGCGCACTCTTGCCGACCCAGTTCCTCCCGCAATCGGGTAATTTCCTTCTCTGCAGCTTGCATCTCGACCGTAACGCTTGCTAGCTCTGGGAGATAGCCTTCTACGGCTTCCGTGAAGGATTTCTGGGCGCTACGCAGGGAGGGGGGAACAAGAATACCATACCACCGAATTGGGTCTGAAGCACCGGACCTCTTCTTCACGGTCTTGTGGGTAGTATCTGTTTCGGGTTCAACCGCAGAAGAGCTTGACAGCTCTAGAGAGTTCGGAGTAGATTGTGCCGCGTCATTTTTTGAAGAATCCTGTTTTGTGGTGTTCTCGTCCGATTGAGATGTCTCTACCTGATCGGCTTTCTCGAGCTGCTCGTCCTCCTCGGCATTTGTAAAGGCCTCAATTGCAAAGATATGCCTAGAATGGATGCCAGTTTCTAGCACTCTTCCTAGTTCAGCCGAATGCGTAGTCTCATCGGAGGATAAGGGAGGTTGTAATCCCCTAATTATACGCTCATCAATTAGCCATATCTCCATAATTGGGAAAGAGGTGCTTCATGATTAATCGCGATTTAACCCAGACTCACACTCGTCTTGTGGCTTTCATACGCTCGTCATAGTAGTCAGCGCCATAACGTCGACCGGGAGGACAGGTATAATTCGCTTGCGCAAGAGAAAGAAATCCCTGTATCAACCAGTTCAGCTGCCACCCATCCAGGACGCCCAAGCTGGCTGATGGCTACTCCCAGAACACATACCGAAGATAGCTTTGATGCTAGCTTTGTCTGCAGCTTTTGGTGTTTGTCAAGCAGGTGGAGATATCTTTCCAATAAAGTGTCCAGCAGCTGTAAAGGATTTGTCGCAGAATCAGCGAGATGAAGTTGCTTCAGCTCTTCTTCGGGGGATTCTGAGCTATGACGCGAGGTCGGCGGGATGAGCAACTGCGCCATTGCAAGGAGATATTATGTGTAGAGACTCGGAAGGAACTAAGGACGACCGTGAAAAAAAAAAAAGAATGAATGGATGAAAGAAATAGAATGATGCAGTGTCGATACAACCAGTCTTGAGTTGTTGGAAAGCGGACGACAAAAAAGTGAAGCTGCCCGAGGAGTCCGATAACTCCGTCATTTCACGCCTCCGAACAAAAAAAAACCTCCAAAGAATTTCCCGAAGTCGACGACAATCGATCCGTTGTTCAACCTACGCTTCGATTACTCGCCCATTCTCCCGCATCCTGTGAGTGACCTTACTTCGGTTCTATTCTCCTCTCTCCCTTCATATTGTCCTCAACTGTTCCGTTCCTGCGTCCTCTTTGAGAGGAAGGTCCTCCTCTGACCCGTCGCCTTTCGTCATACCCAGTTGCGACATTCGGAATTGCGGCTAACGCCTCCCAAATAGCATCTGGGATTCTGATTCCTCTAAGATAGCATAGGCCGTCAAGCTCTGGATAGCATCGGAGTTTGTTTGTTTGTCTGCTGTCTTGCTACCCTCGTGCGGAACAGCCAGGGCTAGGCTAGAGTCGTCTACCACAAGGATCTCCCGATATCATCTTGACCCTCCGAACTACGCATTTGTTTCCGGGCTGTTTCTCTTCGCTGCGCTTGCTTTTCCTTTGTCACCATTGTCAATCTCCACTCCTTAAATTCTTAACCCGTCACCATGTCCGTTTCAACTCTCCAACGGGACACTGCCTTCCAGGTCCGGTCTTTGGTATGTGGCCTTCCGACTCAGGATAACATATTAATGTCATATGGTTAATAATAGAATCGCTAATACTCGTGGTTAAATATGCAGTTCCGCTCTTTGCTTCGCCAATCCTCCCAGTTCTCAAACTACAACTTCCGCGAGTACGCCCTTCGAAGAACACGGGACGCTTTCCGGGAACACCAAAAGGAGACTGAAGATAGGAGGATACAAGAGCTGATGCAGGAGGGTCTACAGAGTTTGCGGATGATGAAGGTTAGTTGCATCGCACTTTTGGAGGTGGCCACCGCACGTTCCAGCACCCCGCCGAAACAACTTCGCTTCGGAACTTCAGTAATGCCTCCCTCGCATTGTGTACAGATGGACTAATATTAACTATAGAGACAAACCGTTATCAGTCAATTCTACCAAATGGATAGATTAGTCGTGGAGGGCCAGAAGACAGTAAGCTAATACGATTCTTGTCTCTGTTTACCCACGAGACACGGACTCATCTCATCTCCTAGGCAGGGGAAGGAAACTAGACACGAAGGCGGTCCTTCTTCGCCAGAAGGATGCTGGGTAAGAATACCTACCTGTTTTGTACTCTTTTCTGGCAGCCTATTCAAAGCCGCTAATTGTTTTCACAGTTTAGATTAATTTAACAAAATCTCCACATACTCAAGAGTCTCTCTTTTATTTGTGAAATTTGAGAGAAGTTCCACAACAAATATTACACCATCTTTGGTGACTTAGCCATCAAAGCTCTGGTGACGGTGTTGCAGTGGTGGCATAGACTGGGTGATTGCTCTGTACTTTTATTGAACCTACATTTTTTCGTGAGCTGTGATGCTTTTTCGCCAGAACCCCAAATCTTCTCTCTCATCTCCAAGCGCAAAATTTTTTGGTCGTAGTTCTGTCGTGTCTTTTCTACATCGAATAATTATACCCCGATCGTAGTCGCGGTCACGTGCCGAGACCCCAGGCCAACCGCGCCTTCGCCTTCATTTATAAGAGCGCCTCCGTCCAGCTCGACAAGTTGGATTGCCTACCCACGATCTCTTCTATCCTGTTCCCGGCCCCTGCTCTTATTAATTTTATGGGACAGCGCGACAATTGTTTTTAAATCTACCTTTTAATTTGATTTTTTTTTTTTTTTTTCATTCGGGCTAGGAGAACTCGAAGATTCCGCCCTGTCGCGCGCCATGCCCCCGACAGTGAGTCCAACTCGCCTTCCCAAAGATCTGTTCTATCAAAAACAAGGCACTATGAAGTGGTATAGCTCTGTCGGGGCCAATTTATTAACATCCCCCAGTTTAGGTCCTCTCGTTCAGGGCGTCAATTTGGCGAGGGCGCCAACCGTACCAGAACCGGCCAGATCGATCACGATGTCTTTGAGGGACTCCCCGTCCGACGATGGACGCGTCAGGTCCAGACCATATCGCAAGAACCCAAAACGGAGGGAACAGAACCAGTCCAGCCTGGCCCCGGTGGAAAGCAAGCTGCTCCTGAACGTCCAATGCCCAGAGATAGCCATCTCCTCACGCCCATGAGTCGAGCGCTTCTCCGTGCTGCCCGCTCCGGATGCATATACATTCGTCAAGCTTCGAAGGACTCTGAGGATGATGAAAAGGAAGCTACGGATGCTGATGAACAGCAGGCGGCGCCAAGCACGGAGCGTAGCTTTGCCATGCGCAAATGGTCTACGGTCCCCAAACACTTAGAAGCTCCAGAAGTGGAATTTCTCGCGAAAAGACGGCCGGGTCTGGTGTCGTTATACGGTTCGACAGCTGGGACTGTAGATGGGGCTAATGGTTCGGCCCCGATGAGGAAAACCCGATTCAAGAAGATTGATCCTGTCACGGGGAATATTTCGATCTACGCGGCTTGGGTGCCAGAGGGACACAAGATTGAAGGTGAAGTTACCGATGAGGCTCAGGTGATCGCCGAAAACAGCAAAGTAACTGTGACTCCTGAGGCACCTGCACCGGGCACTGTCATTGAAGGCGTTGGCGTGGTCAACGCGCAAGGAGTGGTGGTCGCCGAGGCTGGTTCGGTGTCCGTTATCACTCCTCCAAAAAGGCGACCGCCTCCGCCTAAGCGCAAGGCGAAGGGCTTTGGAAAGGGTCGAAGGAAGAAGGTCATGTTTGCTCCAGGTGATGGCGCTGACGCATCGCTCGTACACGGAGCCAACGATGTTCATGGTTCGAAGGAAACAGATCCTTCACGAATGTCGGCTGATCAAACAGCCCAAGATGATGAGGAAGATGATGGCGAAGAAGGTGAGGAGAGCGATGATGGCGACGGCGACGGCGACGGCGAGGGTGAGGGAGATGTGGATGGAGATGGAGATGGAGATGGGGATGGAGATGGAGATGGGGATGGGGATGGGGAAGGAGACGAATCCGGCTTTGATACGAAGACCCCGGAGACCCCAGGTCGACAACCTAATACTAAACCCGAACCAGAGCCCACACCTGGGCCTACGAGCGATGCAGTACCTGCAGAAATCGGCACTGAGTCACAGCCTCGTCCAATTCCAGAATCATCATCCGCTACTGTAACAGAAGCCACAGCTCTTTCGGCTAAGCCACCCGCTACTGAACAATCACAGCAGGCGCCCGCGGAGGAAACGAGCTCTGTGCCTCCAAAGAAGCAGACTGGGTCAACTAGTGCAATGCCTGCGACAGAAGAGGATGTTGAGATGACGGATGATGTCCTCCACGAGCCTCCCAAGCCCGTAGAAGTAAGCGGTGCATTCTCTCCGCTGCCAAAGTCGGACACTCAGCAACAGCCGGCTCCAGAAACGGCCAAGCCTACTCAAAAGACTCCTTCACCCCCTCAGGAGGTTGTGCAGTCTCTAGCGCCTGGATCTTCAAAGTCTGTGATCGATAATGCAGATAAGTCGGCTGTGGAACAACCGGAGCCCATGGACATCGTTATGAAAGAGCCAAGTGAGCCGGCCGTCGAAGATGATGTTGTGAATATGGATACTTCGGCAGATGTCCCGCAACCTCCACAAGAACCAGCCCCAGAGGAGGAGGAGGAGGAGGAGGAGGAGGAGGCTGCTACCGTCCAAAAGCAAGAACCACAGACTAACGGGCGCAATAATGTTGATCTCTTAGGTAGTCTAGAAGCGAGCTTGGGTGACAAACCTGAAGACGCTCAGAGTGATAAGCAGAAAGAAGCCATTACCACTCACGAAACAACAACGGGGGCTACACCAGCTGTACCCGTTCAATCTCCTTTGAAAACACCAGCAGAGGCACCAACGGCCGACATTAAGGTGCCTTCTCCAGAACAAATCGCACCACCTATCGAAGCACTGACACCCTCAGAGCCCCAGCCGGAGCGAGAGCCAACCATCCACCAAGCACTAGAATCCCCAGCCACAGAGCAGCCTCCACCATCTACCGAAGAACAGCAACCAGAACCAGAACCTTCTGCGCGGGAACAACCACAGCCACTTGGTGAGCCGTCCAAGGAAAGCATTCAGGGGACCCCTGAGCAACCAGAGGCAACCCCCGAATCGGTAGCAGAGCAGCCCACCACAGGCCCTGTTGCAGAACCTCCAGACACAGAATCCCCAGTTGAGCAACCGGGGGAATCTCATCGTCCCAAAGGAGCTGCTGCTACATCCTCACCACCTGAAGAGCCCCAGCCCGAGTAAAATCTAATTTTTGATCTCTCTCTCTCTCTCTCTTTTTTTTTTTTTTTTTTTTTTTTTTTTTTACCCTTGATATTGTTTCCAGCGGAAGTCTGGCGTTTGGTTTGGTTTGGTTTCTTCTTTCTTTCTTTGCTCTCTGATGAACCACCACCACCGGCCTTGAATACATACATACATTATACATACACGCATACCTGGATCCATCATTATGTATCCCTTTTACTTCTGTACTCTAGGAGGAAATGAAAGCACACCAGAACGAAATGCTTTGAAGCAGATCACGTAGTTGGAATTTAAAATTAAATGGAAGAATATGAATATTACAGTGCCCTATCTCTCTGTCTGGACTGGAACAAAACTACCAAATCCCATCCAATCCAATCAATCAATCCCTCTCTCCCCGCCGTTTAAACAAAACAGCCACACAGCAGAAAGAACACCTAAACTGCACTGCACTCAAGGTCTCATAAATATACGTCAAAGTTTCAACAACAACAGCAACAAAAAATTACCCAAATCAGGCCATTCAGACCAATCAGGCCCCTTACATAAGACACGGATCGGGTGGAAAGGAGCAAAAGAAGTAAACGCCAGGGGGGGGGGAGAACCAAAATCATAAAAGCCAAGCGGGGAAGAGGGTTGAAAAGTTGAGAATTGAAGCCCGTACTGCGCGTGCTTGCTCTCCACGTGGAAGTTGCACGGTTGCCTGCGGGCTCGCGTTGTTGAAGTCCGAGAAATATAAGGCGAGGAAAAAGAGAGGCCAAGCTCTTTGAACAATCAGGAAGAAAGGTTGCATACATGTATATGGGGGTGGTTTCGTCGCCGAGACTGATTTGAAGGGTAGCTGAAGTACTCTTCGAGCGATTGAATAGGTTGTTTGGATTACATAGAATCCAAGTACCATGCAACTGGATGATCAATTCAGTCAATTCAAGTCGTCTTCTTCGCTCCAGGCGAACCCCCCGAGGTGCTAGCGACGGCCTTGGTGCGTTTAACGGCGTCTTTGGCCTTTGGGGATTGCTTGGTAGTTCCCTTAACAATTGTCTTCCGGGCTGTCTTCAGAATATCCTTTTTGGGCTGTTTCGGTTGCTTTCGTGCAGCCGGGCTCTTTGTTACAGGGGAAGCAGGTGCCTTGGACTTCTTAGGCGAGCTCTTGACTTTAGACGGTGATTTGGAAGTCTTTTCGGTCTCTACTTTTGTTGTCTGGGCGGGTTTCCTGCTGCGAACTGGGGCTCTCGCTTTCGTCTTGGTGGCTTTGATCTTGGGCAATTTAACCTTCTCCTTGGGGTTGGAATTAGTCTTCCTCGCTGCAGTCGTTTTGGGACTTGCGTTTGCGGGTTTCCTCGAGGTAGAGGACGTGCTTTTGCCTGGAGATTTGGTGGGCTTACTCCTGGCTTTGGAGACAGTCGCACGTGCCCTCGAAACGGCCTTCTTCACACCAGACTTAATCGATGCGGCTGCCAACGCTCGTCGTCGATTTCTAGCGTTCTCGGCTCTCCGTTTCGCGGTCTGGGCCTTTTTGGCGTCTGCGAGCTCTTTCAATTTCGCAGCTCTCAGCTCTGCTCGTTGCTCTTTCTCCCTCGGCCGTGGGCCTAGGATACCGCGACATTTGGGCGCACCGCAGCGGCATTGCTGGACATTCTTCTGGGAATAGGGACTACAAGGGGTTAATATGATCTACAAAGTTGCGGGTGCTTTGGTTGGCAGGGAGGTCTTACTCAAAATTGTAGTCATACGTCAATTCTTCTCCAGTCATGATCCCACGATCACCAGCAAAAAGGGCCATGCGCGGTTTTCCAGCCACAGTCCATTTTTCCATTCGACAGTTGGGTTGGCAAGAATGGTTCACAAACCGGGCCATAGAGCCTCGCGTGGCATCGATGATCATGTTTTGGTCAAAGTACATCAAGTAGTAGCACTGGCAGGGTCAGAAACACGTTCGGGTGCAGGCTCATGAAGGAAGGGGCTGGCTGTACCTCGTTTTTCTTATATACCGTTCGCATCCGTTTCTCACATTCGGCTTGGGTTATAATTTCTCCAGTGTATTCAACAATGATCTGATCCGGTTCAAACGTGCGATTGCTGCGGACGCCGTAGCCGCGATCTTCGGTCTTGATGACTTCGACCCCGATATTATACTTTCCTCCAGCCTTTGTTCTCTGTTTGAGGTCCTCAAAGCTTCGATTACCGCACTCAGGGCCCAGCCCACAAATGCTATCGTCGCATTCATAAAACATATAACGGTTCTGACAGTTCTGGTCGCAGCCGGTATCCTCTGTGCACATGCATTTTGAGAGTTCCAACTCCTTGCTGGCCCGCCAGATGCTTCCAGCTTCCCCAACAAAAACATCTGTTTGAAAGAATCAGCACTCCACTGTCACACAAAGGTAAATCAACAGTCCGCCTACTTTTATTCGTCTTCCTCCACTCGTTAGGCTTAGGTTGGCCAGGAGGAAGGGGTGAGTAGATGTCGAAAGGCAGTTGGAAATCTCTTCCTATCTGTAATAATCTTTCTCCAACAAACATGGGCATTGGGAGAAACCTCCTTTGACTATTATCTTGGCCGGGATTGAGACTCTTTCTCTTAGAGCTCTTGTGCCTATTTTGACTCGGTCGCGATCTCGTATACTCTTGTCCCGTGTAGAGTCCATGGGTCAACCAGCGTTTTTCTCTAAACCGGGTGATTACCTCCACGGGGGTATCTGGCTCTTGTGCAGACTCGGGCTCTAATTCCGGCTTAGATACAATTTCACTGTCTGAAACACGTCGCTTTTTGGCGGGGGGTTCGCTGACGACGCGGGTAGGCTCCTCTTTCGGGGCGGCGACATGTCGAGGCCGCAAACTAGATCGTCGGTCCGGTTCCTTTCCTCTCGAGCGTTTACCCAAAATACTAGTAGCTCGACTCGCAATGTCAGAGACCTTTTCTAGTATAATTAAACGAGACGAGCGTCTCGTGGGTGTCTGACTGCTGGCCTTGGTGGCGCTAGAATCCCTCCTGCGGTTGTGAGTTTCATCCTGGGCCAGTGCCCGTTCCACACGCTTTCGTAGGGTCCGAGGTTGTAAGGCGGCGGCCACGTCTTCCGGCGGCGGTTCTTGCGATGACTTCGAGACAGGAGTATCAGGGGCCATTGGATGGTCATCTATTTCCATAGCCTCGGGGACAAGTTTTGTTTCAGCTTGGAGGGCGGACTCCATGATCGCTATACTGTGGCGGAGATGGGAGGAGCGAGACCGCTTCTCCCCAGGCGCACCGCCATTGACCAGCTTCTCGGTCAGCAGAATGCGTTCCCGAGTATCTGCAGGAGAAGGAAGTCCATGAGCGTCTACTTCCGAGTCAACCTCCGGCTGAGCACCTCCCCGCCGCGAAGCGCGTGTCACCCGTGTAGATCGGCGGCGAAGAGTAGGGTTTTCCTCATTTGACGCGTTTTCATTATTGCTCGAGGTCTCAGAACGGCTGTTCTCGGGGGTCAGGAGTTGTTCGGTATATTCAAAGGCCATTGTGGTGTCGAGGGGTTCGTGGGAGTGTTTCGTGACGTCGGACAGGGTTGCGGGTGTTGCGGGAGACGCGCTGGACAAACCCGGTCGAGTTTCCATCGCACCGTGAGATAGGTCAAATATTGTAGGGTGGATCGGTGCTGATGATAACGAACAGAACGATATAGCAGGTCAAAGGCGACCAGACTCTTTGAGATTGCGTAGAAACCTGGCCAAAGGACGGGATCAAGTTCCGAGTGAAACTGGCGTACGGGAGGGAAAGCACCAGGAGGAAATAATCCGCTTATCAGAAGGAATGCCGGGGGGACACTCTTTAAACCCTGCAAATCATTTTCACGCGATCCAAGTAGCTTACCAGAGGGTAGCAGCGTCACCAGTACACAGATGAAGGAACTGAGGAGGGTGGTGGGAGTCGAATGGGGGGAGGGAAACGAAGAGGAGGAAGAAAAGACGACGAAAGGATGCGGACGACGACACAGGGTGAAGTGGTTTTGTTCTCTTCGCACCATCCGTCAGCCGCGGAATGCCACCAGGAGAATCCGAAGCAACAAATACCTCCCCCTGAAAGACTTTCGTCTCTTCTTCCTTTTCTCCTGTCTTCTATTCTCTTGTACCACTCTCAGAGCCTGGCAGATACCGTCAAATACCACTTCTATCTCTATCCGCACTCATGTCTCTGGCACCGTGTCTTGAGGATTACAATTGGCCAACACCAGAATTCGAGACGTTTCTTGCTTATACGGACCTTACCTCTCTCGACAGTTGACCTAGACTATGTGAATCCTTGCAGTGGATCCGTTTGTACGGTGAAGTTCCGTCTAGGGCACAGCTGCATGTCGAGAGCTCGAGATGATCTCTCTCCAAATTTCCCCTCGACGGCTTCATATCAAATCCAACCCAGGCGTTCCGCAATTGATGCGCCGTCATCTATCAGTCGCTTATCCTGCCCGACAAGATGACTGCTTCTACGTGGACCAGGAAATGGAATATTTCCTGTTCATATATCCCGCAATCCCCGGCGAAAATTTTGAGATTCAGGACAACTGTATAGGGTGGACCTTTTTATTATTACCATTATTATTATTATTATTATTACTATTTACTGCGAGGAAATATGAACAACGAAAGCTTTGTCCAGTTCCATCATGAGGCTTGTTGGCTTCCGCTATTCCCATCCGTTTACGTGGTCATTGCAGAGCACCATGGGGGTTCTGACTCCGGATGAGATACATAGCGTTGACCAACACTCCAGATGACGACTTTGCAAAATGCCAACGCCAACGACCTTCCTTCCACCGCGGAAGGATATTGCCGTACCAAGTCCGCTACATTCAAATAATCTCATGCGACAATATTGCTAACAGGGGACATCTGACCTAGGCGATCCGTCACAGCCTCCCGGCCACATGGAACGGCGGCCTCCTCAGAGTACTCGTAACAGCGGTCAAAACTGATATCGGGGAAGCCAAGGCAGGAAAATCCCGATCAGAGATGAAGTTGATTTAGGCAGAACTCTTCTGTTGTGTTCTGTGCTGCTGCTGCTGCTGCTGCTGCTGCTGGATTTCCCCTCGCGCCCGGAGAACCAGGGACCGAGCTACTAATTGTCAACCGATGTCATACCATCATCGCGTCCAGGGTAAACCCCAACTGCTTGAGATAACGCACAGGTCTTCCTCGGTTGATCTCGTCAATTCATCTCCTACTTCATGTCCACTTACGAGACTACCGATGCGACGAGATAGCGAGATACTCGAACGGTGCCATTAAAATGGCGACAGCCTGTCACATCCGCGTATATCTCTTATCACTCGTTCTTCTCTTTTGTCGCGCACCAAAAAAAAAAAAAAACGATCATTGCGAAATCCATCATATCATGACTTCCTCCAGACGCGAATACACCAGACCAGGTAGTTAAGTACTTAGTAGCAGGTAGAGAAACGGAGTACCCTTCAAGAGTATAACTATACCTAAGGTATACTCCGGTAGCTGCGGTATTTTTGGACTTACCCTATTTAGGCCTAGGGTGTATCTTTGCCGGCTAATCGCTTCCCCTTTAGGTAATGGCCGCCCCACAGCGACAGGGATCTTGCAGTCCCCACAATGCACATTCCCACATCTCTCCTTGGCATGAGGTCTGATTGGCTGAATTGATTTGGCCCTGGGTAAGGTACTGTACGGAGGAATCCTTTGATATCTGGGAGCCCACCACTACTATACGTACCTATGACTATATATATATATAAGTGGACGTCAGTTCAAGATAGTTAAATTTGTTACTAAGTAAGTTACTTGATTCCGTTAGATACAGTCGTCCGTTCCGTTTATCACATCCCAAACCTTGCTGGCTAGCTAGGAATTCTAAATACATATCCGTTGAAGAGAAACTATAGGTAGGAAAAGTAGATTGAAAGAGAGAAAAAAAAAAAAAAAAAGAAAAGAAAGAGAGAGAGAGAGAGAGAGAGGTTCAGATTTAGATGATTGAGAAGGAGAAGAAAAAATACATTGATAAAATGAATGTAGATAAAGAAGATGAATAGACAAAACTCAGCCCTGGCTGGGAGGAGGAGGAGGCACATGTTCCATCTCGATGTTCGCTTGAGCCTCGACATCCCGGGGGAGGTACTTCCGCTTTATCGTACTTAACCGTTGGTCTCCTTCTTGATAATACTCTTTGAATTGCATGTAGGTCGGTGGACGAGGCCGTCCAAACACCGACATCCAATTCCGGAAGACGTTTCCCTGTGTGAAGGGACGGTGGCGATCGACCTTGGCGAACTTATGAGAGTTCAGATACTCGCGTGTAGTCTCGCCGCGGCCGACGAGGAAGATATGATATGCCCATAATGAAGCGGGATAGGGAGCTGCCACGGCCCCGTAGATGACCATGGCAAAGGGGACCCGCCACTTGTCAATGGCAGCGCCGAAACTGATGCCCTCATGCGAGCGATACACCAGAATATGGGCAAGACTGGCACCGAGTAAGAAAAGGGCAAGCAGCGTGGAGGTGCTGACGAAGGTGAAAAAATATCGGTAGTTGCGGCGGCCAACGCAGTTGTTGAGCCACACACAGTGATGATCGAGCGTCTCGACACAGTTATCGCACACGCGGCAATGATAGCATCGTGGTGGACGCCAGACACTGCAGGTCTTACAGTATTTGACAGGGACATCCATAGCTGCAACCTCGGAGGTGGCGAGTTTGACCATCACCCAATCGTTGGTTGGTGGGCCGACGGCCAATGGATCATCAGAGGGATCGGATGGCGGCATCTGGTGAAGATTACGAGGGATGACCTATATAAGAGAGGCATTAGTTGGAATGCCAACAGTGAGAGAGGGTGTTGGGTTCAATCTTACCCCCGGGTCAACTACCGATGCGTGTATAAACGATGAGAAACATAGATAGAATAGATAGGCAAATAAAATGGGAATAGCTGGTGAGATATGATGCCAAAGCCAGGGAGCCCTGTCAGAGTGTTAGTACTGCAGCGTAGATGATGCGCCGGGGGTAAAACATACGAAAATCCAAAAAAGAGACCACTGGGCACCACTACAAAAAGTCCAGTTGCAATATTGACCGGCTTGTCCCTAGAATTCTGAAATCTGCCTCCACCCCAAAAAATAGTGTTTCCAACAAAGTATTCATAATTCTTGCCCTTCTTTCCTTTGGGTATCGGATGGCTCTGTTTTTCAATCGACGCAGGAGACGATCCCGCAGATGATAACCGCTCATGTGTCCTGTTATCACGATTTTCCGCTGGCGCATTCTTATTCTGTAGGCTGAGGAAAGAAAGAGGTGATCTCTCAGGAGTCTCGGGGTCATTCGTGGCCTTGAAGTTTACTCCGAGATTGAGGTGCGGTGGCGTGGGTTTGTACATTCGCTCCCTGTCGTGCAGGAGCTTGGCGCTTTCACCTAGGCTCCTCCCTGTAGTATTGCCGATAGGGCTGGCATTCGAGGTATTTCGGTCAGGAATGATTGGATCCGTGAACTCGGTTCCTCGCGACGGAGGCGCTTCTTGGTCGACTTGGTGAACGGAGTTCGGGAAGGTACTGTTCGAGATTAGACTCCTCCTGTTTTGACTAGCCTGGTCCCCCCCCCAATCCTCCGATGAGACGGTTGTGCCCTTTGTCATCGGACGTCCTCGATGAGCTTGCAGACGCTGCGAGGACATGGGCCGGAAAAAGCCCTGCGCAGCTAACGAAGGGATGTGTGTCCGGCTGAGTCTGCTCCCCGAACTTCCTGGACGGGTTGTGGTTTGACTGGTGGAGGCGATGGAGCTTCTTGCAGGCGGAGGTACTCGTCGAGATACGGAAGGTCGAGACTGGGGGATTTGCGATGAGACAGTGTATGATTGCGACTGCTCGCCATCCTCGGAGGTCATATCGGTCACTCGCGACGAAATGCCCCCGACGGAGGGAGGACGAGGGATACCCAGAACAGGGGCCGTGGGAGGAGGGTTCGTAGACTCATTGGGTTCCGAGTTGCCTGACGGGAACGCCATGTTTGATCGGAAAGGATTCAGAATATAATATGCTGTTATGGATCACGGCAGGGTATCATGATGGGGTCCAGTATGTAGTTCAATCCCAAACGAGGCAAGGCGGGAGAGAGAGAGAGAGAGAGAGAGAGAGAGAGAGACGGGAGCTGGTAAGGAGCGACAGTAAAACAAAACAATAGAATAAAGAACGTAAGCGACCTAGATTCGAAAATATCGATGTTAGCTCAGTGTGAAAGATTCCATCACCTCAGCCGATTCATCTGAAAGCAAGAGATCGTTGTGGGTTTCATTCACTAACCCCCTGGCTCATTAAAAGGGGAGAGAAGAAAGAGCGGGAGAGAGAGAGAGAGAGAGAGAGAGAGAGAGAGAGAGATATTCAGCCACCAACTCACCTTGAGAGAAATCCCCGGCGAATTAATCAGGTACACAGTAGTGAGGCAGCATAGGGAGCAACACACACACACACATATACATCCACACACGTCACATCACGATATGGAGATTCATCTTGGAAGCGAATCGCCTGCTTTGGATCGCTTTAGGATATCAGCGCTGACTCAGCAGATCAGGTGATGAATGCGCCGTCATCGTCCGACTTCCAAGTCGAGTTTCGCTCTCCCACTTCGAACCCAGAAAGTTCCTCTCCCTCTTCATTGTCTCCCGCCTCCACGCTTTCCGCTCCAACCCTCACGATGTCTTCAATTGCTGCCATGGCCTCTCGCCGGGCCTTTGCCCGCCAGGCTCTTTTCCGCGCTCCCCAGCGCCGCCTCTACAGCTCCAAGCTGGAGGAAGCCAGCCTCGACAAGGCTCCTAAGCGTGATCCCGAGCTCTATGTACGGAACTCTCCGATCGGAACTGATTCGAATTTGGAGTCGTGTCTCTAATTGATACATAGGTACTGCTCGCTATCATGTCTGGTGCTTTCCTCGGTGCCGGCTGGTGAGTTTCACTTCACTATTCACGGATCATGCCATTTGGGAGGGGGGGGGGGTTCAAGACCGCTCGGAAAATCGGATGAGTTAACACCAAACAAAACAAACCGAAAGAAGAGCCTAATTGATCGTCAATGTGGCATGGGATGCACCTAAGGGAATAATAAATAGCGACTAATTCGTTTTTCTTTTTCTTTCTTCTTTTGAATCTAGGTACTTCGGCAAGAAACCCACCTCCGTCACCTCCGAGAGCAACGTCCGTATCCCCGATAGTTCTATGCCCTGGGAGCGTGAGGATGCCAGTGGCAAGTCCTACAAGTACCAGTACCACCCCAACGGTGACAAGAGCCAGCCCCTCAGAAACGCTCCCAGCGCTCTGAACACCGTCATTATCCCCAATGTCACCCTGCCAGAGGTATGCTCTTCCTTTGCATGTGATTTTTTTTTATATTGGAGGGAATTGGGGTTCGCTAACACTACTTTACCCTTCTAGGATCTTCATGAGCGCTTCAACAAGTACGGCAAGGAAGAGTACGACTTCTAGACAAGTTATACAGCTACCGCGGAGGAATATGATAGTGATTTTTTTTTTCGAGTTGAGAGAGGGGCCTCTTGCTGTACACTAAAATTGCTGTGAAGATTAGAGTATGGAGTGAGGCTTTGTTTTTGACAAGAGCTTTGTGCATAGTTCGTTTTTGACGTGAATCAATTGGAGATTCTTTGTTTTTGCTTGATGCTCTGTAGCCTGAAATCACGGATTTATTATCATCATATGTATGGCCACACCACTCGTTAGATCAAAATAAGAAGGAAAAAAGAAAAAAAGAAAGAAAAAAAACCATTATTGTTTAAGAAATACAGAGAAGTTGATTTTGTTAGAACACAAATAATGAACAGATAAGAAATGTGTGGAGAGAGAGAGACAGGCAAAAAAAAAAAATGGTAAGCCAACCCCTGCTAAATGCGTCCTGTATTATATTTCCTTCAAATGGTCGCTTCATTTCCCTCACTGGCCGGTTTTGGCTCAGGAGAACTCTGTTCTTCAACAGAAATTTGGGCTCCAGCTGCAGAAGCCGGGCTGTCGTCCAGGGCCTCTTCCTCCTGCTTGCCAGAGGTTTCGGGGTTCTGACCTTCAACATCTGGGTGCGGGGGTGCGAGTTTGCCATCGACAACGTCAACCAAGTGGCCATTTTCCAGACGGGTTCTGGTTTCGTGTCTCGTCTCAAACGAGACCTTGCCTTCCTTCCTCAATGATGCCACCACCTCTTCGTCGAGAACGTTGCCGTTTTGATCACGGTATTCCACTCGCGCCTGAGATCCACGAAGCTGTGGAGTGCTAGAGGTAACTATGGGCTCTTGAATCTCTTCCTGAGCAGGGTTCTGCTCCTGCTGCTTGCCCGCTGGTTCGGGCACAACGGGCGGAGGCGCTTGGGCCACAGGTGCCGGGGTTGTTGGGATCACTGCGTTCGTGCTGGCGAATTGAGTCACATATTGATCAAGCTAATGCAACTTTGTTAGTCGTCGTCGCCGTTGTGGTGGCACGGAGCGCTTTAGAACCCTCGTCGCGGGGGTCGCCATTCTGGGACACTTACGTCAGTGTAGAAAGTATTGCAATCAAAGTCCCACGAACTAAGGAGCTTGACCTTTTGGCAGGCGTCCTTGGTCCATGGGTTGCCATAAACCAGAGGGGAGTAGAGGGCGAATGCAAAGATAGTGAGTGCAAGGAAGATAGCCGTCAATGCCTTCCCAATGACTGGCCGGGACGGGAGGCCGAGACTCTTGATACGGCTGGCAAGAAAATCAAATTCTTGGGACAGGGTAAGGATAGCAAAGTAAAGGGCTGGGAAATAGTGATGTAGGAAGAGCTGGCGCGCCATAAGATAGAACGGGAAGTAGTGGAAACACCAGCCAAGAACACTGGTACCAATTTCATAGTCAAAACGCTTGAAAGTGGCGTTGCGGTAATCACCACAGTTGCGCTGCCAACGAATAAGAGAGATTCCTTTGAAAATAGCATAGATGGCGATGGCGAAAGTAGACGAATACCAGACGAATGGGTTTCCAAAGAGGTAGACCTGACGGTGGTCGCGGCCCCAGAAATTGATACCGCGGAGCAAGGTGGGCCAAGAAGGTGGGCGGGAATCCCAGGCATGGGATTCGGTAAGCCCTGCGTTGGTAGTCCACATCACCTTCTGGAGCTCCCAGAATTTGCCGAAAAATCCAGGGTCACGGTAGGTGACCTTTTCGGCATCTTCAGGTAGCATGGGATGACTGTTTGATTCAACGTACCACACGCTGTTGGGCAGAGAGCCTCCTCTGGCACAGGTAACTTCCTGTTGGTCGAAGCCCCAGTCGGGAAGCTTAACCTTGTGGGAGAACAAGACGCAGCCAGTCATGACATGGACTAGTCGGAACTTGGTTTGAATGGTGCGCACACGCTTCTTGGCTTCTTCTCCGTCTGACAACGATTTGACGATCTCGACACGCCAGAAGTCGTTGGCATCACCAGCAAAGCCTTCATAACCGTAAGCAGAAACCTCGAACTGCCAATCAACGTCGGTCACGGGAGGACGCTCATTGTGAGAATGAATTCTTCGCTGTGTCATCAGATGGTTCAGCCTGATAACAGAGCCGTCTTCAATGTATTCGGCGGTAATATTATCCCATGCGAAGGGGCCTTCAATTTCTCCGTCGGGACCGATGGGCTGGGTCTGGTTCTCAGCGATGAAAACATTGTTCTCGTCTTTATGCGGATACAGAGTAATCTGCTGCTGCTTGCTGCCGGTGGGGTACATATGGCTGTGGGAGTGAAGGTATCCACCTTGCGTGTGGTGATGGCGAATGCTTAGACGAGAGCCAAAGACAACATCTGCGGGGACAGCTTGCATTCCCTTGGAATTCAAGGTGGCTTGGAACTCTGAAGACATGAAGCCGTCCCCCTCTCCGGGATTGACGAGGCACATGAAGTGAATTGCAAACATGGAGCAGTAGAACGCGAGGGGGATAACGATCAGGCAGAAGACACGAGCAAAGAAGTGTTTAAACCAGAGGCGCTAAACAATGGGTCAGTTTCCTCAACAGCCGGTTCAAGAGACTAATATGGCACATACAGGAGTGACATTCTTGGTGTCACCGAGGACCACCCAGAGTTGCAGGATCGTAAGGGAGCCGACCCAGGCAACGGTAAACAGACCAACCCACTTCACACTCAGAGTAGCGCCTAGAGATAGGCCAGTCGCCACCAGCCAGAACCACCAGGGTCCGCGGAAGGCATGCGAAGGGCCCAATTCTTGTTGGTTCGTGAAACACGAGAACGATAGTGCGGTAAGCGCAGTGAAAAACACCAAGGGGGAGTCCAACAGGATCAAACGAGACTGAGTAACCAATCCATTCTCTATACATCGTCAGTATAACCGTCCAGTGCTTGTTTTGCTGACAGGGACCCACCAAAGAGGATCGCACCAGCCCCCAGCACGGCAGTGGTGGTACGGCACCCGGTAGCTTTGAGGGTCAAAAACATAATGGGGACGGTCAAGATCCCCAGCACGGCGGGAAGCATGCGCATCGCAACATAGGGCACTCCGGGTTCGATGTAATCCTTGCCAATTTCCTTGAAATCAAAGTCGCCTTGAAACCCGGCGAGCCAGCCAGCCAGTGTAATGAGGAGTTTGGCGAGAGGGGGGTGAACGTCCATAAAGAAGCGGCCCTTGATGTACTTGGTAGCGAAACCTCCGAAACTATGCATCAAAACATTAGCATCGATCGCGTTGTAAATATTTCTTTCTTCAAGGCCAAGACATACTGGACTTCATCAAAGACAACGCTCGTCGGCTGGTAAATCCTAAACAGACGAACAACGGCGGCAACCAAGATCAACAGAACCATCGCCTTGTAATCGGAGGAGGGCAGATTGAAAATGTTATTATTTGTGACCCCATCCGATCCATAACTGGAGATCACTGCGGGGGCCTTCTTGCGATTCTTGGGCCTGGGGGACCGACTGGGGGAGCGCGACGAGGCCCGGGGAGGGTGAACCCCCAGGGTGTCCTTGGACTTTGGCGCCATTGCGGTGTGGGATTGATTCTCCCAGACGCGGAGGGAGAGAAAGGAAGAAATGGAAGCGAGAGTAAAGGGATTAACCTAAATGTAAGAGGAAAGAAAGGAGTGTTTAGAAGATCATTGAGAGAAAATCGAGGGGAAAGAGCGCAGATTATTGCGGTGGAATGAATACTTCCGACAAACAGCAAGTAGTTAGCGCTCACAAAACCCACGAAACCAAGCAATACAGCAAGTAAGAAATCAGATAAAGGGAGGAAGCAATAAAGTCGTGGAAAGAAGAAGAAGAAGAAGAAGAAGAATAGGAGAATTTAGGATGCAGTAGACTCTAAACACGAAGCGCCATCACACAGAGAGGGGAGAGAAGGGGAAGAAACGGGAACGGATGAAGGAACAGCTGGACTTAATTAGCTAGAAGACTCGACCACACATGTGGAAAGTCAGTCTTAAGGATTACGGACTAGTCAGTTACTTCTTTTACTGACTACACATTTAAAAAGGAGTTCGTAAACTGGTGTACCCGCTTTAAGGCCAGATCGTCCTGCTATGTACATACAAGTGGGTGGCAGGGGAACTTTTGGCCGCAAGCAGAGACCTTTAGGGGTTCCTTTCCTACTGCGTCATGTTCTCTCCCTAGAATCGTCTTTCTCTCTCTCATTTATTAGTTACAGGAGCGGAAGAGTTAAATATTGTTGAATTGAAATTCAGCCTCCGTCTCGAAACACATGATGTCGCACTTATGTAATAACGAGTCGCTCCCAGCCTATCTGGGTTTAGTTCCCGCGTCTAATCCACCCAATCAAACCCCAGTCCTTAAACGCGCGGCTATTCTCCAGTCGCGTCGGAAGAAGATGAAATAGAAATAATACTGGAATGCTATCTAACTTCACTCTGAGAGCTCTCTGCATCGCCCACTCACTCACTCGCTTGTTCACCTCCAGTCTTTCTGGTCTCGCGAACATGGCCTCAATGAGTAATGGAAATACTCCAACAGCCCCAGAGGATGCGAGCAAACCACCTGAGGGAGTGGTCTTGCCACCCAAGGATATTCGAGGTCAGTTCCCTCTTCTTTCTCCAATGGACTCGTCCGATGAAGCGCAACGGATACTAACAATTCATAGCGATCGTCGAGAAGACGGCTGGTTACGTCGCTCGAAATGGCATCGTCTTCGAAGGTATGCCCCCTCACTCCCACCCCCCACCGTCGCAGCTCAGCATCAGCCAAGATACTTATCCCTCCTCTCTTCCCTAGATCGTGTGCGCGAAAAGGAACGAAATAACCCCAAGTTCTCCTTCCTAAACTCGAACGATGCATACGCACCATTCTACCAATGGCGTCTCACCGAAATCAAAGAGGGACGAGGGACGGATGTGTTGACCGGCCGCCCAGGAGACGCAACTCCAGCTCCAGCGCCCGAAGTACCCCAGGGTCCGGAAGAACCTCCGGAGTTCCATTTTTCAGCCCGAATGCCCATAATTAACGCACAGGATCTGGAGGTTGTCCGGCTTACGGCTCTTTTCGTCGCCAAACGTGGCAAGGCATTCATGACGGCCCTCTCGCAACGAGAAACGCGAAACTTCCAGTTCGATTTCTTACGCCCGCAGCACAGTCTTTATCAATTTTTTACGAGGCTAGTCGATCAATACACTATGCTCCTACGGCCAGAGGGCATTGATGAGGCGACGTCAGAGAAGAAACGGCTTGCGGAGCTGGAACAGAACGTGAAGAGCAAGTTCCATATTCTGGATCGCGCCAAACAGCGGGCGGAGTGGGTGAAGTACCAAGAACAACAGAAGCAAAAGAAAGAGGAGGAAGAGGAGCAAGAACGGATTGCCTACGCCCAGATTGACTGGCACGACTTCGTGGTCGTGGAAAGCGTCCTCTTCACCGAGGCGGACGACCCAGTCGATCTTCCTCCCCCAACCTCCCTCAACGACCTTCAATCCGCATCCCTCGAGCAGAAAGCAATGATGTCTCTGAACCCACTTCGCATCGAAGAAGCCATGCCCACTGACGAAGAAGTCCCAACCTACTATAACGCCTACCCAGTACAGCCCGAACCCCAACCCTTCATCCAGCCCGCGGGCCCTGTATACCCCATCCAGCCACAACTACCTCAAGCTATCCCCGCCGCCCCGGCCATTGGCGCCGCTACCACAGCAGCCCAGGAAGAAGAACAGCGCATCAGGGAGCGCATGGAAGCCCGTGAACAAGCCGCTGCCGCCCAAGCTGCCGCCAAAGCACCCCCTAACCAACAGCAACCGATGCGTATTCGCTCCGACTACGTGCCGCGAGCCCAAGCCCGCCGCCTCAACCCCGCCGGCGCCACCGCCCTCTGCCCCAACTGTAAACAACAGATCCCCGAAGCCGAGCTATCCCAACACATGCGCATTGAGATGCTCGACCCGCGATGGAGAGAACAGCAAGCCAAGGCACAGTCCCGAACAGCCACGACTAATCTATCTACCGCCGATGTCGTCGGTAACCTGAAACGACTCGCCAGCCAACGAAGCGACGTGTTTGATTCCACTGCACTCCAGAATATCCCTGACCCAGAGGAAGAAGCGAGGAAAAAACGCATGGCGTACGAAGGCGCTCCCGGTGGTGGACCCATGCAGCAACAGCCCACAGTAGGTCCTATGGGCGGGCCGCCGAACCCGCAGAACATGAATATCGAGGAACAGATCAGACAGCTTCATAAGCGGTACAAGCAAGAGTCATCTGAACCCTCTTCCTATTCGGGTTGATTTGGCCTTTCTTGTTCTTCTTCTTTTTTTTTTTTTTCCGCCCCCAATTATCACTTGAGAGTGGACGTGTGTCGAATTGTAAAGTATACAATCAAGCCTTTTTTTTTTTTTTTTTTTTTTTTTTTTTTTCCCACGAAGCTTTCGCGGTCCTATGTGAAATCGATTCATAGTTTCTCTCTTTACCATGATTATAGTCTGGGGTGCCCAGGGCGCTACGTACGTACGTACTACTTCCATTACTCTTTCACAAAAACCAAGGTTTACAAAATATACGTATGTTTCTGAATAAATCATTAATCGGCAGTATATTTATGCGATATAAACCCATGGAATAGCCATAGATCTGCCGTATATTGTCCACTCCTTGCACGAGACTCCTAGCTTCCGTAGCCGTGTCTATTGCATGAATAGAAAGAAACCACATAAAAATGTATAGAAAGATCAGACCCCCGAGTAAGATAGAAGATAAGAAAGAAAGCGACAGAAAAAAAAAAAAATAGACAGCGCCAAATAAACATGAGCAATGACCGTAGTATCCGATTTGCGCCAAAGTCAGGGAATCGAATAGAACGTCCGTGATTAATAAAATAGAGTAAGGGAAAAAAAAAATAATAAACAGGAAGAAATCGGTATACAAAGACCAGAGAATCAAAACCATATTAATAATAATACACGTTGTGTGCTGCATGATATGGTTCTAGCCTGGCCGTTATAAAGGGATTAAGCGGACCATTAGGAGCAGCATGCTCAAAGTAATTGGTAATAGCAAGTTAGCCGTAAGGCGAAAGTATGGGGTATAGCAAATGACGACTCGCGTCTGGGGGCTATATAGCCTTGTTAAACTGGGGCCACTCTTCTGGCCTTTGTTGGCTGTGAGACGAGTCTCGGCCTAGAACGTAGATGTTGCCACAATCGCTTACACAGTAACTGAAACAGCTGTACTGTGTTCGGGCGGATTTTAAGACGATTTGGTCTTTGATGAAAGCGAAAAAAAAAAAAAAAATTGAAAATGGGGGGGGGGGGGTATCATGAGATCAAACCGTGGTGCCGTTGGGCAGAGGTTCGACAATGGTGGTGACGCATATTTCCTCTTTGGCGGACACCTTCTCGTTTGTGATTGTGTCCTTGGTGTTATCCTGTTCAACCTGCATGGCGGAGCTATCGGAAGCCTCTGTAGCCGTGTGGGGCGGTTGTTCCTCCTGCTGTTCCACTATAGCACTCGTCTGTGCGAACATAGGGATAATGCCTCCCCCAATTCTGGACCAGAACATTCTCTCCCTCAGGCGAACAGTCTCCTCCCATGCTTCCTTCTCCTCGTCGCTTTCGTCGACATGAATATGGCCGTCAAGGATAAGGCGAAGGTAACCGGTGAATTCACAGCAAGAGCGCACCTTTTCCAGGCAAAGAACACAGAGGGGATACCGTTGCGCGGTTTCATTGTCAGATGTGCGGAAACGATGAGTCCGCTCGTTATCACCGCCGTTTCGACGGTCGCCACATAGCGAGCATGGACATTCGTATTTCTTAACAGTGGATGGCATTGGCTCTACAACAAGACTTCCTTCGCAGATCCCACTCAGAACAGAGCGTCGGGTCAGCCAAGATATGCCAGGGGCTGCATCAAGTCTTAGGGTTGGCTCTATATCCTCCATGAGAACCCTCTTATAGAAGCGAGTCTCCTTGAGAGAAATTCCAGATGTTGTGTGCTGTGACGAGACACTTCCATTAGGGGAATGGGTCACGGATTTGGAGGGGGACGAGTTAGCGGAGCCGAATCCGCTGGTGCTGAAACCAGCCAAGCTCATAACGTTCAACCCTGCATAGGTCCCGCTCGCAGCCCGGCTAGGAGGTTTAGAGGTTTTGACTAGGTAAAACAATTCCCGGAAATCCTCGTACGCCTGCAGGTCGGTTCGGCACACTGCTTTGATGAAGTTTGCAAAACTGGTGGAGGGTCCGGGGGCGATTTCGGCATGGACGACTTGATCTTGAAGATCTGTAGCTTCCATGCTCTTTCTAGAAAGACCCGATGGTTGAAGGGGACCGGCTGGGGAGGGTGGAGCAGTGGAGATGGCTGTGCGACCATCGAGATCATGGTTTGATATGTTCATAACATGCAGAACGGATTTCAGCTCTGCGAGTTGTTCCTGATGCGACGCGAGAAGAGATTCGGTGTCTTTGATTTGGGAGCGTAGCTGTTCATTTTTCTTTTCAACGGCTTCGCGCTCAAGCTTCGCAGCGGCAACCATCTAGCAGGGGAATTGTTAGATTGACATCGGGGGCAGAATCATTCAAAGGGGAGACGAATTACCTTGTTTGCTTCCTCAAAGAGGGCGGCTGTCAGAGCCTCTAGCTCTTGCTCAATACCTTTCTTTTCCTTTTCCACCGAGATGCGCTGAGCCTTTTCTTCCGCCAAAGCGGCCTTGAGGCGGGTAATTTCGTCATCAGCATCGGATTTCTTGATATAGACCAGATTTTCAATGTCTCGTCGATAGCTCTCGTTTGCTGATTCTAGCGCACGAACCCGCTCCCGCGCCTGGTCCAAGTCTTGGCGGGTGGCGACTAGGTTATCATCGAGTTTTGTTTGATTGTTGATTGCCTGCACGAGCTTAGCGCTCAGAGCGGCAACTTCATTGCTGAGACCAGGGTGATGTGACGGAGGCGAGGGCGACTCAGAAGATTCGGGACTGCTTGGAAGTCTGGGGTCTTTTAATGTGCTGAAGTTGTTATCCGGGAATCCCCCAACGCTAACAGAACGAATGGCCGGTGTGGGTTTCCCCAAAGCGGCTGCAGACAGGTCATTTATAGACCTGGCTTTAGTGACGAGTCTATTGGGGGAGTGAGACCTATTGCCTGAGGAGAGGGATCGTTTGTGGCTGGTGGGACGCGGAATCATGGTGGAGGGGGACAGGAAGGAATGGCGCGAATAGTACGAGTGAAAGGCGATTAAACTAGTGACATCTTTAGCTTCTCCTCCCGCAAGAGCCGTATACGTTCGGGGTTCAGGGGCGTACTCTGTCATGGTGGTGGAGAGCTGCCTGAGGTGCCGGAGGATAAGGGAAACGTCGTAGTCTTATCTCATGAAGCAGACGAAGGAACGTTGAGAATTGTGTATTTGGTCGAAGGATGCCAGAATGGAGATATTATAGGGTGCTAGAGCGTAGATAGCTTTCAAGAAGGGCTGCTAGTGGATCCAGAGACGACGGACGCATTGAATGTGGAGAGAAGGAATGGACTTGAGAGGCTGGGGGAGAGAAAGGATAGACGCAGAAACGAAGGTATAGGAAGGGGAAAAGAGGAAGAAAGGCAGAGGGATTGGCTAATTAAGTGGAAGGAGTAGGAGGCGTAACCCCTCTTCGAAGAGGGTGGTTAATAGACCAGGAGGAAGAGGAAGAGGAAGAAGAAGAAGAAGAAGCAGAAGCAGAAGAAGACGAACAGGAAGCGGAAGAGTTGGAGAATGGGTGAAATCTGATTACGGCTGGAAATACGAAGATGGGTGGCGGGTGGTAATATTACCGGTCTCACGATGGTATTGTATTGCTGAGTCACTCTTGTGACCTGCCCAATTTTTAGTAGCGATTCAGGTTGTCCCCTCGATCTCTATCACATTCTTTTATAACTCATAATTGCTAAGGATAACTTTGTCCCGAGTCGTCCGTGCCTATATTAAACCACTATTCAGCTGTCTTCCCATTCGCTGAGATGCAGGATAGCGGCGGGATCTTGATCCTCTCAGCAGCGAGCTCCCACCCAGTCGTTCGGCTCTACATCTTCAGACGCAAGGAACTCCCCTGGCCGTCTCCTTGACGTTGACTAGGATTGTCCTTGTTTCAATTTATAGAATCGATTTTCTCCACTCAGCTTAAATTGGTGTCGAGAAATCTGAAGAACTCCGTGCAGTTCCGAGCTCCCTATCCTCGCCGCCATCCGACGGAGTTGCATCGAAGGCCATCATTTGGAGATCGGTTACCCACTTCCTTAGATGGTGACGACACTCGGCGCCAAAGAGACCCTCACCCACATTGTTGAAGTTTGAGACTGTATTCTCCGGGGCTACCATTCGAGTCTCAGAAAGACGTGCGCCCACGGAGGACGACGGAGTATTGAAGCTGTGTACGGAGTATCGCACTGACACAACCGTAGGTAACCGCAATAAATGCAGTGACATGATTATGTACCACCTATAAATACGCACGTCAATGAAAAATATTATCATATTTTATAGATCTATTATTTTACACCAAAGGACCGAGCGTAGGTAGCTGGAGCCTCAGGCTCGCCCAAACCACCCCCCCCCCCCCATGTTGTAGCCTTACTGCCTCAGGATCCAACAATATTATAGTGGGGTTCGAAACTTCTCTACGGAGTACTAAAGTATTCAACAAGATAAACCCATCTTGATCATTGCGAGTTTGTCTCACGTTAAAAACGTAGGGAGGAGACTCACAGAGCTACTTTTTGTCTCGGATAATTCCTATCCCCTATTCCACAGAGATTACAGTACTCGTTTGACAAGCCATGGCGGACGCAGACCTAGAAGAGGTGAGCATACAACCCCTCCCCCCCCCCTTAAACCGCTTTGCTCGTCTTGCTCGATCAGATCGATATTTACCCAAGACGTGATGTGCTGCAATAGATCCGACGGGCTCGTCTCGCGCAACTCCAGCAGCAACAGGGTGGCTCTCGAGGAGGAGCAGCTCCCTCCGAAGGCAACCAGGACGACCAGAGACAGTGAGTTTTGCGATGGCCCCTCCTCTCTCCACCGCTCCGCAACAGCTCAACCGAAATATACAGAAAAGCTTTCCTAACTAACTACTCTACTTTTTCCCCTCCAGACAAGCCGAAGGTATACCCCCGTTGTCAAATCCCCATTCCTCTCTAACAGAAATACCCAGCCGAACGCCGCTCTACAATCCTCAACCAGATCCTTGAGCCCGAAGCCGCAGACCGTCTAGGGCGCATCCGTCTCGTCAAGGAATCGCGTGCCGTGGATATCGAAAATCGTCTGCTCATGCTCGCTCAGACAGGCCAGCTACGGCAAAAGGTGACCGAGGAGCAGCTGAAGCAGCTTCTCAACGCGGTCGCGGAGAACCAGCGCAAGGATGAGGAGGAGCATAAGATTGTGATTTCTCGGCGGAAGGGAGGATGGGAGGATGATGATGATGATTTGTTGGATTTGTGAGCGGTTGTATGTTTCTTTTCTTGTGTTGATTGTTCCGATTTGATTTCTTAGCCCCCCTTCCCATTATTGAGAAAAATGAGGCGTTACGATTTATGATATCTTGGTTTCGACCATTGATCTTTTATGCTATAGTTGATGCTGGCTGAGAGAGAGAGAGAGAGAGAGTAATAAAGTATGGGTGCGTGTTCTTGAGATATGAAGTCAAGAAAGATGCTAAGTATACATATGTTTTCACGCTTAAAAAAAAAAAAAAAAAAAAAAAAGGTAAAATACACACAATGTTCCTCGCCCGTAAGAGCGCACATTATTACTATACTATACAGACTTCCCCTCGAGTCTCTCCTTCTCCCGCTTCTCCTGCATCCTAACCATCTTCCGAATCTCCCTCATATCCGGCGGCTTCTCAATCCCAAACTCCGCACGTAGCTCATCCACGTCCTTCTCCAGAATCTTCTCCCAATAGACATTAATCAGCTCTTTACTCTGTAACCCGCTTCGCACCGCCCAGGGCAGATACAACGAAAAAAGCCTCTCGCGCTCTGCGGGCTTTAACCGAATCGCCGCAAACATACTCAGCCCCGTCATGGGGATCACCGTATTCAGGAACTCGAACGCCTTGAGCGCCAGCTCGCCCTCCACGAAGGTCGGCAACCCGGTCACCGCATGGAAGAAATCGTGGCACTCGCGGTACCGCTGCATGACGTACGCGCATTCCTCGTCATCGATGTATTGGACATTGTCGCGGGTATCCGGGCTGACGCCTTCTCTGTCCAACCAAGCGGCGTAGGTCCGGCCGATGGAGTTCTCGGGTAGAGAGCGGAGGTAGGGAAGTCGCAGGGTGGTTGAAGTTATGCGGGGGCGGTCGCGGAGGATTTGGCGACCGGTTGGGTCTTGGAGCATTGCATCGCGCAGTCGGTAGATGAAGTATGGCGTTGCTGTGACTTCGCCGAGGGTTGCGATTAGGTCTGGAAGAGGAACTCAATATTAGCGAGTTACGGGGTATTTGGAGGGGGGGGGGGGTTTATAGAGCAAGCTCACCTGCTCTTCGAGGATTCAGGAGAGACCCCAATGCAGAGCCTACGGTGAGAAAGCCCTTCTCGAGGAAATTGAGCGGAACATGGTTGGGATATTTTGGCGGCGGACGATTCAAGCCGGAAAAAGGTCGCGAGCGACACGTTGATCGGATGGGAATTGACGGGAGGGCTAATTCTCGGGCACGGAGAGGTGCACCACCATACCTTCCGAGAACAGACATATTCCCAGTCAACCCAAGCTGAGATGAGGAGAATGAATGTTGTCAGTTTGGGTGGTGATAGTGGTGGTATGATACGGAAGATGGATCGGACAGCATGGATGGCTGCTATGTGGCACCGTACTACTGATAAACATTGATTGATAACCGCGATATCTGACTCAACTATCCTGAGCTCTAGCCTTCGAACGCAAAATGAAGCCAAGTTGGTGGCCGGGGGAGGAACATGAACAGTTCACAGACTGGGCCATTTCCAATGGCATTGTTGCGAATGGAGTCGGTCCTGCGCGATTCCTAGGCCGTGGGTTGGGAATGATCGCCTTGCGAAGTATACAAGTACGCCGTTGATCCCCCCCGCCCCAAAAAGAGCAAGGCCTTCTGTTACATATTCTAATCACCAGCAACCACAGAAAGATGAAGCTATTGTGAAAGTACCACGGCAGATAATGTTGACAGTCGAGGGCATCCCGTCTTCATTTACCGAAAATTTCCCAGAAGGCACTCCTGTTCACGTGCTTCTGGCTGCTTTCTTGACCAACGGAAACCCGCAGGACCTTAAACAGTATGACCCCTGGCGGAAGACCTGGCCCAGCAGAAAGGATTTTGAAGACTGCTTGCCTATTCTGTGGCCGGAGTCTCTGTGCGGCTCGAACTGTGAAGCCGATCCTCGCTCTGCCAAATCGACAAATCTCCTCCCGCCGTCGATCTCGGGTCGTTGGAATAGCATCCGGAAAAGAAAGCCAAAACACGAATACAAGAGTTCTCATCAAAATCTCCTCCTTCAGCAGAAGACCAGGTTGCGCAATGCGTGGGATAGGGTTGTTGCTGTCTTCCCCGACACGGATTGGGAAAGCTTTTCCTACCACTGGTTGATTGTCAATACCAGAAGCTTTCACTATTTAATGCCTGGCCAGGAACCACCGGAGGACCGAAACGATGCCATGGCATTGTTACCCTTTGCTGACTACTTCAACCATTCTGATGTAGCGGTATGTGAACTCAGCTCCATTTGAGAAGCTTTACTGACTAGAATAGTGCAATGTAAAATTTGACGGCAAGGAATACGTCTTTAGGGCTACCACATCATATGGTATGTACCTACGTTATATAAGTTTAGTTTTGGGGGTTGGTTGCTAATTCCAGTGTAGAAGAAGGCGAGGAAATATTTATGAGTTACGGACCACACCCGAATGATTTCCTTTTCACTGAATGTAAGACAAAATGAGCCCAGGCTTTCACTTGCACCTGATTAACTTTATATGTTAGACGGGTTCTACTTGGACGAGAACAAGTCTGAATCATTATACCTCGATGATATTATATTTCAAGACCTAAGTCCCTCTTTCCAGGAGGAGCTGAGTTTGCAGAAGTATTATGGGTAAGTCTGTTTGCCCTCACACTGGCTCCCTATTCTTGATTGTTTCCCTGCTTCTTCGAGGCACTATTTTCGCCCCACTCACAATACACACCAGGAACTATCAATTAACGGCCGCCGGCGTCTGCTACCGGACCGAGATTGCTGCCTGCATGAAATACATGCGACCCGAAGATTGGCAAAATTATGTCCTCGGTTACTCTACCAGAGGATTTGACGCAAAAAAATCCGAAGCCGTTATCCAAGAATGGATAACTGCTTATGAAATGGAAGCAGAGGCGGCTATAACTGAACTCGAGCGTCTGTGGTCTGGTGAAATCGCCAGACAACACGGCGAGAAGGTGCGAATGCTGCTGAAACGGTGGAGACAGATCCAGAATCTCTGTCAAGAAGCCTTTGATACAGTGTCAGGCTAGAAACCCCAAGGCTATCAGAAAAATGGACACATTTAAAATTTTTCGTCCTCAAAATCTCTCATAATATCAACCGGTATGGCGCCTGATTCTCGCTGCTTTGACCGTTGCTGTTTTGCCAATACCAAGTGCTTGATCATGTAGTTCACGACGCACTTGATGCCCAGCTCCTCGCCCCTGCGCACGATGTAGCCGTTCAGGTACTCGATCTCTGTCGTTTTTCTGGCACGCACATCCTGCAACATGGAGCTGTGGTTCTTGGCTGTCTTATTCGCAAGTTGTGTAACCATCCACCGTAAGCGTTCAGGAGAGAAACGACTTTCTATTCCAGGTATCCCCTGGAGTTCCGGCAGACTGCAGACCACACTCGAAATTTCAAAAAGCAGAAGCCGCATTATACGAGTAAAGCTATAATTGTAAAGGAGTTCGCCATTTTCGCAATCCATCAAGGCTGTCAGAGGGTTGATGACGGAATTCATCGCTAACTTCTCCAGCTGGTAAAGCATAAGTGAAGAAGGGGTTTCAGCGACAGCGACTAGGGGCGGCGTAAGGGTGAGGGTGCGGAGCAGATATTTGGTGCTTGGGGGCCAATCAACCTCATTTTCACTCGTTGTAAGGGAGCCTGTGCTATGCGGTAGCACGGGCCCCAATATGGTTGTGCCCACACCAGTATGAGAAACTTGAAACGGGTCTTTTCTTCGCGCCAGGCCATGGCTGACAATGCCAAACATGTAGTGTGGACGTTGATGAGGATCAGGAAAAACTTTCTCGTTAACTTCATCGATAGTACCCATTCCATTTTGAAGAAATAGGACGGTAGAGTCGGGAGTCAGGCGGTGACTGACGGACTCCAAAGCCATTGCTGTCACAGGTGCCTTGACAGAAACGATCAAGCATTCGATTTGTTCATCATCCTCTGCCGAATGTGCCAATGAATCTTCGACAGTTTCGTCCAGAGTCTCGTCAGAAATTTGCTGATCCTCTATCGGTGTTCCATCTTCTTTGTTCCAGTACGGAAATGAATGCCATGTTTTATCATGCAAAACGTTAACGTCAAACCCTGTCTTGATATCATCCAGTCCGTTGCTATTGATAGACAGGCACTTCTTCTTCGCTAACCAAGACGCGTATACATCTGGGTTATGGAGCAGAAGAGTGATGGGTGGTGGGGACGGCCGACTTGCCAGAGAGTGGGCGACGAAAGTTCCGACATTTCCAAGGCCGAGGATATGGATGCGACCAGACAATCGATGCCCTCTAGCCTCTCTTGACGCCTCATCAGCGTCTTGCATCCAAGTCGATGCCAGCCGACTCGGACACATCCGTTGAACATTACGCCCCCTGGCAAGGCATAATTCCGATATTGCCGTCCGCAAGAGCGGACGGACTCCTATTGTATGCGACACTTTGAAGAGATTGGCGAAGACGACCAATAATATCAAGAATCTAGCACCTTGGAGTCTAGGGAGCACCTGTTCCCTAGCTGTATCGCATTTGAGATAGAAATCTATTCACTCATAGCCCACCAAGCCATGCGCAGAGACTAAATGGTGGTGTCGACAGCAGTGAACATCAGCCATTTGTATGTAACTTTTGAAGTTGGAGAAAGAAAGAGCTCTCCACCGCCTACCACACCGCCTCCAGATGCAAAAAAAAAGTCAACACTAATTTCGCCAACAAAATTTTATGAGATCCTCAAACTCACTCACTCATTTCACTTTCTGCGGTGGTTCATATTCTAATACACGATATGGATACTACGGACATTATTACGCTGCTTGAGCAGCTGGATGACAACGTCGATGACCTGGAAGAGATCCTTAACCCAATCCTAGACAGCACCGTGGTTGAAACATCCAAGAAGCTACCAGTCTTGGACAAAGCCAAATTTCACGTTCTTGTGACTTATACTCTTGAGTCTCTTCTATTCTGTACGTATCATGTCTCTGAATATTTGACAAAACGAAGCAATTTACTGACTATAATCAAGCGTATCTCCGTCTACATGGGGTTAATGCCAAAGAGCACCCTGTCTTTCGAGAATTAACAAGAGTGAAGCAATACTTCGAGAAAATTAAGGCGCTAGAAACTGAACCAGAACAACGAACTATGACACTTGACAAACAGGCTGCTAGCCGCTTTATCAAGCACGGTCTTGTGCGTAGGCCCTTCTCCCAATTTAGTTGATAAACAGCTACTCATTGACACAGGCCGGAAATGAAAAGTTTGACCTGGAGCGGAAAGAGCAAATTGCTAAGGAAAAGGCACGCGCACAATTGAAGGCATCATTGCTGGCAAAGAACGCAAGCGCTACTCCGGAAACCTCCTCTAAGAACCATACAAGTGATTCCGACTCCGATTCGGGGTCTGATTCCAACCAGCCTGGCGACGAAGAGGAAACGAAAGCATCACAACCGCAGCAGACGTCGACTAAATCCCAGAAGGGCAAGAAGGGGAAAGATGCAAAACATCCAAACCGCCGTACCAAAGAGGGACGTAAAGAGCAGAAAAAAGATAGAAAAAAAAAAAAGGTGGAAGCGAGGAAGGCGAGAAAGACCACTTGAATGCCGTGACTATAGGATCTTAACACCACATGATACCACCCGCGTCGGTTTGTTTATGAAAGAAAGATGCTCCACATCACCACTGCTAGGACCATTGTCGACGCTTGTACTAGATCGATGCTCATGTCTGCAATACCACCTCGGCGCCCTCATATACCTCTCGTTAGGTGAGACGGCTGTGACCATCATATTACATCCAACAGCGGCTGGCCTTTCGGGGGTTTGTCTCTTCAGATCACCCCTATAACAGATATCCGGGTTTGTGGGATCTACGCTTTGAATCCTTCCATCGAGTGCAAAAAGATTCAAACAGCTGGCGCGAAATGAACCGGCAACTTCCACCACATTTCCCGCAACTTTATCAATATTCGATCAAGCACAGTCTCGATCATCATTCACGAGTGACTCATCAAGGTCATGGTCTCGGAGGCCCGGAGATAATGCACGAGACAGATGCTTTTTTGTCATAGATTAGATTAGTTAATCTAGATCGATGATGGAAACCCAGAAGCAATAACAGTCTGGTTTTATAAGACCTCTTTTGTAAGTGAATTATAGTAGACATTCATTCAGCCTTTCTGGCACTTGGACTTTTTGCACAATTACAGTAGCTACGTAGGTACCTGGTCTGGGTAAGGCCGCGTAACGGCGATACGGTCTTATAACCGCCGCTGCCGGATTCTCCCGTGAAAACGTCAGCCAAAAATACCGCACTTGGTAAAACCCGGTAATAACTGGTTCCTGATGACATAATCTGCGCCTCGGCCAATCGAAATCGACGAATTTGCCCTGTGCATCGGAGTTTTCGACTTCTTCTCCGCCGACGTTTCGAGCGGCTTCTTAAACTTCTCTCTCTCTCTCTCTCTCTCCTCACTATATAACTTTCGTCTCCCATCTCGATCCCGGTCTCGATCCCCTCACTACCCCGAAATAACATCCCATTTCACATAATCAAAATGCCTCGTCAACGCCGTGGTGCCGCTCCTACCCCTGCGCGCAGCGCTCCCACCCGCCCTACTGCCGCTCCTGCTCAACCGGCTCATGCTCCATACGGCCAGCAGCACAGCCAGCCTCACTCGACTGCTGCCCACCCCCCTGCTGCCCCTCAGCAGGCTCCTCCCGCTCCCGCTCCTGTCCAGCAGAGCTCTGGACCCGGCCTCTTCGGCCAGATGGCTTCCACCGCTGCGTAAGTCGCCGCCCTGCCCCCGGTTCCATATCCACTCCGCAGGACTCCGGGTTGTTTTGCAGTGGCAAACTACCTCGGGAATAGCAATAACAACCCTGGGATTCATTTGCTCTCTGAAAAAAAAAAAGAAATACTGACTTTTCCCCACAGTGGTGTAGCTGTCGGTTCCTCCATCGGACACGCCATCGGTGGTTTCTTCAGCGGCGGCGGCTCCAGCGCTCCGGCTGAGACCCAGCAGGCCCCTCCCGCTCAGTCTCAGGGTATGGACAGTGGACTGTGGCAGAGCAACGCCGCCAACAGCTCCTGGGAGAACCCTGCTTGCGAGGCTGATGTTCGCAGCTTCCGCAAGTGCATGGATGAAAACCAGGGCAACATGTCCATCTGCGGATGGTACCTTGACCAGCTGGTACGTGCTTTGCCCCTTTGCTTTGGTTCTACTAGAACAGGCTCCGCTTGAGAAAAGCAGCGCATCTTGGGAGATATCATTGCTAATACCTTTTTTTTTTTTTTTTTTTTTTATCTTTACAGAAAGCCTGTCAGGCCGCAGCTAAGCAGTACTAAGCGATCGAACTGGGTACTTGTCTCATGTATACTGTTTTTTTTTTCTTACGTTTTTTTTTTTTTTTTTTGGATGAAAATTAAGTACGCACTGGTTGTTGTTGTGTGCATTGGCAATGGCAACAATTGGGTCTGGGAATAAATAACTAGAGTGCGGCTGGACTCTAGATGGTACGACGATAGTCGATTTGTGTCTTTGCATAGCGGCGTAATTTCCCTCTACTGTATACCATTTTCCTTGAGGAAATCACAATCTGGGTTGTTTTAAGTATAAATCATGTGTTCTAAGGATGAGATGGACACGAGAAATAATTCAAAAAAAAAAAAGCATATTCTCCTCTTCATTTTGTTCTATTACTCGTAGTAGTAGTTTTTACAGGGAACCTAAAGTATGTCAGTGGAAGACATCTTGTTTACGAAACCCTTGGGTCTAATTTTGGAGGAAAGTCCATATATATTATTTGTTGTTTTTTTTACAATTGACGTGATTGAAGAACTCATCAAGGCAGGAACAATATTATAGGTATATGATTATCCTACACCACTACCGGCATAACCATTTTTCAACCCTGAGAATATTCATTGCCCATCGTCGTCTTGTCGGGGTTCGAAATTAAGCTACGTGAAATAACGTTAGTAAAAGCGACCGCAACATCGACGTCCAACTGTGAGGTCGAGAGGGTTAGTAGATACAATCCGTACCTGGTTCCCATTGTAAAACTGACTCCTATCCTGGTCGTTTTGTTGGTCTCTCAGAGTCCGAATGTTTGGGCCGGATGCGAATGGACGGCGCCGCTGCACAGTATCCTCTGTTGGCTGTGGAGTGCTTGGTTGGGCGGGTTCGGGTTGAGACGATGCAGCGGCGGGGCCATAGGCAAACAATGAGGCTCCTAGCCCTATGGCGGTGCTGACAGCAGAGGAAACCAGTCCATATACGACGGAAACTGCTCGAACAGGCAAACTTAACGTGGAGCTGGACTCCGTATATGCCTCTATATATGACTTGACGGGGACCATAACGAAGGTCGCAGTGGACCCGACTATGAGCTCTTGAAGCGCCTGGTCCTCCTCCGCAATCGTAAGAGTCTGGTTTGGTAAGGGGGTGAGAATGTGCTTCAGGTTAAAGGGTCGTTTTTCCTCCCCCATTTCGCCATCGAGCCAAGCTCGTACATCTTTTCGAATAGTCTGGGATGGTGTGAATGTTGACCGGACCGACCTTCCATCGAACAGCCGTACCTGAAGGCGATATTGTGAAGGCGGACCACGTGCTGGCCTTGGCTGACTGGCGGAGGCTTCCTCTGTGGGCTGCGGCCGCTTTGATGCGGAAGGCTCCCCCTTTGCCTTCTCTTTCTTGTCTTTGTTGGCAAGTTTAGGTCCTTCCTTTTGTTTTGGGGGTTGCTGTGCTGCAGTGGGTAGAGAATATCGGGGAGTCCGTGTAGTTTCAACCTTCTTATTTTCCGATTTCCTGCTGGGAGTAGTTGGACTCGGCTGGCCTGGAGTCGATTGGGAATGCGCCGTACCGGTTGTGGTAGAGGGGGCTGTAACGCCCGGTTCAGTAGCCTGGGTGGTGGAGGGACCTGCCTCCTGGCTTGGTGGTGGATTTTGCGACACTGTCGAATGCACAGCCTGTTGAGTCTGAGGTTTACTGCCATCTAGAACAAGCATAAGCCGACTGTGAAAGTCTTCCTTCGAGATTTCCGGTACGATGTATTCGCATAACATTCCATTTCTACAAGATTGTCAATGTCCGTCTTGCGCTAAAGGGGTCCACTGATTTGCAGCCTGAACCTCATTCATACCTTATGGCAATCACTACCGGGTATTGTGTAATAGGGCAAACAGAGGAGAGGAACCCTGCTTCTGGGCTGTCTTTGGCGATGCGCAATAGGACAGATTTTGTTTCGAGTAATGGCGTAAACTGCTCAACGAAAACATGTTAATAATTGCACCCCAAATCTGAAAGACAGAGCCTGCGCATAGTACCTCATCGCCTAGAAAATACTCTTCCTCCCATGTAGAGCTTGTTTCGCTGTCATCTGTAGAATGGGAAATCAGTGAATAGCTGGATACTATGAGCGCCAGCAAGACCCCCGCCAACAATTACTGGACAAACAAACCTCGAACAAAGCAGACAACAGCCTTAGCTTGTTGAACAGCGAGTGTAATTCCTTCCTGAAGTGACCCGGAGAAGAACATGTTGAGGAGAGGGAGTGGTGCTGCAGAGTAAGAAGGACGAGTATGTCAATTCGTCGGCGGCGAAGACCCATTTGATTGCCGATCACGAGTTCCACCTCCGCTAACTAACTATCAGTTCACCATTCCGACTACTGCCTTCTTCTTTCCTTTCCTCCAGGAGTCTTTACCTCTGCTCAACATCGCAAAAGCTACACCATATCTTCACTGTACTATACCAACTAGTTCCCAATTGGACATGCGATCGGTCTTTTCGGTCCTGCAGCGGACCGCTACAACCCCGGTATGGCAACAACCGATTTCTTCCATCCGGGGTCCTCACTCTCGCCTGGCCTTCAAGCTTGATTCAATTTGCGCCAGATGTCGCCGCCAGCAGATCCGATTCTCAAGTAACCGGCAACTGGCCGATGATCCCCGGTGGCTCTCTGTCGTGGACAACCCAGCTCAACTTGTGCGAACAGGTCGCAAACATGGTCCTGGTTTAATTCTTCTCGGTATTGCCTCCTACCTGAATATGGGCTACATTATTTACCGCGGAGAAACTGACCGGGGTTGGGGAATTCGTTAGCATTGATTCCTATTATTTCGTTCGCATTGGGAACATGGCAGATCCAGCGTTTGGACTGGAAGACACAACTGATCGCGAAATATGAAGATCGTCTGGTTCGAGATCCTCTCCCGCTCCCTCCGCGTGTTGATCCCAGCGTTGTTTCCGAATTCGATTATCGCCGTGTCTATGCTACGGGTCGTTTGCGACATGACCAGGAAATGCTGATCGGGCCTCGTATGCGTGACGGCCAGGATGGATTTTTGGTTGTTACGCCGCTGGAGCGAGGAGAGGGCGAGAGTACGGTGCTGGTTAATAGGGGGTGGATTTCTAGGAAGATGAAGGACCAAAAGGACAGGGCGACGGGGCTGCCGCAGGGCGAGGTCACTGTTGAAGGGCTACTACGGGAGCCCTGGAAGAAGAACATGTTTACGCCGGATAACAAGCCGGAGGAAGGGAAATTCTACTTTCCAGATGTTGAGCAGATGGCTGAATTGACCGGCAGTCAGCCGGTTTGGATTGAGCAGACAATGGGTAAGCTAATTTCCTATCTAGTCTGCAGACGCTGCAGCTAACCTGAGTCTATTAGTCCCGGATTTGGTTGAGTCGTACGACAGGGAGGCAAAGGGCATCCCGATCGGTCGACCGGCCGAAGTGAACCTGAAAAACAACCACAGCCAGTATATCTTCACATGGTACGTTCATTTCGAGCCTCCCAGGGCTTCATATCGCGGCCCAGCCGGGAATCGTTGCTAACTTCATGCAGGTACGGATTGTCCCTTGCGACATCTATCATGCTGTGGATGATTATCCGAAAGAGGCCTAACGAGGCCACACGTCGTGTGCGTCAGAATCGGAATTGGTAGTTTTGCCGTGCTGGTTTCGCGCATACGGAGGCGTCGGTTCTGCTTGTCTATTATACGGTTTACTGTAAGATAGTATTCATCATGGCGGCATTGCGAGTCTCATATCCTGCAGCAGCTCCTTGGGCAGATGCTTTTGTGCGAGAGAAAATACCGTTGTAGTGTTATTGAGATGTCGTTGCCTGTCGAATTAGCATTCTGATTTCAAAACACCAAGACTTCCCTCAAAACTCACCTCCTCATCATGGTTGTAACGTCGGCCTCATCGATAGTTTTGCGGCCAGCGTGTTTGGAATATGCAGCTAGATCTTCGCCCACTTGCTCAAAATACCATGAAGAGGCTTGCTCAATAGCCGCCAGAGTGGACTTGCTAATTTTCGCCTTGGGCCCTGCTCGAGCTCGTGCAAAGCGCGTAGCCAGCTTTTTAACGACGCCTGCAGGCAAATTGGGGACAGGAATTCCATGTCGCGAGAGTTTCTTCTGTTTTGAACCCTGTATAACGGTCTCTCCATCCCGCAACCCTCCGCCAATCAGTCCAGGACTCTCACTTGGAGTCACTCTTTGCGGAAGGTTAAGTTCTAGTCCGAAACCACCGGTAAAATCACCGGCATCGTCGCTGTCATCGGATCCAGGGCCAAGATCTGGTTCCAAATCGACGGCTGGCAGTTCAAACCCTTCGTCGTCGTGCAGAGGTCCATCCGGATTCAAATCATCGATAGGTGCTTGGGGCGATGGAAAGTTGAAGTCGAAGTTGAATCGCCCAAGATCTTCCGTTTCTCCCCTACACGTAACATTTATTAGTAACATGGCCTAATGACACCTGCGCACACTGGGACTTACCCCCGATCAAAAGCGCCTTGGCTGATGACAGTTTCATCCCGATCCTCATCGTGCACTAAGCCTGTGAAATCGCCGCCCTCAGAGTCGCTGTCAAGCCTGGTAGCATCCCCGAAATTCTCGCTAAGGCGAGCACCACCAAAACTCATCATAGATAGCCGCGCCCTATCGCGATCCAGAGTAGCTCTTCGAGGATACTCGACAGAAGTATGCGTGATATCGTCGTCCTCTAATGCCATTGACAACCGAGGTGGACGTATCTCGGGGCTTCCCTCGTCATCTTCCTCGACATCTTCTAACGGCAAGGATAACCGTGGTCGCTCAATCTCCGGTTCATTATCGAGCTCGTCAATCTCGTCTAGTTCTTGTTCCACCTCCAATTCGGGCTGTACCTGTGGCGATGAACGAATCTGTTGTGAGATGGGGGCAAGCGCTAGATATTTTTGTCAGTTACTTCCATGCAGCACCTATCGTTTTAAACACATACCTTTACTTAGGTTCCGCAGAACATCAAACGTTGTTTCCCGTGGACCACGTCCACTTTTCCGGCGATCCCGACCAGGGGTATTTGCCGCGCGTCGTTGCATTGCGCGAAGTCCATATGGGGTTGACGGAGCTCTGGTCCCTGGTGTCCACCGAGAAGCTGATCTGTTCGCTAACGGCGTCGTTGACGCAAGTCGACTCGGCGTGGAAGGATACCGGGTATGACTAGGAAGTCGCTGCAGCTACAAAATCGATTAATTAGCATTGGAACGTATTTTGACCAGATAATGCATGCACCAACCCTCGTGAGTGTTGTATCACCGGCCGGAGTGAATGCTTCAGAGCTATCAGAATCCCGCGCGCGCCGGCGACCGCGCCGGTTTGGAGTAGCTGACATCAAGGCGGATAGCAAAGTACCCCTAGCATCAGAATACCCAACGTATATACAACGGAAGCGCCGAAATTCAATCCACAATAGGTGTGGACCAATATGCGATGACAAGGGAAGAGTTGACGAGGGGTCGATTGTGCATTCTAGAGCGCGTCTTCGGCGGTGGCATAACAACCTTCCTTAGTAAGTCGGGCTTGATTGGGGAAAAGCTTATCGATAAGATCCCGCTGACTCAGCTAAAAAAAAAAGTTGCGCTGCAGACGTGCAAGAATTGCGGAGAAACCGTTTGCACCTACGAGAGTGCCATTGATTCTTCGCTCGATCTTTGAATATATTTGGGCACTGCTTATTCAAAAACGAAATATGTCTGGAGAAACAGCCACTCCCTCCGGCCTAGCCGCCAAGGTGGACAAGAAGCGCAAGAGACATGCGGAAGAATCCTCGAAGGAGACAAAAGCCGCTGCCTCCAAGCCTACCGGTGATGTTTCCGAGGGTCATCAGAAGAAGAAGAAGAGGAAAAATGGAAATAAGAAGACAGAGGACACCGATAAACCGAAGATGATCAGAGGAGAGCCCTTGGAGAAAGAGCGCAAAGGTGGCATGGATGAGTCCATTGGGAAGATGGATGGCCGGCTACTTGCAGACCACTTTGCGCAGAAGGCCAAGCGACACAACAAGGAGCTGACTGCTGTTGAGCTGAGCGATATTAGTGTTCCAGGTATGATGATTTCTTTGCGACCCTTGCCGGTAAATTTGCTGCTCGATTTTCACTAACGAATGCAGACTCCGCTTTCCTTGATACATCATCCTTTGATGCCGCAAGAACACTCGAGAAGCTTCCTGATTTCCTCAAGGCCTTTAGTCCTAACAAAGGAGTCGATTTCGAGAAGGCATCTCAGCACAAGGGCACACCTCACACCATTGTTGTCTCTCCTGCTGGTCTGCGTGCCGCCGATGTAGTGAGGTGTGTAGCTCATGACGATATACTGGGAAGAGAAATACTAATAGTCTGGATGCAAAGGTCCCTTCGAACTTTCCAGACAAAGGAATCTCCTATCGGTAAGCTGTTTGCGAAGCACATTAAGCTGGAGGAAGCCAAGCAGTTCCTGGATCGAGCACGGTAAGGCTTATATATTCCGCGTCAAGATCCACCTATATTTCAAGGCTAAATACCGTTATAGAGTGGCAATCGGGGCTGGAACCCCGGCTCGAATCTCTGATTTGATTGATTCTGGTACTGTCTTATGCCTATGATCGCTGTCTTTGTTTAAGAAGTTTATACTAACCCCTGTAGGATCCCTGAAACTGGATGAGCTGGAACGTATTGTTATCGATGGATCGTACGTTGATCAGAAGCAAAGAGGTATTTTCGACATGAAAGAGACCCATCTACCACTTCTTAAGCTCCTTACCCGGTCCGAGTTTCGTGAGCGGTATGGAGCAAAGCAGAAGGGAATTAAAATCTTGGTGTTTTAAGTTATGCATATTATGGATTACGTGGCGTTAATAAAGTAGGGCTTAGCTTTTTCTTCTTATTCTTGTGGAAGTTTGATATTGTCGGCATGTATATACCTAAATAAAACGTGTTTAGTATGCATCGACCATTTTGCCTGCGATCTCTTTGTAAGGCGAGATGTTTACCTGGGCAATTCTTCCCAAGCGTCGCCTTTCCCAAACTCACTATGCCCCCTTGCAGGGTCGAAAGGCTACTTTCGAACTTCTACTCCTAAAGGGGATTATCCGGTACGTCTCGTGGGCATTCAACACAAATATACGTAGGTAGCTTTGTGGACGTGGGGCAATATTAAAATTCTGTATCCAATGCCGGTAAAACATACTCATGTGCCACAAAACTGTATTGTTTTCTGGATTGCATCTTCTGCCGCCGAGCGACAATTTGTGCAGTATGTCTTGATCTGCTTTATGCCATCATTGGGTATGTTCACGGCGAGAGACGACAAAAACGCCTCCACCTGGCCAATGAGCTTCATATCGGTTAACCGGGAGGCACTTCGAGGGTTACGAATTATGGTTGAGGAAAGTGACTTTAGCGCTACGATGGGGTAGTGTATTAGGAACCTAGCACATTGATGTTAGGGTTGTGTAATGGGGAACAGTTAGGGCTATTAAACCTACCCGACAACGGCATAATCCCCTTCTGGCAAGTATCTCATCAGCTTCACTGAGGCTCTCGCAGCATCGGCGCATAGTGATGCTGACATAAATACTCTAGAACGGGGCGGGGGACTAGCCGAGAGGCATATTCCGTCTTCTCCAGGTAGGTCCATTCCTATATTGATTCCTCGGCTTGCAACTAGACGATGAATTGCGATCACGCAGTTGAAATATGAGTAATGTAGGAAGAGGAGCATGATGAACGCTGGAGATTGCGGGAGAAGCGGGCAAATTTGTGCTTCCGGTTGATATTCCGAAGGCAGTTTCCTTTTCCAATGTTCGAGTTTCTCATCTAGTATCCCAATTGATGTCATTATCTCACCAAGTGGTCTATTCTCTGCTGCAGCTGAATAAAGAGCTTTATATAGTTGACCTTTGATGGTGGCAAGTTGACAATGGGCTATAAAAGCATCAAAGCAGTCGTATGTATTTTTCGTGGGTATAGTTTGTTGGGGGTCTGTATGTGATGTTGTTGGTAGGCCTATACTCACGTCATCGTCACTCTGTGCTAGAGGCTTTCCAGAGCGAAGAGATATACTGGACGGATCAGTGTGACTTTCGGTTGTAGATTGCAATCCAAATGGACTCACTCTCGATCAAGGCTATAAGCGATCCAAAACACCCTTCGTCGCTGTTCCGACTCTTCTGGATTCATCGCAGATACATTATCCATCCTCTCTAGCCCAAGGTCATGACAGAAACGAATAGCGGTAGCGATCAACAAGTTACAAGGTTCAGAAGCCATGGTTCCTAAAAGAAAAACGATCTGGATAAAATGATTAGGCTCTATCAATACTTCTCTATAAGAATGGGGGAAATTGGGACATACAATTCCCAAAAGGGCTTGGATGGACCATAGACTTGCTGGGCCAAGGCAAAGACGGTTTAGGACTGAGAGTGCGTTTTTAATAAAAAACCAGCTTTTCTGATAATCTGGTTGCACCGCTTCCCAATTCTTAACGCGAGACGAAGTTCCTAGAGCGAGTACAACATTGATACTAGCCCAGCATGCAGGACTTTGAGAGTTGATATCGAGTTTATCTTGCTGGAAGAGGGCGACAAGTTTAGCGGGTTGAAATAAAGGGCACATTTTGTTGAAGTTCTGTAAGAAGTCATCCAGAATGGATAATACTTCTTCCTTTGGCGGAAGCGGGTAGAACGCCTTTCTGGGAAAGGCACCATGTATTGAAGCATAGGCCATTTGCTTTTGATATTCGTCGATTGGTAGTATTGGAGTTAACCCGGTCTTTTGGCTCATCCACTCCAGTCCACCATGCGAGAATGCAGACAAACCTGGACGCTTGGTCAATGATGTGGATTAGAATGTGTAGCATGGCAGAGAACTCACCACCAGTGGTCGGTTTATCCAATAGACACCTAGGGATGAATATGTTAGCAAGATCATCCTTCGTAGAATGATCTTCCTCATCGTATAAACTTGGCTCGGCCACGTATCTATCCAGGTCCGGGACTGTGGTTGTAGGAAGCACTTGTGAGCCTGCATGCATATTCTCGGAACAGACCTCACCCTTGTCTTCCGTTGTGTTGTCGGATTCGGGAAATGCAGGAGTTCCGGATTGTGAATCATCAGGTCCTTCGGGAAAGGATGGTGCAGTGACCATTCTATCGCTGGCTATATCGAAACCTAACTCCTGTAACCGAGCTTCCATCCGTCCTATTTTTGTCTCTAAACGATCAATCATCATGAGACTATCGAATTTAATACGTCAGTGCTCCGCTGAGGATAACCAATAATAATAAGGGTAGTTGAGTACTTTTTTAGGTTCCTTTGGCGCCTATATTCATTGATGCTATCTGAGAATTTGGCCCTCTCTTTGTCTGGGAGCATGGGTTCTTCGACAGCGCATTGCGCCTTCTTGGATCGGCGCTTCTTGCTAGCCTGGGTGGATAGACTGTTAGAAATGATCCTGATATCCACGAAAGAAAAATACCCACGGTCTTTCTTCGTCGAGAACCTGTCTGCTCTGTCCCTGAAGGGTGAAATCGAAGAGAATTCCTGATTTCCGACATGACCACCCGATCTGGCTGGTATCCAGCATTGCTCTTACTCTTTGCGATGCCACTCATTATTCAGATCGTTTTGTATGTGGCGAAGTTCATCACGAAGCCACGCCGTTGCAAAGATCTGAATATGTTTGGCGTTACGCAGTCAGGAATGGTGGTGTTGAAGAAGCGCTAATAATGGGATATGGGTCAAGGCCATGGTATATTCAGTTGAAGAAAAGAGTTAAGATGAAGTTGAAAAGGTAGTATTACTGAAAGTTGATTGGGATCAAATAACCCACTGAAAGAAAGAGCTGGTGATTTCCCCTCACTTTCGTCCTCAGCACCGCAGTCCAACGGTGCTAAATCTACTAGACTATCGGAGAGTCTTCGATCCGGGGTAATGACTGTGTAATATCAGGTTATTGTATTTTACAATGCAGAGCTGAGTAATCAGTTTCTCCAGTATAAACCAATTATACATTGATATTGTGCCATCAAACTTCATAAAATTTGGTTCGGATGCCGGATGTTTGCTTGAAGTGGATAAGAAGTCGTGTATTGAGAAAGTACGGTATTTTTGAACCACCTCATCCTCCCAGACCTTCACTTCAATCTTCGACAATGGGCGATATACCAAACCTACAAACTACCTAGATACTATATTACCCCACTACTATTACATGAACCCAGCTAACCCTCGGCGTTTTGAGATTTGCTCTGGAGATTCAAAATGTGGCTACCACAGCCGCGACCAGATAAGCTTAAACTGTACCTAAGGAACCGTCGTAGGTACACCCGGGACTCCGTGAACTTTGGGGCACCACCGTCACCATTAGTACCTAACTCTTATTATGGGCCTTGATCTTCAAGAATGCATAATACAGGAGCTCAGCTGAACCTTTGAGGTCAGATTTGCCTCTCTCTGACCCATTCTCAACCCTCTCCTCTGCCGTGTAGCTCGGAACCTCGGAGGATGACCCGATGAACAATGACAGACAACAGACAGTCTTAATGGGGTACTAGAGTGGAAGCATCTGGCTGGACCCATTGGTCCATGATCCTTATTTGACTCTGGGATGCAAAGTCACCGGATTATCAGGCTCTTTCAAATTCTGGCGAGGTCTCGAGAGGGTTTTCCTTCTCATAGGTTAGGGCTGTGTTTATTCACTCCCTAGATGTCTACTTGTTGTTACACCATAGTGCACCTAAGTAGTAAGATATTCGCAACGACAGGCATTACGAACATCTTTTCCTCTCGGGATCGGGATTTTCTCTTGCCATGAAGCTGCTTATGTTCCAGTTATCTCCGTAAACCCTTTGCCAGACGATTCCTCCGCATCTGGGTGGGTCTCTGAAGATCGAACAATATCTTGACACTAGAGCGTAATCACTGCCTGTGGTTCGTTGCATAGTTAATAGGTCTGGAGGGGGCTTACATATATGATATTGTTGGTGGCTTTGAGGTTTCTTTCATCGACTTTGGCTATTAACGCCACATTTGTGGGAGCTGCATTGTCAGGATCATGTTTCTATCTGAATTGTTAAGATTCCCGCTGCTTAACTTCCAATGCTCGCCACCAATTCATCCCCGTCTCTTCCCCTCTCTCACACATTCTAACAAACCTTTTAGACAGAAAATCAAAGCAAAATGCCGTTCTTTGGGGTGATCAGCCCTAGTACTCCCCGGTCTCAGTCCGTGGTGAGCCACAATGTCCCACAGTTGCACGAAGCCAACGAGAATGACAGCACAGTTGACGACCATTCTGAAAATGAATATACAGAGAGTTCTGAGAAAGGGAAGATTGAAGATGGAGAGATTCTGCATGGAAAGGAAGACGAGATTGAATTTCGTGTAGGACATCTAGTCCAAAAATTGACTCGTCAATCCACGGGATTAACCACCGAAAGCACCCTTGATAACCCATTCTTCCTTGATGACCCTGAATCTACCCTCAACCCCAACAGTTCGAACTTCAGAGTCCAGGACTGGATGAAGATGCTGCTCGCAATCAGGTCCCGTGATCCTGAAAAGTATCCTGATCGAACAGCCGGTGTTGCCTTTAAGGATCTCAACGTCCACGGATTTGGATCTCCGACTGACTACCAAAAAAATGTGTTGAATTCTCTCCTTGAGCTTGGAACCATTGCTCGCAGATTGGTCGGGATCAAAATGCCAAAAATTCAGATTCTTCGTGACGTTGATGGACTGGTCAAAAGTGGGGAAATGCTTGTTGTCTTGGGAAGGCCTGGTAGCGGATGCTCGACCTTGCTCAAGACTATCGCTGGAGAGATGAACGGTGGCATATCTGCCAAACAGATGCAAAACGCCTTCCGTGGAGAAGCAATATACACAGCAGAGACCGATATCCATTTCCCTCAGCTTTCAGTTGGAGATACACTGACTTTCGCCGCCCTCGCGAGAGCACCACGAAACCGCTTCGAAGGAGTCAGCCACAAACAATATGCGGAGCATATGAGAGATGTGGTGATGGCTATGTTAGGGCTCTCCCACACAATCAACACTCGTGTGGGAAATGACTTTGTCCGTGGTGTTAGCGGTGGAGGTAAATATCCAAAATCCCCATCATGGAACACTGCTGACCCCCTATAGAGAGAAAACGCGTCAGTATTGCAGAAGCCACCTTAAGTCAGGCTCCTCTACAATGCTGGGATAACAGTACTCGGGGTCTGGATAGTGCCAATGCTTTGGAGTTCTGCAAAAACTTGGCTTTAATGAGCAAGTATGCGGGCACATCTGCCTGTGTTGCCATATACCAAGCCTCTCAAAGTGCCTACGATGTTTTCGATAAGGTCACCGTGCTTTATGAAGGAAGGCAAATCTACTTCGGAAAGACTAGAGATGCGAAAAAATTCTTTGTCGATATAGGATTCGAGTGCCCTGATCGTCAAACAACAGCCGATTTCTTAACTTCGCTCACCAGTCCCCCAGAACGGTTGGTTCGGCCCGGATTCGAAGACCGTGTCCCTCGCACCCCAGACGAATTCGCAGCGGTATGGAAAAGAAGTGAGGCCCACGCCGAGCTTATGAAGGAAATTGAAGAATTCGAAGCTCAATATCCTTTGGGTGGTTCTTCTTATAATGCCTTCGTGGATGCTCGCAAAGCCATGCAGGCTAAGCAGCAGCGAGTGAAGTCGCCATACACCATCTCAATATGGAGCCAAATCGATATTTGTGTTGTCCGTGGATTCCAGCGACTGCGTGGAGATTATAGTTTAACAGCAACTGCACTGGTTGGCAACTTCGTTATGGCTTTGATCATTGGTTCAGTCTTTTTCAACCTCCCACATGACACAAGTAGCTTCTATGCTCGTGGCTCCCTTCTATTCTTTGCAGTTCTCTTAAATGCCTTCTCAAGTGCCCTGGAAATTTTGACCCTCTATGCACAACGGCCCATAGTGGAGAAGCATGCAAGATATGCCTTTTACCACCCCTTCGCCGAGGCAGTTGCATCGATGCTATGCGATACGCCCTACAAATTGATTAACTCGTTCACATTCAATGTGCCATTGTACCTGATGACCAACCTACGTCGTGATGCTGGCGCCTTCTTTATATTTTGGATCTTCTCTGTGGTTACAACATTCACCATGTCAATGATTTTCCGAACAATCGCAGCAACATCTCGCTCACTTTCCCAGGCCCTTGTGCCTGCAGCTATACTGATTCTCGGCATGGTCATTTACACTGGCTTTACAATCCCCACCCGGAATATGCTTGGCTGGTCTCGCTGGATGAATTATATCAACCCGATTGCTTACTCGTTCGAGAGCTTCATGGTAAACGAATTTCACGGACGACAATTCGACTGTTCCTCTCTTGTCCCTTCTGGGGGGGGCGCCTATGATAGTGTGTCTATGCAGTACCGAATTTGCTCCACGGTTGGCGCTACGTCTGGATCTACAACGGTGTTTGGGACGGAGTATGTGGCTGAAAGCTACAACTACACCAACGGGCATCTATGGAGAAATATGGGCATTCTTATCGGCTTCATGGTCTTTTTTGCTTTTATCTATCTTTACGCAACCGAGTATATTTCGGAGCAGAAGTCAAAAGGTGAGGTCCTCCTTTTCCGCCGTGGTCGTCAACCCAATCTTGCCGCAGGAGAAAGCGACCCGGAAAGCCCTAGCCAGCCATCCAGCGGGGCAAAGACAGAGGAATCCACTCCTCGAATTTCTGCCAAAATCCAAAGACAAACAGCAACTTTTCATTGGGAAGATGTGTGCTACGATATCAAGATCAAAAAAGAACCACGAAGGATTCTGGACAACGTTGATGGTTGGGTCAAGCCTGGCACCTGTACCGCTTTGATGGGTGTCTCGGGGGCAGGGAAAACGACGTTGTTAGATGTTCTAGCAACAAGAGTCACAATGGGGGTGGTTACTGGCCAGATGCTTGTTGATGGCCGCCTACGTGATCAATCCTTCCAGCGTAAGACAGGATATGTGCAGCAGCAGGATCTCCACTTGGCTACAACTACCGTTCGTGAAGCCCTCAGATTCAGCGCCTTGTTACGTCAGCCTGCACACCTCAGCCGCCAGGAGAAGCTTGACTATGCTGAGGAGGTAATTAAGCTCCTTGGTATGGAAGCTTATGCGGATGCAGTGGTTGGTGTGCCTGGAGAGGGCTTGAATGTTGAGCAACGCAAGCGCTTGACTATCGGAGTGGAGCTCGCGGCCAAGCCGCAGCTGCTTTTGTTTCTGGATGAACCGACTTCTGGACTCGATAGTCAGACTTCGTGGTCTATTCTGGATTTGATTGATACCCTGGCTCAACACGGCCAAGCGATTCTGTGCACCATCCACCAACCCTCGGCTATGTTGTTCCAGCGATTCGACAGGCTCCTCTTCTTGGCGACGGGGGGGGAAGACAATCTACTTTGGAGAAATTGGGGAGAACTCCTCCACCCTTTCAGATTATTTCACTCGTAATGGCGCTCATGCTTTGTCTCCGGGAGAAAACCCGGCAGAGTGGATGCTAGAAGTCATTGGAGCAGCTCCAGGCTCGCATAGCGAGATCGATTGGCCCCAAGTATGGCGCTCAAGCCCGGAATACCGGGGGGGTCAAGGAGCACCTTGCAGAACTCAAGTCAACGCTATCGGCTAGGCCTGTGGACGAAGGTGATCCAAAGGCATTGCGTGAATTCGCGGCACCCTTCCAGGTACAGCTGTGGGAATGTCTGGTGCGGGTTTTTGCCCAGTACTACCGTAACCCAACCTATATTTGGTCCAAGACTGCTCTGTGTATTCTCACGCCCCTGTACATTGGATTCTCATTCTTTCATGCGCCGAACTCGATCCAAGGCCTTCAGAACCAGATGTTTAGTATTTTCATGCTCATGACCATTTTCGGAAACCTCGTTCAGCAAATCATGCCCAACTTCGTCACCCAGCGGTCTCTCTACGAAGCACGCGAGCGTCCGTCCAAGGCCTACTCATGGAAGGCCTTTATGGCAGCCAACATCATGGTCGAAATCCCCTGGAACACCCTCATGGCAGCCCTGATGTTCTTCTGCTGGTACTACCCAATCGGCCTGTACCAGAATGCAACGGCCACCGATTCAGTGGCAGAGCGCGGGGCCCTGATGTTCCTGCTGCTTTGGACATTCCTGCTCTTCACCTCGACGTTCGCGCATCTGGTCATCGCCGGGATCGAACTGGCCGAGACCGGAGGCAACGTCGCGCAGCTCTTATTCTCGCTCTGTCTCGTTTTCTGCGGCGTCCTCGCCACCAAGGATGCCATGCCCGGCTTCTGGCTGTTCATGTATCGCGTCTCGCCGTTCACATACCTTGTCTCCGCGATGCTCTCCACGGGTCTGTCCGGAACAGCCGTCCACTGCGAGGCCCGTTGAGTATCTGCGGTTCGATCCGCCCGGGAACCAGACTTGCCAGCAGTACCTGGGCCGCTACCTCGACCGGGTACAAAGCGGCTACATCCAGAACCCGATGGCTACGTCGGGCTGTGCCTTCTGCAGCATGCACACCACGGATACCTTCCTCGCGTCTGTGTCGAGCAACTTCGATGACGCCTGGCGCACCTTTGGTCTGATGTGGGTGTATATCGCGTTGAACATTGTTCTGGCGGTGTTTATCTATTGGCTGGCCCGTGTGCCCAAGGGAACGAGGGCATAGCATAGTATCGTGTACCGGGACGACCTATTACTTGAATTTCTTCAGTCCCCGACTTGGCATTGTAGCAATCTGTATGTATTTACGGGTTCTATTGTAATTTTCTCTTTATAGTACGTACGTACAGTACGGAGTAGAAAGTAGAAAAAAGGTACAGTACAAAACTCGACACCTGAGGCAGAAAAATATAGACCGGGGTAAGTTGATTTCTCACCGCCCACCCAATATCAAATCTCCGCCCGGCAGAAAAAGTAAATTTCCTGAATTTTTTTTTAATAACGAACGAACGATTAACTATTGTGGTTTTTGTGAGTTTTTCTTTCTTTCAGCTGGATAGGAATTTTTTTTTTTTTTTTCCCGCCTTGGATATTATATCAGTGGGATATTAAAGAAAGAACGGGAGTGGGGGAAAAAAAAAAAAAAACAGAGAAGTAATTGTATGTTTTTCTTTCTCTTTCTCTTTCTCTTTTTCCTGTGTTTTTATGGCTATGGCTGTAGCTATGGCTATGATTTTGATCAGATGAGCTAACATGTTAGAAAGGAAAAAGACGAAATGGGCGACAAGAAACGCAAGCTCGTGCAGAATCCGGTGGAGGATGGTGCTGTTGAGCTGCCGGAGGGGAAGAAGGCCAAGCGGGAGGATAAGGACAAGAAGGAGAAGAAGCGCAAGGAGAAAGTGAAGGAGGAGGTTGTTGAGGAGAAGAAGGAGAAGAAGAAGGACAAGAAGGACAAGAAAGAAAAGAAGGAAAAGAAGGAGAAAAAAGAAAAGAAGAGCAAGAGCAAAGAAACCGAGGAAACGAACGGCGCTGAACCCGAACCTGAATCAGTGACAGAGACAGCCGAAGCCATGGATATCGACGTTGAACCCGAGACCAAAGACGAGAAGCCCAAGAAGGAAAAGAAGGAGAAAAAAGAAAAGAAGGACAAGAAAGAAAAGAAAGAAAAGAAAGCAAAAAAAGCAAAAAAGGAGGAAAAGGACTCAGAGACACAAGAAACCGAGGAGCCTGCACAAAAGCAAAAGGCCAACAGATTCATCGTTTTTGTCGGTATGTTTTAAACCCCCCCCCCCCCCGGCTTACCTGCTTGCGTGCCTTCTAATATATACTAGGAAACCTACCATACTCTGCCAACGCCGAATCGCTCAAACAGCACTTCGAGAAGATCGAACCGATATCCGTGCGAGTGGCGACGGAACAAGACAAGCCTACCAAATGTCGCGGGTTCGGGTTTGTCGAGTTCGACAACTACGACCGGATGAAGACTTGTCTGAAGCTCTATCATCACTCGTCGTTCGATGATGGGAAGTACCCGCCGCGACGGATCAACGTCGAATTGACGTGAGTGCTACCTATCGCCTCCCCCCCTACAAGACAAAGGACAACGAGACTAACTCATAACAACCCCCAGTGCTGGCGGCGGCGGCAAATCCGAACATCGAAAGGCCAAGATCGAGGCCAAGAACAAGAAACTCACCGAGGAGAGACAGCAATACGCGCAGAATGTCCACAAGGATAAAACTCACAAAGGTCAGGCCGAGGAGACCGGAGTGGATGACTATGCTGGGGTGCATCCTAGCCGAAGGAACCGCATGGCGTAGTGTCGCCGGGAGATCGACGTGAATGATGATTTTGTTTTGTTTTGTTTTGTTTTGTATCATTGGTTGCTGCTTTGCTTCTGCTTGTAAACGGGATATTACCGCGTATATATATCTTCATTAATTCATAGAAATCATGAGTTATAGCATGCTCAGGATTTTGTGACAGGTTACACGGCAAGGCAAATGAAAAGGTTCAATTGACGGAGAACATTCTTTGCAGACATATATATATCTATGGCCGGGATACCCGTGTAGCAACAAACATCAAGCAGCACGCACTTCTCATGGTGCGAATGAATGCATGGTATCGTATGGCTGTTACATACATCTTTATACTGCATGGGGACTCTGAAGTCCTACTAAGTCGGGAAAGAAATGCAAAATACCAGGCCCTCTGGAACTCGGATTAGGAAACGCAAAACATCAGAATCATGACACCAATTCAGGTGAACAACGAGTAGTCAAAAAAATCATCAAAAATCGAGGGGGTTCGAAAGGCCCCAACAACCGAGACGCCGGATTAGTTATTTATATTATAAGTCGGGAAGGAGAATGAAATATAAATTAACGGAGCGATCAAGCTCTACAGAATCGTACACTTCTTGCTCCTTGGTTTCGTAGCAGGTCGGGGGTTCAGAACGGCGCTAAAAAAAATTAAAAAAAAAAAAAAAAATAAAGGTCAGGTTAAGGGTGTTATCCTAGAAAATGGGTGCGCCTACCGAATTGCTTCGTCGAACACGCTCTTGAGATTGCGCTGTGTCAGCGCGGAACACTCGAGGTACTTGTGCGCTCGGATTTCTTTGGCAACCGCCAAGGCTTCCTCGTAGGTGACAGCGGCCATCTTCCTCATCCGCAGGGCATCCGCGGTGGCAGGGTCGTCTCTCAAATCCAACTTGGTTCCGACGAGAATGATGGGGACGTTGGGAGCATGGTGCTCAATCTCCGGGTACCACTGTGCGCGGGTTAGTCCATAGTTGCTCGATTTGGAGACAGATTGCAGCCTGCGCAGGAGTAGCCGCCGGGGGGTGGGGATGGAATAAGCACCTTGGCCTTGACGTTGTCGAAGGACGGGGGGCTGACGATGGAGAAACAGATGAGAAATACGTCGGTTTGGGGGTAGGACAATGGGCGAAGTCGATCATAATCTTCCTGTCCAGCAGTATCCCAGAGTCCTAAGCTGATCGGTCTGCCATCAACCATAACACTAGCGGTATAATTATCGAATCTGGGTCATTCCTGTCAACGCCGCCATTACTTGAAGAGAAAGGGAGTAGGGTCACGGACACGGTAGGGATATATTCCCCGGGAAAGGCGTTGGTCGTGTAGGAGATAAGGAGACATGTCTGTGGGTTGCAAGTTAGCCCCAGGGTTTCCTTTTTGCGGCTGGTCGAGCTGGCCCCGGTTGGGGAAGAAGCTCCAGGTGGAATAGAAAAGGAGGAGAGCGACTAACCTTGCCTACCGCACCATCACCAGTTACCACACACTGTTGGCGATTGGAGTATTAGCTGCCTGTTGCTAGAACCCGGGTGAAAGGACGGTTTGGCGAAAACAACGGAGCTGACCTTGAGAGATTGAGTAGCTGGACCTGTCGCCATTTCTCACTCCAGAAAGCAATGATATATACAGGATTGCGGCGATAACCAAACAAGACGAGGCGATCAATCGATCCAGCGATGCAGGAGGTATAAATACGGGATCAGATGTAGCGACAAGTGACACGGGAGGATCTGCACGGAAGAAGGACGACAGAGCTGATTGATCGGTCAGGAAACGTCGACAACGCAGCCACGGAAGGGGGAGGAGGGAGGCGGGCAAGAGGAGGAATACAAGGAAAGAAATGAAAAGAAAGGAAGGGAAACAAAGGATGTCGGAGGAAATGGAGGTGGATGGTGGACAGAGGAAGAAGAAGAAGAAGAAGAAGAAGAAGAAGAAGAAGAAGAGGAGGGGAGTTGAGTTTTGGTGGTTGGGAGAGAGGGGGAGAAAGCAAAGGGGAAGCTCGGGCAATAGTTGGATACCTTAGCTTAGGTCGTTGACCTCGTCGTCGTCGTCTTTTTCAGGTTCTTTGGCTTTTGGTTCTCCTGAAGGCAGGGAAAGGAAAATTTGATGAGGTGGAAAAGCCACAGAGCCAACCAGCGCCGGGAAACTGGGAGGAATTCCACCAGTCTTGAATTCTGAGGTTGTTCACGATCTTCTCGTCCTCACTGGACGAACAGCAAGATAACTAACTTGGGTAGTTCGAAGCCCTTTTTTTTAAATAATCCACACACAGAGAGAGCAAAAAAAGGAAGATCAAAAATAAGATATAAATAAATAAATAAATAATACGGAACAAGTAACCGTATTAATCCCTGATCCAAGGAACCGCGGTTATTTAACATTCAGGGGTCTCTCTCTTTCTAATCAACCTTCTCCAATTTCTTATATTCAGCTCAACTTTCCCCCAACGAATCATACGAGTGTTGTCTAGTCTCGTAATATATCTCTCTTGTCCGTCCGCCTTTCTATGTATGGTATCTCCAAGAATATGTACAGAACAGCCTAGCAATTCAAGAACCAGCACACTTTTCTTCTTCTTCTTCTTCTCGCCTAATCACATAACTCGGGGCGCCACAAAAGTATCGGGTATCCCATCAAAGACCCAATTGAGGGAATCAAAGACTTCGGAAAATCCCGCTTCATTGAAGAACGCTCCTCCGTCAAAATTGGCTGCATACATCAGCCCAGTGTCATCAAGGGACTCGTCCGGCTGGCGGGGCACGGCGGTTGATATATTGGGATTGGCTATAGCTGCGACTTTGGAAATTAGCTACGGTCAGCAGACGAAGAAGGAAAGAAAAAAAAAAAAGGGAGAAGGCTAGGATATATATACCTTGAGTGTCATCGGTACTCTTCATCGGACGGAACCGATGTCGCCAGCGCCAAACAGTATCATAAACGTGGCTCATGCTCATGCGGCATCGCACCTTAAGTTGCAGGCTATCCTCTCCAGCAGATTCTTCGGGAGCTCCCGCATTCCACATCTGCGCCAAAATATCTGCAAGTCGAACGGGTCGATCGTGGTCCATCACGCTGATCCGCCGCAGGGCGGAGATCGCGCCGTTGAACAGCAGCTTCCCGTGTTCAAAGTCGATGTGCCGTCTGAAATTGCTCTTGAGGAGCTTCATGAGAGCAAACGCGGCCGACACTATCATTTGAAGAATATAGTTCGTAGCATGCCCGATCAGCTCCCCAGGTGACGTTTCCAGATCTAGAACCCGGCCGAGGAATGACGTCGTGGCAATGAAAAGCTTTGTCAAGTCGTCGCTACGTGCGTTGGAGCCTAAGAATACAAAGTAACGCAAGTGGAGTTCTGCGGCTCGCAAGTGGATCATGTTGATGTCTATGGTTAAATCAAGTCAGTCACAGCGGGGATTTATTTTTTTTTTTAGGATCGAACGAAGAGTAGAGAGCCCGTACGAGAAATATTTCGACCAAAGTCCACCTCCATCTCTCTGAGTTCATTCTCCAAAAGCTGCACGATTAAAAGCTTTTCAGAGCTAATGAACTCTGCAGGGTCCGGCCTGCTGCTATAGAGAGCTTTGGTGACTCGATCACAGAATTTTTCGATCCGTAGGCGAATCCGGAGGTCTTCTGAGGGATGGTAATCGGCGTCTCGAAGGGACGCAGGCTCGAGTGCCCAATCATAGATTGTTCCTGGGGGTTGTCCGTATCCGGTGGCAACGCTGTGACGATGTTAACCTTGTATATCCCCGCATACGAGGACCGGAATACTCACTCTTGTGCTACTATGTTACATATCACCCATGTTTGTAGCCGGTCTTTCACAGCCTCACCTTGCCCTTCCATTTGGAAGGTTGTAAACTCCTCCGCTTGAACCGGGCGGTGTAGTCCCAGCTGCATAGAAATCTGCATCATCAAACCACAGAGCATAAAAGTAGCGTCTGTCCTTTGGCTGGTGGTCGGGAGCGGCCACGTGCAGAGAAGGCATAGAGCCTTGACAACCCGGTAATCCTGCGGCACACCGGTGATGGTGGACCATAGCAACCGGTTGAACGGCCCCGACAGTGCGCTCAGGAGGCCTGGCTCTGACGGTGCTCGTCGGCTAGCAACGCAGATGATAGTCCATGCCTGTAAGGGACACCGACGAAGATACTCCTCAGGCGGCTTCTGAGGGTTTAAGAGGGGAAGAAAAGGATGATAGAATTTGAAAAACCTGGAGCATTGTTAGAATTGATTAGCTTTGGTCCGTGCAGGGAGGTTGACATACTGGTCAAATAGCCGCGCGACCCGGGGTTTGGAGAGTGAGACATCTTCCAGTCTCCAGGTGCTGTCCTCCTGAGACAGGATAGACCCGTCTCTGTGCGTAGTCAAAGGAGTCGCTAACGCGTGAGGCTCTAGAGGAGCAGACAAGGGTCTTCCTCGAGTGGACGCGGCAGAATCAGGGCCACAAAATACATCCTCAGAGCACTGCGACATCTCATCGCTTGCATTAGCTTCGACTACGTGGGCATGATGACGGTTTCCATCAGTAGCCAGCCGTCGACGTAGTTCTGCTATCTCCCTTTCCATCTCAGCATTTCGCCTAATAGCATCGCTTATTAGCAGCGAACCAAGGCATTACTCTAAAGGGGAGGGAGGGAGGGAGGGAGGGAGGGAGGGAGGGGTTAGCGGGCTACTGGTGTACCTTCGCTTGGAGATGCGTTTGAACGAAGGTTCAACCTTGCATTCGATTTGGAGCCGTCGACACCGCGAACAGGCGTCCGCGGGGGTTTGTACAATATCACATCGAAGCTACCGCAGTTTGAAGTTCGTCATAATTCAGCCAATGGTCGAGAAAGGTGGGTAAGAGGAAGAGAGAGAGCAGTAGAGTTCCTTGTTGGGCCATTGGATACAGGACTGCAGCCGGTACTTGCGGTTAGTTTTAGCTCACCTTTTGCTGTTTACACTCATTACAGGCCTTCCTACAGCCCCCCCGCCGCTTCCCCGTAACAGGCGGGGTCTTTTCCATCTCTCCGGAGGGAAAATCGAAGCCAGCGAGTGGGCGTGGAATCCTAGGGTTGTCCCGAAGGTCGCTGGAACTGCTGGGGGGCGTTATCAGATTCGCATGTGTAGGCAAGCCATTTGGAGCCAAACCACCCCGAAACCCCAGATCCATCAGTATAAATCAGAACACTCCCGCCGGTATGGAACCGCGGGGCCTGTGAACACATGCAATTTTGGGAGAGGAACAACCAAGGAGCTGGTACAAGGTGCCGGAAATCGGAAGAAAGTTGTAGTGTTTCTGATCGCGAATCTCGGCGGTATTGGAGGGTTTTTTGGGGGGGAGTGGAAGGGATGACTAATTCATGCCTGAGGCAGCCCCGATGATGGTGATAATTAATCCACACCAGGACGGAGTAGATGATTTCTATTTGAATTTATTCTCTGCACTGTCTACAGACTTGAGGAGGTATTAATTCAAGGCGACTGACTTACTTTAGACTGCTTCTCTTGGTCGTGTCTATATATATCGTCCCCAAACGTAAGCCTCACGCTAAACCTCGAACAGTAACTTGGTTACAACATACAACCCCCCATGCTGGCCGCTGTGCTACTTAGGCTTCCGTCATTCTTTCCCTACTACGCTTTTTCTTCTTCTTCTTCTTAACTATAGTTATACCCCTCCGGTTATCTTTACTCATATGGCAGACGACGCTCTCCATGATGGCCTTGCGCCCACCACACCTTCGCCTAGGGACCCCGATGCGCCACCTCTAAGCGCTACGTCTCCCGACCATCCCGCTGCAGCTTTGGAGGTCCGTCAGGGACCACCAGTGATCTCGGAGGAGTTGAAGGCTCGGTTAGACAAAGTCATTTATTCAGATGTGAGAACATCGCCCGATCGCATATCCTTGAGATATTCCTAAGGAATTGCAACGCCCCTTCCCTCTTTGGGCTAACGTCAAGCCACATAGATTGGCGTCACCACTCTCCTGAATCGATTGAAGCAGAGCGTTGCATCTGCCAAGGTAAGTCCATGTCCCTTTTACGGCCCAATAGACTAGTAATTCACATGATATGCTAACGGATTGTCCTCTTACTCAAGGATTTTGCTACGTTCCTTAAGAAACGGTCGATTTTAGAAGACGAGCATGCTCAGGGCTTAAGAAAGCTCTCTCGTTCTCTCTATGATGCCGCCCACCGCTCCGATAACCGCCAAGGCACCTACAGCTATGGATGTGTTGAACTCAACCGGTTCCATGAGCGCATGGCAGACCATGGGCTCCAGTTTGCAGTCTCCCTACAACAGATGGCCGACAATCTCAATGAGCTCACAACCAACATTGAACGGGGTCGCAAGCAATGGAAGCAGACGGGATTGAGTGCGGAGAAGAGGGTTCTGGAGGCTGAAGCCTTGGCAGAGAAGGCAAAGGCGAAATACGAGTCTCTTGCGGAACAGTATGATCGTGTAAAAACGGGAGAGAAGCACGGAGGAAAGTTTGGCTTCAAGGGAACCAAATCTTCGGCTCAACACGAGGAGGAGTTGTTGCGCAAGGTGCAACATGCGGACTCGGACTACTCTTCCAAGGTCCAGGCCGCCCAGTCTGCCCGACAGGAGTTGATTTCCACCCACCGACCACAGGCTGTGCGCAACATCCAGCAGTTGATCTCAGAATGCGATTCAGGCCTAACACTGCAGATGCAGAAGTTCGGTGCGCGTCCTCCCTCGATGTCGTATAATGATTATTGCTGATTTTTCTCAAAGGAACATTCAATGAAAAGCTCCTGCTTGGGCAAGGATTATCTATCAGCCCCTTGAAAGAAGCCGCTGAAAACCCCGCCACCGCACCTAAAAGTCTTTACGAAGTTATCCAGCAGATTGATAACCAGAAGGATTACCATGATTATATTCTGAGTCACGAGAAAGATCCCGGCGCTGTAAGTTCGGAGCAAATCAGGTACCAGCGTCATGCAGTAGGTATTCCCTATAACAGCATTGTTTCGCTTTTTTTCTGACGGCATTTAGACCTTTGCAGGCTCGACTGTACCTGTAACTCCTAGCTCCCAAGCTAGCACCCAAAGCAACCGACAGTCCGTTGTGATGCCCCAGTCATTCTCTCAGCAGGCTCCTCTTTCGATGCAGCCTCCATCCCAAACACCCGCTCACGCGCCCGTCCAACCGCCTGCCCTGGCCCAGAATATTCAACCTCTGCCCTACCCTCAAACCTCCGACTCCTATGCCTCGGACTCCTATGCCTCGGCTACCTTCCAACCTCCTTATCCACTTTCGTCAACACCTTCACATGAGCCATCATACATGGGCCAAGCACCACCATCACTATCCAAAGGACCTCCACCATCATCTGGTAACGGCCATTCTCAGCACCTTCCACCTCTCAAGCCAGTCTTTGGTGTTTCCTTGGATGAGTTGTATTCCCGTGATGGAACTGCTGTTCCTATGATTGTTTACCAGTGCTTCCAAGGGATTGAGCTGTTCGGCCTAGATATGGAGGGTATTTACCGACTCTCAGGCAGTGCGAACCACATCAGCCAGATGAAAGCGTTGTTTGACAACGGTATGTACATGTCTCTTCAAATGACCGTAGGCTATTTCTAACCTTCACATGGCAGATTCATCTCAAGTTGATTTCACCAACCCAGAGACCTTCCACCACGATGTCAACAGCGTTGCCGGTCTTCTCAAGCAGTTCTTTAGGGATCTCCCTGATCCATTATTCACATCTCAGGCTTATGCAGGCCTTATTGATGCAGCACGTAAGCAGCCCTGGCTCTGAACTGTTTGACGATGCTAACCAGCTTCATCAGGCATTGACGATGACATCCAAAGAAGAGATTCTCTTCATGCAATTGTGAACGGTCTTCCAGACGCACATTACGCTACTCTGAGGGCTCTAATTCTGGTATGCTCCCGTCCCTTCTGTATTTTTTTTTTTTTTTTTTTCTTTCTTCTGCTTCTTTCCTAACTTGTTTTAGCACCTCAACAAAGTTCAAGAACACTACACTCAGAATCGCATGAATGCAGGAAATATCGCAATTTGCTTTGGGTAAATCTTCTATGTGTCTTGACTATCTTACAGGTTACTAATGTATTATCCTACAGGCCTACTCTAATGGGCTCTAGCGCGGGAGGCAATATTGCAGATGCTGGCTGGCAGGTTCGCGTTATCGAGACGATCCTAAACAGCGTCTTCCAGATCTTTGACGATGACTGAGTTGTTCGCGGTAAGCTTTATGGGAGCTTGGAAAAAAAAAACATGACTGTATTTTTTTCTTTTTCTTTTTTTTTTTGGATTTGCGAGGTTAAATGTTTTATGATTTCCCTTTTTGTTAACCTGCGTTCTTTTTTTTTTTTTTTGTTCAACTAATCATCTACCCCCTTCGTATCACACAACACATTGTGTCTCTTATTCTAGTTTGTTGTATCCTAGCTACTGGTACTGCTGCTCTTCTGTAAATAATACTGTTTTGTGATGGGAGAAGCTTCCACGATTATATAGGTTTACTGCTTACTGTTGATATGGAACATGATATGATCAGTTTGAACTTGATTGATGCTTTTCATGATGGTACACCCTCCAGTTCTATGGGCTAAACTTGACAAACGTGATAAGTAATTACAGATTCAAAAGAGAAAGGAGGAGGAACGAGGAAGATGGTCGGATAAATATAGTACATGTGACGAGAGAGAGAGATTTGGCGCTTCAAGTTTTGGGGTTTTGCCTTAGTACCGGTTGAGAGTCGAGGTTGCCGTTATAAGGCGGCAGAGAGAGACATCCGAATAATATAGGCATTTATGTAGCATATATGGCCTGGACATATCATATCTCTCTCTTGGAGCGAGTTGATTGGCGTGTTTTCTTTCCAAGCCTTATTTCTTTCCCTCCATCATCTCCTTCATGGCCTCCATGCGCTCACCAAGAGTGAGTCCCGAGGCAAAGAAAGGGCTGTCGAGATCATCCACGGTAGTGGGCTTGGTGTGGCCCCAGATGCGCCATGGGTCCTCTTGGCCAGTCCATCGAAGTTTCTGGAGAACAATGTACTCGGTGCAATCTTGGTGCTTTAGAGTAGGAGGCTTGGCACCTTCCAGGTCTACCCATTGGCCGGGTTTTCCGGCGGGGAGTTGCACTTTTCCCGTTGACTGGCGGCTGGTGATGCGCAGCACGACCTGTCGGACGCCGGAGTCGGGGAGTTCGGGAATTTGAGTGGCGCGGTCGGAGACGACCCGGATTCCTGTGCAGAAGGTCGAAGGGGAGCGGATGTATTTATCCAAGGACCAAATGACTTGCTCGCCTCGGGGACGACTGGCGATGCGGGAGCCGAGGTCGTTTGCGAGACCGGTGCAGCAGATCTTGCGAAGAGTCGCGGTATCTCCACTGTATGTCATCACGGAAAATTTGCGGTTAGTGATAGGGATTGTGGTAGATGATAGTATGAACGAATGCGGAGTTTCTTACGCTGCGAAAGCGGAATACATCATCTGATGGAAGTCGCGCGCTACTTGTCGGCGTTCTTTCAATCGAAGTGGCAGTCCCTTATTGAGCCATTTGCTATAGGCAAGAAGACTGTTCGGAGTTAGTTTCGAGGAGCATTGTCTGGACCCAGTCTTGTCGACCTGGAGAAGTTATAGGTAATCAATAGGAAGATATAGGACATACCCAAGGAAATTCTGAAATCCTGTCTTCACCCAAAGCCATTCCAACTTTAGTCGTTCCGCAGGCTGCTGAAAGATCGAGGGCATGTCTCTCCATAATGGTCGAATAAACGTCCCGGGTAGTAGTCCAATATCCTGTGGCAACTCCGCGCGCGATAGCTCTCGACCCCTAGTCCTCATACTCGGCTGCGCAGGCTGTTTGACTGAAATGTTCTCCGGCATGCCCCGCAGCACACTGCGCTGGAGTGATACAGAAAATTGTCGACATTGGGATGAACCGATTGTAGCGTACCAAGGAAGAACGGTGGTGTGGGATCGAACCGCTGAGAAAATCGGCCCCTTGGATATCGAGGAAGCCATTGTGCAAAAGGGACTCGATGGATCTCCAGGCGGTTGGAGTGCGAGAATAGTAAATCCCCTCGTGGAGAGACCAATCCTTGAATTGAATCTACAATTTGAAGACGGCGAGAGAAATCCCGACGCGGTGTCACGTGCACGCTCCTCCGCCGGAGCCGTTTATCGAGGGATTTGGATGCCGGGCAGACACCACCTCACACGCTTCTTCCCAAGCGTTGTCGATATCCGTCGGCACTCTAGTGGTCTGTCTAGATTGAGATAGCTCTGAATCGGGCGTCCTACTCCTCGATCGCCGCCTAGCAGCCACTATTCCTCCCGTCCGATCTTACAGACAGCCAATATTTAGGGGGCTTCTCCAGGACTGACTGGTGTCCTCATACGCACACCGACACACACATACACACACTCTCAATATCACTCTCTTTCCCTTTATTCGCCTCTTTTCAGATTATTTTGTACAACGGCTGTATCTGCCGTATAATAAGGCTGGCTCCTCACCGTGATGCTGCTCCTCCACCCTTTTCTTCTCGCACCCGATCACCTCCTGAGCCTGACCTGATACGTTCCTATACGGGCTCTACCCATATCTCGCCTTCGTCTTTCTTTCCTTCCACTCCTATTTCACCGGCGGATCTCCGCGACAAAGAGCTGGCTTCCTCATCTCCTACATCGACCACCGTGCCGCCCTCCCCGGCTTCGACATCTCATACGTCCACCAGCAATGAGGTTGGCCATATAACCCCCTCTGCTCTGCACCCACGGGTTGCCGTGATCCTTGGAGTAGATCGGAAGTGGTATGTCCCTCTTCTCGTGTGTCGCGCGCTGAGCACTGCGCCTGCAGCGTGGTGGGGGCTTCGATGCGCCTTTACCTTCTTGGCTGAGCTCCTCCATATCCGGCCGGGGATGGGACGTGAGGGCTGGGCGGCCGCAATTGTTGGGAGTGTCGGACAAGATTGGGATGTCGAGAGAAGATTTCGGGTAACAGAGGTAGCATTGGCTATTGTGTGGGTATGTAGCACCCATTGAAAAAAGAAAAGAAAAAGCAAAAAAAAAAGCAAAGAAGCATCCAATGTGGGCTTTGGCTGACATGACTTTCCTCATCCAGTGCTGTGCATCCGCATATCTTTCTTACTTTTTTGCTGATTGTATGATGTCGCGTTGGTACGTATGCCTTCGATTGAGCCTTGCACTTCCTTTCCTCCCTTGTCCGTTGTGCCATTCTTATCTTACTTACATACGACTACCCCCAGGCTTTTAAACTATACCCCGCCTGCTGTTGTAATCCGTCTTCTCACAACCAACGGATTAATTGCTTATATCACTTCTTGGGTTCTTTATCTTTCCGGTGCCTCTTCCGACCCTCGTCTTCTCCTACCAGCATGGATCTCAATTACAACAGTCAGTTCTTCCTCCCGCCATCAATCCTCAAGACCACCCACCTAACCCGTATACTAATTACCTAAAACAAAAAGACCTTAACATTTCTCTACCACGCAACCCAAAACCACGCCACAATCAAACGCGAAACCGCCGCGTCGCTACTAGTCGTCTCCGTAGCCAGCTTCGTCAGCATGTCCCTAATTCTCTTCCAGTTACATCTCACGCGGGAAAACGAGCCCGAGGTGCCCGTGTTCGTCATCACCAGGAAACTATGGGACTGTGCTGTGGCGATTGTGCAGCGGATGCGAGTTGCGAATGACCGGGCCGGGGAGCTGTAATTTCTACCTAGTAGCTAACCTAAAGTAGAATCTGATCTATCTATGACTTAGGTACTTGACTTTAGTTCTTGATTCTACTCAGGTAGCGATTGTCCTAGGCAGTAATCGTTGGAGGATAGGGATGCGGATGCGGGATTGGTAACTTCCCGTCCCTATCTAGATATGAAAATATATACCCCTGGCTGTACGGAGTAGTGGTTGGTTAGTATCATAAATTGTAGGGACTCTCTTAGAGCTGATGCGTTCTCGGAGTCGTGGTCCGGGGGATTTCTTTTCCAGATCCCAACGTTTCAGAGAGGCTTCTCCCCAACATAGTGGACCCTTGGAACCCTGGACTGGCAATAATGCATTCATGTAAGTACGTACCTCGTAGGCAGAAAGGCCGGGACGATTCAATATTTAAACAGTCTACGATGTGATTACAATACGGTGAAGCAAGCAATGCGGAAAAGTAATTCCTGTTATTCTGAGACAATAATAATATAACCCCAGCAAACAACGCGCAAGAGCGAACAGCGAGGACATCTGATAACAGATCCCCTCGCAGTGCAAACGCCTTTGACACGCATATCACCGAAGCACAAACATGACGACAGAGGAAGAAGAAGAAGCAGAACAGATATGGGTATCTACCAACGCCTCGTTCCTTCATAATCCCATCCGAGATAGCAGTCGAGTCAAGTAAAGGAGTCCACCCTCCCCAATGATCGCCCGTTCACGATCATCAGAAATCAAGTTGGACAGTGCATCGGTTCGACAGAGGCCCAAGTCCAGCACGTCAGGTACGGCACAAGTTTAACCAACCAGTGTGATTGCCGTTGGAAGGCAACGCAATAAACCGATGGGCAAAGGATAGGAGACGTATCGTGCTACTATCCAGCAACTTTTGAGGACAACGTGAACTGGGAAGAAGGGATGGGAACGGGGCGTGGCGTCTAGCTTAGAAACCGTGGACCTTAATGGTCTTGGCGTCCAGCTCGAGACCCTCCTTCTTGTCGGTCAGGAACTCCTGAACATCTTTACGCTGGTCACCCTGGAGCTGAATCACTTCGCCCATCTCAGTATCGTTGACGATGGTGCCATTGCAAGCTGGAAGCTGTTAGTGAGGAGCGCACATCGAGAAAAAAAAAAAGAAAGACATACCGAACTTCTTCTTGATCACCTTCAGAATCTTCTTCTGATCGAACTTTTTAGGGAGACCCTGGACCGTAGTCAAGGTCTTTCGACCATTGCGCTCTGTTGTGGTAAGTTAGCTATCAGGGGTCCGGTTTTACGCAGAGTACCGCTCAGACCACAGGTCCCCGGGTGCACAGAAGAAAAAAAAAGCCAACAGGAAAAACCGAGGAACAGCAACACATACGTTGAATCCGTATATGGATGTAATTTTGAGACTGCTTAGTCTCGCCGGTGTCTTCGTCAGCTTCGGCGAAGGGGTCTGGTGAAAGCACGTGTCAGCGTGAGGCTCATGACCAAAATCCTACCCCGCCATGGGGGGGGGAAGCCCACGCAGGATGGAGGGAAAAAGGAAGTAAGCCAGCAGCAAAGCGCATCCAAGATATTGGTAATGTATTTTCGCAGAAAGGAGCGATTGATTATATCCCCAAGTAACGGGTCTGGGTGGTAGATGTCGCCGGGTGGAGGGACAGGAGTTCGACGAAGGGATGTGGCAAAAGGACTTACCGAAGGTCTTGAGGTTTTCGATGGACATAAACTCGGCCTTTTGTCGTAAACGGCCCTTAAAAGCGGTTTCTGGTAGATGAGCTGGGAGGGAGAATTAAATCTCTTAAGATAGCGATCGCAAGCGTGTGAGCTGGGGGGGTTATGAAGTGTGAAGTTGGGTACAGAGGGTGATGAAGTCAAAAAGAAAGAAAGAGAAACGGAAGAGCCTTTTGAGGGGCGCGGCTTCGGGTTAGTGGCCCTGTGGGGGAAGGCGGTCTGCGGATGACTAAGTCTTTCTAGCAGTGGCGAGGACCTACCTAGTACCGAGTAAGTATCGCAGAGAGCGGCATTTCTTGCATTACATGCATATATGTATGTGCATATGGGCGATAAAGAAACCTCCTGATTTAATACTTCATGCGTGTGTTGTGTTGATTTCAGCTAGGGGGGTAAATTCGCAACTGCATAGCGTCGTTGCCACCACAAGAACTTCCCCCTAGTCTACCTACGACAACGCATCGACTTGGAAACCACAGATGTGACAGGATATCAATGTATTAGAATATTGGTACAATAGCGGCAAGTGATTAATCTGGTTACAATAAGACACCTCCCCGACCAGGCATAAACCCAGGGAGTCACAATTCCTTTTATACCACCCAACCCCGGCGTCGCCAATACCAGTGACGAAAGCCGAAATTCTAGTATTTGAAATGATATTTTGATTCAGATTGCGAAAGGCAGGATGCAGCCGATGTTCTTCATGGAGAGGGGGTCGGGGTAGCAGCAGAACCGGTTTGTACCGCGGGGGGAGGGAGGAAGATAGGGAGGTAGGTCTGTCAGGATTGATTAGCATGATTACCATCCGAAAAGAGGTTTGCTGGTGACATACAACACCCAATGCCAACACTAGTATCGAAATCACAGGTTAGTCAATGCGCGGATATTTGGGGGGGGGGGGCAGATAAACGTACAAGACATCATAACGGACATGTATGCCGGTGTAGAAGCAGTCTTCTTCTGTTCTGCGGTTTCTCCCAACCATGATTGCAGCGAAAAGACGAATGAGACCCTGGAGAGAGGTTAGAAAGCCGGGGTGGTCTTGAGGGGATAGGACGCGCATACCATCCGATCATCCTGTTGAATGATGTGCATTAGACAAACCGTGTAAATTCGATGGCGGTAATTATAACATGGTCGAACTCACCTGTTCCGGGTGAACATCTATCAATATCGTTAGTGAAGGAGAGCAGGACTGCATGGCCGAAGGGGCGACCTACCGCTGCCATGGGCATAGTGCTAGACATAGCACCTGTTCCAACCCATTAGGATCAGCATACCAGTCTCCCAATATTGTTCAGAAAGAGGTCATCGATCATTTACCGGTCATGTCGGCTTCATTCTTTTCCTTGGGAGGGTCGACGTAGGGAATGGCTGGCGTTAATTAGCACCGCGCACCGCGTTGAGACATGGCAAATGGGGAGGAGTGAGTGCGATTGTCATACCGAGGTCGAACCTCCGCATATCCTTCTTAGAAGCCATCTTCGCAGACGTAATATTCCGGGGCTATTATTATTATTATTATCGTGTAGTTCGTGGATGAGATCCCAGAAGGGAGGCGATGCTGGCGACCCAAAGCGATGTGGCCGCCAAGACTAAAGCGGCACTGGTCCGTGGAGATGGGAATAACAACTCTCTGCTGCCGATAGCGGGGGAGCACAAAATAAAGTTGAAGTTGTGATCGTCAATTAACTGGGTAGTAGTTATGTATATCATTGGCAAGGACTCAAATAATAGCGACGGGAAACTGCTTAACTATCTCCTAAATTTTGAGGACTGACTTGCCGGGTAGCACTGCATCCTGCAGCCAGGATGATACCTAGAATGGTTTTTATTCAGGATGCTGCCAGAGAATTTCCAATTATTTTGACCTGTAGTTATCATTAAGGTATAACCGATGTAAGAATCATACGTTGGTATCATGCCACTGTACAGGTTTCCACCTCCAACTACTCCGTAAGTATATATATCAGCAATAAGTGTGTGGATCGTGGCCGTCAGAGTGTTGGCCAGAGGAATACCAGTTGATCTAACTTCGATCTATCCACGTAGCTGGTTGTAACCGTATGGAACATTCTTCTTATCTTCTGATAAACTGAACTGATTCCCGTCGGAAGTACAAAGACGCCACCCAAGTTTGCCGAAGAATCCGAGGTTGTCCGGATTCCAGTAAACTTATTTATCTGATATGATTATATACAGAACAGTACAGATATATCCGGTATTAATACAGCTCTCTCGGAATATTCGCCCCCTAATTCCCGTGAATTTCCCGTCAGAATTGGTATGTAATATTGTAACTTTGTAACAATCAAGATCCTAAACAAACTCGGCCAGTTCGTCTCCTTACGTTATCTGGGGATCTTCTATCTCGGTCTCCGTATTCGACTTTTTCCCTCTCTCTCTCTCTTCTTTCATCTCTCTCTCCCCTTCTTGTGATCTTCAATCTAACATCCCTCCATCTCATGTACATACACTGTCAACGGTGGAACCCTTCGACTGCGCTCTCCCGTCTTCACCACTCGCACCCCTCCCCCTTCCGTCTCCGCGGCTATCGTATCACAGCTTGGCCTCGATTCTCGAAACCCATCATTTTCGACCACCTGCGACTCTGCCCTGGGATACAAAGTGCCATTGACTGAGATATCCTTGCTTAAATAGTTGCCCGGTTTCCTCCCTCCACCGAATCACCTTGCTGAACAACCCCACTAGAGTACACTATGAAGTTGACATGATACCTCACTCTTCTGCCGGCGTCCAACCGTGGGGTCATCCCCTGCGCGCCGTCGAAAACGTCTCAGGACGTATAGATGCTTCTCAGACCCTAGGGTTAGCGGATCTTGCGTCTGATAAGCAATCAATGCCTGTCCTGCCGCCGCAGCCTAGACACCCTGCGGTTATCAACCTTACGGCTAGTGCTGGTGATGCGCAGGAAAGGGAGCCGCCCGCAAAGAGACTCAGGTTGGACGCGTCTGCTGGATCGGATGCGAAGGAGGCGAGTCCGGCGTCCGGAAGTGGTGGGGAAGCAAGAAACAACCCAGGTAGTATCGCGAACCCGAAACCAGCTTCGCTTTCCTGGCGTGGTCGTCCGGTATGGTCGTTCCAGGCTTTGATATCAGAGCCCCCTAACGGTGCGGACCCCAACGAGGAAGATGCGACTCTCACCCCGCAAGGTGTGCGGCTCGCGTCACCTCCTCCGTTTCCTCTTATGCCCTGGAGGTATACTCCACCAGAGCTATCGAGTTGTAATGCGACAACCTCACAAGACCTGGTTCAGGTCAAGCAAGTCCAGACTACTCCGTACCACATCGAAGTGCCTTCTGCTGCGCCAGTTCTCAAGGGAGACAGTAAGTGCCCCCCCCACGACCTATTTAATTCCGCGCAATGCGTCTCTAATCAGTCTAACCCTCCTTCTAGAAGTCGCAGATTTTTCACCGTGGACCGGAAATCATCCGGAGGATGTCTTGAACGAGCAAACGGCGAAGCAAGGGCATTACGACCGCACGCAGGTATCCCAAAATGAATCTAATACGGCGCGTCCCTCGCTGTATGCGCAATTGAAACACCGCTCCGGACTACATATGCTTTCCTCTGTCTTCATGGCTGCCCTCGAGAAACGACAAACTCACAACATGGTCACTGCGCCTTCCAGTTTCAAACCACCGCCTCGGGTAACCTTGACGGATAATAAACGTGAACTCTGGCTTCGTGACCTTGCCAATCCTTCCGTCCCGCTGCGGAGACTGAGCCGGACTATTCCCCATGGGATTCGAGGCAAGGCACTTCTAGACCAATGCTTGAGCAAATGGATCCCAATCAGCAGGGCCGTTTGGCTTGCAAAGTGTGTTGGTGCCAACGAGATTCGTGCCTTCAAAAGGAAGGGTACCAGTGGCGCATTGGCTATGGGCTTGGAAGCTAAGTGGGTTCGCGACTGGACGACTGGTGTGCAGCAGTTTCTCGAAGCGGTGGTTGGAACCTGCGGATCTGGGGATTGGAAATCAAAGATGACCTATGCGTAACGCTCACCTAACCCCCCTCAATATTGATGCCCTCCGAGCGCATTTCTAACCTTCCGTAGGGCCACGTTGACCGCTCGTTTATTTTTCGAGCGTTTGCTTGACCATGATCAGTATATTACCTGGTTCTTAGCTTCGCTGGAGAGTGCCTCGCTGAACGTGCTTCCAGTTTGGCTTCTGATGTTGGGTATCTATTGGGGATGTGTTTTACGGTATAGAAAGCGCGGGCGACGGTTGGCTGAGATTCTTCTTGAGAAGCTGCGACAGGTGGGGTCCCTTTTGCGTACAAAGCAAATCTTTCTCCCTTGAATCTATGGCTAACGAGCTGGCAGATCACGCAGCCAAGAAAGCCTACGTCCCTCCAGCCCTTAGCGGATCGATTATCATCCTATATAAAAAGACTTGTTCTAGAGCATACGTCATCCGTCATCCTCCCAACTTCTTGGGAAAGATATAAAGACCTCATTTATTCGTGCTTGAATATGAAAGAACAGACGGATAGAGCGGTTTTTGCAACCCTTGCGGAACGCAATTCGCGAGTTCAAGTGCCCAAGGACCGGCCAGAAACAACACAATCAGCGCAGCACCGCGTTATTAACTTGTTCGATTCCATCCGTTCTTCACACGACATTTCCTCTACGGCTACGGCATGTTTGACCGCGCTCGAAGATAAAGCAGCTCTTGTTTTTAAGCTTCTGGAGTGGTCAGCCAGTCCGTTCCGCTTCGGGCTTTGTCGCGTCTATACAGCAGCCCGCCTTCTACGAAAATGGAAAACCTTTGGGGTGGACATTGATTCACATATAATTTCATTCCTTGGCACTTTCCAGGATGCCAATCAGTTAAGTATGGAGAATGTCTATCACGTTATATCCGAACTCGTTAGGTCTCAAAACTTCTCTATCAGCCGATATCTGCAATGGTTGATGGCCAAGGGAGTCGCTAATACCTCTGGCTCCAACAACGCCCATGTAATCCTTCCCGAACTCTTTTCTTACACATGATAACTCACAATTATAACAGATCCTATCCGGTGACGCTTGTCTCCTATCACACCTGCCCATGAGTCGACTCCCAGAGCACGTTCGCAGTCTTCGGCATACCCTTCTTTTCCGAGCCGGGATATCGGGGTCAGATGAGGAGATTACCATCGAGGCACTGAAGAATTCGATTAGCCGGCGCCTTCCAAAGATCTTTGGCGCCGAAATGAGCAATGGAGGGCTCATCGACGCTTCTCGGCCTAACTTAAGTTGGGCTGTCAAGTCTGAAGTCGGTATTTGGATTCGGAGCGGGGTTGCTAAGCACTACAGGGATTCGAGCAGGTAAAGCTTGCCCCATTCCTTGATTCAACGTGGGCAGTCTATATCTAACAGTTGCAGGAAACTGCTCGGCGATCCCTTGCCGATCAGGGTCTCGGCCCTAACTCCTGAAGAGTTTTACAACATCCGAGACATTCTAGAGAGCTTCGGAGATCTTTCGATTCTTGCAGATGTCATCAAGCAAGCCACCCGGTGTGACGATAATGTGGTGCTTGCATCGGCCGCCGATACGATCAATTACCATTTTGATGCCTTCGGTGTCATTGGTGCCACGGGGGATTTATTCAGGGGGCTCTTAGAATCGTACGCACGCCTCAAGCGAATGGGCACCCTGCACCTGGACTTCGTTTTCTCGCTTATTGAGCTTGGACTTCGGATTCCTCAGGAGATGAATATGGTTACCCTTCTGCGACAAGATCTTGCTCGGATGGAAAGCAAATCGGCTCTAGCAGCACCCTCGCCCCTCTCAGACCATATTCCGATGACGTTGGATGAAGTTGATTCTTCATTTCAAGACAAGCTTGACCAGCTTCTGTCATCCGGGAACGGCATGGACGAATCGACAATGAGCACGGTGTTCGGTTCGCTTACTCGGCTATTGGATCATGGCAGTGACGCATCAAAGCTATCAGCCAATGACATTTGCAGGTACCTAGCCTACGTTCGGCCGTTTAATCCCAAATACTTTGATGCTCTGCTTCTGCGATGGGTGTGTGGGCTTTTGAAGTCTCCTTCGTCGCAATCAATGATGGCCAGGATCCTCCCTCCTCTCATTGGAGTTGGCTGTGTTACGATTCCTGGTTTTGTCAATTTGGTTAATAAGCTCCTCGACCCTGAGAAAGCGACTCCAGCCGTCTTTAACCCGACTAGTTTGCGACTGGATCTGCTTGAGCTTCTTATTCCACGAGAGAGCAAGTACGCCGACATGGTATGTTTATTCACATTACTCGTGATATATCGTATGGCTAACGCCTTCATGTAGGTGACATATCGCTTTTGTCTAGCACAGCAAGAGTTCCTTGCCAAACATCCCAAGACAACTTTGGATATCATCCGTGACGCGATTCCGTTAATCGACTCTCAATATCTCGAGACAGAACCAGTAACGAGCCGCCCGGATCTTGCAGGATGCACTACGGCATTGCTGCATACATTACTCAGTCAAGCTTCGGATGTCGTCGCGCAATACTGCATGCAGAAATTCACTATCCATCCGGCCTTCACTCGTGTTCTGGAGAAGGCAGTTGATGTTCTCCTAGGGTTTGATTCTAGTAGTGGTTTGTTTGCCTGTTGAGTCGTCAGTATCCATTTTGGCTAACTCTTACTCTAGCATCCCACCCTGTCTCCGAAGCCGAAAAAGTCATTCTCATGAACAATGACTTTTCACTCCCATTCTGCCAGCTGAAACTCCAGCTTTTGTTCAATGCTGGCGCTGGCGATGATGTCAAGAACAGCATAGTGGACGTGATGTTCAAAGCGGCGGTGGCAGACTCTCGCTCTAAAAACTCGCACTGGATTGGTCTAGTTAATCTAATGAACCAAGATGCCGCCCGACAGGTATGCCCGTGCGACCCGAGCCGGTATTTATATGATCGTCTCTAACTGCCCTAGATCCGAGAACGCGCGGAAAGCAGTTTCTTCGCTATTCCTCTCTTCGACGAGCGTGCTGATGATGCGTCCATTTCCACTGTAGCGGATTATTCGAACTCCATTGAGAATGCAAAGCTATACCTTGGGATCATCGAGAAACTGGCCTACAGCGTTCCTGAAAGTGGCGTGCAGTCCGTGGTGCCTATCCTTGTGGAGAAGATGGACCATCTGCTCCAAAGACTCATTATCATGCAGACAAACTTCAACAGCTTTGCGGAGAATAGACATGGGATTAGTCCTGACCAAATCGCCCAGTACCGGTTGAACTTCGAACGGGGCCTGGCCTTTTGGTTCTCCGCTTTGTTGAGGGTGACTGTTCTTCACCGCACGGCTTTCACAGCACCAGCATCCCTCGCCGCCAAAACCAACAATCTTCATGAACAGACACGTTTGCTGGTGTCCATGTTCTGCATCTCATTGGCTCGTTTGCCTGACAATATCCTTCGTTTCTTTCCGACCGCCAACTACTTTCCCCACCCCGTACCGCCCGAAAAACTCCGGCCCTGCCCTGGAATATTACTGCAAACCCACGCACTGGATGTCGCAGCATCACTGATCGATTCATTCCCGGATGAAACAAGGCAGCAATGCGCGCGCTTCCTCAGGGAGAAATGCCCACCATTCCTCCAGTTCCAGAACGACCCGCGATTCCTCTACCTCCTTGGGCCCATGCCGGATGCTACAGCTCCTAACCTCCCTATTCCCGCCTCTCTTCCGTCCCCAGCTGCAGGTGGCTCTACTCCGACTCCGTCGGGATCTCTTCCAAGTGGAGCGTCAAACAACCAAGCTCCACCTATGGCTGCCTGCTCGGGAATCCCGTACGGAACATCGGACGGCGTCAACTGCGCTTCCGACCGCCTTCGCCTCCAGCATCGCGGCCGTATCATCGGTCCTTACCCCGTACGTCCCTGGGAGCTTTTAGAAGACGCGGCTCCGATCCTCGGTGAAAATGACACCGCCGTGAGCCTGAAACTTTTCGACACCCGAAGTGTGCGAGCCTAGATTAGACCCCGGCCTTGACGGAGCTAATATCCATATCCCTCCTCGACTCACCGACGCCTCATACACCATTCTTATACCCTGCTACCGTACATAATATAATATATCAGCGGACATCACAAATTGATTGATTATCCCTAGTTGGTTATCTATCTACCCTCCCTCTTTTCTCGACTCCGTGATACCATTCAAACTTGCATATATGTTTCTCTCGTTGATCATTTCCACTCAGACTGTCCTCTTGCGAACATGACTTATCCATGACTGCACTTGATTTCCGTTTCAGCCATGTTCTTAATTTTCCTGCTTTGATTTTGGTCCTATACATCGGGTGGATCTGGGTTGCATTTGGGGAGGGAAGAGCATTTATTTTACTTGTTTTGGATCTATTTTGAATCTTACTACCCGCGCGCAATATTTTGGATCATTCGACAGCGACTCGGGATGGATGGATTTTTTTGTACATATAGATAGATCTGACGTGGCGTTTACACTTGGGGAGGGATTCACAAACATTTGATGACTAGCATCCTTGATCATGACCTGGGCATATTGAATGCCTTTTCTACATTTGAGCAAGAAAAGAATCAAAGTAAACTTGAGATTAAGAGGATCTACGAGCACAAGGTATATGTGGCGAGAAAAGATGTCTTGATTGACATGTTGGTATAGAATAGTAACATAGAAAAGAAAGATATCAACCGACAAGAGAGAGAGAGAGAGAGACAGAGAGAGAGAGAGGTTGATATCCCAGGCCCGTCCCAGCCACCCAACCAAGGCCTGTAAAAGAAATAAAAGAGAGACAAGACCAGACCTGAAGTCATGAGCATATCCCGAGATAGCTGGACATGCAGATACATCTAACTAACGCCCTATCCTAAGCAGGTAACCTAAAGAGAAGAACAGAACCGAACAGAAAACAAAACAAAAAAGCTTGAGACAAGAAGACCTTGGAACTCTCAAGCACAAATATTCAGAAATGGCTGATATCGGGTTGATACACTACAAGCCTGTAGTGACACTTTATCTTGATGCGGATGCTGGTGCTGGTGCAGGTGCTGGTGCAGATGCTGGCTGTTGTTGTGGCTGTGGCGGGGATGTCGGAGGAGACCCTAGACTCATTCAACACAGTGAGATCAGAGCAGAGCACAGAGCACAAGGATCAGAGATTGGAATAACTTGCCTTCCTTGGCCATTTCGACTCTCAAACCAAGGCCATCTAACCGGAGGGGTTTGGGATGCTTGCATGCGTTGAGTGCTGCCTGGCGTTCCTGTACACACAGACACAGATATATCTGTATCAGTTGCATTTCTTTGAAAGGATCTCTTGACAAGGCCGGAGAACTCACGTAGAATTGCACAAAAGCAGCCGTGAGGCCGTTGTCCTTGCGAGAATGCTTGATGTTCACGAAGCACGGCCCGAACTGCGCGAAGAGGGTGCGGAGGTTCTGTGCGAGGCGTGCTTCCTCCATGTTGGTTCGGAGACTGGTGCACCGGTGGTTGAGCATTGGTTGCCAACTATATCTAGGGTTTGTGGAAGGAGGTGAGGGACTTACTTTCCGACGAAAATGCGGCAGTCCGCTCTGAGTATCTGCTGGGCGTTGTGGTCTGTGATGGGGAATGGTCTCTTGGGGGACCGGTTGTTGTTGTTGTTGTTGTTGTTGTTGGGTTGACCCACGCGAGGCGGGGAAGACGACGAAGAAGGAGGAGAATCAGGGGGGGAATCAGGAGGAGACGAGGAATCAGGAGGGGAAGACGAAGGTGGAGAGGAGGAAGCGGTTGCGTTGGGCTGCCTTGCCTGGGGGGGATGTTGAGCTTGTACGTTCGGCTGTGGGATCGGGGGACCCTGGGGAGCGTATACGCCCGGGTGTTGGACCATGGGTGTCTGGGGATAGTATGGCGAATATCCGTTGCCTTGCTGCATAGGTGGTGGGTGTGGAGAGTAGCTAGGGTAAAATCCATAGGGAGGATAGGGGCCTGGGTATGCGTTGATGGGTGGATAAGCGGGATATGGAGCATATGCGCCATGCTCCATGATAGGAGGAGAAGGATAAGGAGCATAGAAACTTGGTTGCCCCATGAGAGGAGGAGGAGCAGGATACTGCGTATATGCGTTATGTTGCCCCATGATAGGAGGAGCAGGATACAGAGCATATGCGCTCTGTTGCCCCATGAAAGGAGGAGCAGGATACGGAGCATACGCATTCGGTTGCCCCATGATAGGAGCATCAGGAACCGGCACAGTTGGTTGTTGTATTGCAGGTGGTTGCTGGGCACGGGCATTTGCCTGATTCTGGATAGTTTGCTGGTCGTTCTGAGCCCCCCGAGGGGCATTTGTCTGACAGAACTTCGGATACGGAGCATAATAATGACAGCCATTATGCTCGCGGTGGACGTTGTCGTATCCAGCATAGTTATTCTCCCACGTTGGGACGGAACTGTTGTCACGGGCTGGTGCTGGGCTTGATGTAGCCAAAGCCTGATTAGAGCCGGAAGACTCAGAGGATTGCCGCGCCTGTCTAGACTCAGAGCTTGATGATGGAGTCTGATGGGGCATGGAGGAGTTGTTAGGGCTGGCGGACGTCGCTTGCTGGTCGGCCATGGTGAAAGCCGGGGGTGAAATCCACGTTGAGTAAGTGTTCTTGGGTTTGTAAAGAGCTATTCAGTAGTAGATGTTGTTGATATCGATAGAATGCGAACAATGTGAATAGTCAGACGATGAAGGAGGAGATAGAGGCATAGGAGTAGGGAAGATGGCTAAATGGAGTATCCAGAGATCTATATCATTATGATGACTTCATCTTTCGGCAGCATAAATACTCGGTAAGCAGCGGTTTTTTTTTTTTTTGAGAGAGAAACCGTAAAGAACCATGGTATCCCGCCAGGAGGGCTACTAGATCAAGAACAATGTCATATATACGCAGTGGATTTCATTAGAAAACATGCTATAATACATGGTGGAAAACGTTCCCCAGTGGAACATCATCATTACCCATCTGTAACTTTTCATCTAAGCGAGCTTCATTCTAGGACGGACGTAACGAAACGGCTATACCTGGCAAGCCGCACCGATAACGCATCAGGATGACAAGAGTTCGATGTCTTGGACGGCATAGGGGGATGAAAGGAAGTGGGAGAATGAATCCCGAATCCTGGCGTAGAGCAAGACTCGAAGAAGAGTGTCATACGTCCTGTTGACGGATGGATTTGTTCATGCCTATAGTCATCAAATACGTTAATTCCCCCCCGAATTCAGATACAGAACGAAACCAAACTCGGCTGTGTGAAGGAAAGCATGAGCTGCACCCTAGATTCTTTCCCTTATGCCTCTGCTCATGGAGTGTCCTGGGGGTATAAAATATTGCCATCGCATTTCTGGCCATGATATTCGGAATTTGTAAAATGCCTCCTCATTGCTCTTGAATCGCGCTTGGAGGTCGTCCTTAAAATCACAGCTGGTTTCCCAGCACAATACACCCAAATCCGCGCTCGAGGTATCGAACCGGAAATGAGCCCCTTTTGAAGATATCGTCCCAGAGTCATCTCCAGGTGACGAAAGGTGATCGGCCGAGTGGCATCGTTGCGATTTCATACATCCCGCGGAAGCTTGTCTTGGAATTAATCTGGTACGTCCTATCAGGGCATCTCCAAGATCGAGATCCATGGACATAGACTCGGATGTTGCCAGTAAGATACGGTTCCTCAGTAGCGCATGGTGAACCGTAATTGGTTACTAGGAAATCTTAAGATGAGCTTGAAGTCCAGAGCCTTACAATACCTCCGAGGCTCATAAATCTGGGGGTATTTTTTGATATTACCTACTTTTTGTTTCGGTGGTATAGCACAGAATACCAGCACTAATGATAAAGGGCAGAGCCCTATTTTTTCGTAATGATTACTGCTCGGACGGCTTACTGGACTCGAGAGTTTGACGTCGGAGAATCCCGGCTGCGATTCGTACCGATTTCTAGAGTTTCTTGTCTTCATCCTGGCGTCCATGAGGGATTTTCGGCTCGTTCTTCCGAACTATTAAACAGGTTTTGGATCATCATGCCGCCGGCGACATCCAGGAATTCTGCACCAAATGGTCCTTGGGGATATCGGGGATAATTACTCCCCGCCCCGATAGTTAATGGGTTGCAGTTTGCTTGACTCTCGTTCCATCCGAATGGGGTCCAAAACGGCCGAAACGCGGGTGGTATATGCGTTGGTGAGAAAGGACCAACATTTCCGGGTGACGTGAGTTCATGGCCATGCTCTATAGGCAGGGGGGGGGGGGGGGGGGTGGTTAGCCGGGTGAGAACATTGTATACTGACGAAAATGATACGACACTTACCAAGCACCTTCTGGAGTACGTCCCGCGCTCGCAGAGCCATGTCATGGGAAGAACCCAGGCTCCCCAGGCAGTCCACGGCCCGCTGAATACGGTGCTTCCAGGATGCAGCAAGAGCGTGTGTGGGCTCGTACACGTAGCATGTTGCCTGTACGAAACTTGCGGTGAGTAACCAGCAAGTTGCGTACCAGGTGAGTCCCCGTCTTCTATTATCAGTTGACTCGAGAAAAACACATATCGACGTCACACACATGTCCGCTGCGGTGAGGCACGAAGCAACTGGTCCAGTAGAGGTAGCCAGCTCGGATTTTGAAGTGATGTTTTGAAAGAGAAAGGGACGGTTAATAACGATACGTAAATGGTATGACCTCCAGAGAAGGACCCTTCGGGGGATATCGAACCGAAGCTCGAGGTAGACATCTAGATTGAAATGGGGAGGCAGCTCGTCATACCATGCGGAAATCCGCTGTTCTAGATATTTCGCCTTGTCAGCTGTGGGTAGATGGTGCGTGAGGAGCTCGACTTGGATGGCATTCGCAATCTTCGCCAGCTTGACCTGTGCAATGAGAGAGGATGTGATAGTTGGCCCTGTCTGGCTTTCGGGGAGCTCATCCATATCTACTGCAAGGTCATGGTCGTCGACATTGGCTGGAAGCCGGACATTGACTCCAACAAGAGAAACTGCCGGGCGTCCAAGAGTCAGCTGCACACCCGATACGAATATAAACAGTGTCCACCACACACGCCGTCGTACTTCCATGGTGAACGGCGATGTGCTAGGATTCCCAAACTCCCGATGTAGGCCGATCGCAAGAGCCATGCTAAAGCCGATACCGATCAAGATAAAAGCGGCATTGGGCTTGTTACGCTTCTGTAGGTAATTTGCCATCAAGACAATCGCTTGGACATAGCTTAGGGATCCTTTCTCTAGCACATCCATCGACAGGTGCTTCCGTGCTTCTTTGAAGAACACAATATCGGCCTTTGTGCCATTTGAATCGCCAACGAAGGCTCCGATGGCTAGAACTGTGTAGTACAACAATGGCCATGATCCGTCATGAGGTTTTGCCAGCGCACCTAACTTTTGTTAGAGAAAAAAAAAAAAAGGAAGTTCCACGGATGCTTTTCGCAGCCCTACCGGATACCCGTGCACGGAATGTCCCTTCATGTAAGATAGGATACGCAGGGTGATAAAAGGCAAAGTAGTCATCAAGATAGCGGGAGATCTCTCCCCGTTTCCGAGGCAGACCAGAATCAGCAAGGTCATCGTCGTCCAGCGAAGAGGCCGGGTTGAAGCTGCTCAGAGGGATATAGAGAGGAAGAGACTGGAGGAATTTCAAAGCCGCAATCCCGGACTGCGGTCCCGTATAGCCGGCTTTATGGGGATCGATCGTCAGGAAACCCATACCATCAGTGGAGTTGTCGAATTCCTGCGATTCATCGAACTCATAATCTTCCGCGTTGCTGTGTTCCGCAACGCTGGTAGGCGGCTGCTCCGTGGAATGGGACATGTCGTTATGCGGCTGTTTGACCCTCCTTTGAACAGCAGGATTGGAATCTTCCTGGTTGCGAACTGTCTGAAGAGCCTCGTGCAGATCTACGGATGGTAGATAGGTCGTCCACGCCTTCTCCATGTCCTTAATCAGGCGTTCGCATTCTTGGAGACGCCTGGGTTGACGTTAGTCCGATACACTGTCTGATCAAGCAGCAAAACCTATCGTGACCCAATGGGGAATACTGTACCTCTGTAGCTTTGACAGCTGAAACGATGGTGATGAATATCGGCATAGCTTCACGTCTCGCACGCAGTTGGTGCACTTCTCATCGCCAGAACAGCGAATCTTCCGCCGTTTACACTCATCACAGGCGTAAGATTTACGAAGTACATGTCGCGATCGAGTATTCGCTTCCATGTTGGGCAGCTCAACAAATTCCCATGATTATCATAATAAGCAGGTTGACGGGAACTCGGGACAGGCCCTGATTCCACGATGCGGGGGGTGGAGAAGAAAATGTTAGTTAGTTACATATGGAGTACTCCGTGCTCCGTATGTACATGCCCAAGGATTCTTCTGGGGCAAGAAAAGGTTTCACAGAACTGTCTCGGGGAGGGTGCTTTTTTTCGCTCCCATGTAATTCCCGTACTAGTGAACTGCATCCTTTTCACTAGTTACTCTTTTCTCACCTCTTCACTTGGGTAGAAGTAAATACTCATAGATCTTCTCATCCAATCACGGCGTTTCCTCCGAGGGGTGGGCCACAGCTGGCCACCGGCAACGGCTTCAACTCCGAGTCCTACGGTGGAGAGGAGAAGTCGAACAGAAGAAGTATGAAAATGGAATGCATTGGGGTCCTATAGAGCCAGTCCCGTGCCAGTTCCGGTCCACCGATAAAGACCTAGAATCGCCTGGTGTCGACGCCGAATCTCGTGGGAATTGACGGGACGCCCCCGGGCCTGGGCCACCGCACTCCGCATGACTTGACGGAAGTTTCTCTGGTATTCAGTGCCGAGAGTCACAATGCAGGACTCCGTAGCCCGCAGTATCACCTCGCAGGCGTTTAAGGTGGATTCCCCGGCGTCCTGCTGCAGTCTTTCAACAAGAAGGAGGAGAGGAAAACTTCCCTGGAGCAATTGAACGCCAAAAAAATCTGTCAAGAAACTAACATCCGGGTCGAACCGGAGGATTTGGTTCACTGATTCCGCGGCATTTAGGGTGTGGGAGATCGTGGAGGCAAAGTTTGGGGAGGACGTCCAGAAGTCTTTGTCCTCAATTAGCGATATCAAATCCCACTTGCCATTTAAAAGGATGTGCAGAACGTGTACGAAATATGAGGCATAGGAAACGACTGTTTGCGTGAGCCATAGATGGGCTTGGGAAGAAGCAGGGTTTATCGCAAGTTGACCGTGCTTTGGTGAAGACGGCGTTCCTAGGTCCTGAGGGCCAAAGTCCTTGCAAGCGAACGCATCAAGGCTAGCCATATAGTCATCGATCTGACGGTGGATTTCATAGGCATGAGCCTCCCATATCATTTGCTTCAAGGGCGTCGCCCCAAGCGTAGGGTGGTTTTGGGCTCGGTTCAAATCAATTAATTGGCCCATAATCGCCATGAGTGGGAGGAAGAACCCAAAAATCGAATGGTCGTGACAGGTAAAGTCTAGGAAGACACGACGCTTAGATGCGTTTCCCAAACCTAGGCAATGCGGGCCGTCAATTTTAGGGCTATTACTGTGTATGTTTCCAGCCTGCCATGCTTCCTCGTCCGTAGGAAGGAGGAGATCTTTGCTCTCCGCATCAAGGAGCACTAGTGGCCGATGATAGCATAAAGCGAGATGGCGATCCATGATATATAATAGCCACCATACCCTCCGCCGTTCCTCGCGCTGTTCTTCGGTGATCATGATACTCGGGCCTTGGCTCTCTATGACACAGACGCAGTCCAGGATTTGCCGCGGGGAACCCGAGTAGTCGAAAGTGCAGCCTGAGGATGGATCATAGTCTCGTCTACTCTCGGGGGTTGGTATTGCCTCTACCTCACGATTCAGCTTGAGTTCACGCGCCAGCGTGAATGCGGCATACCACCTGGATATTAAGATAAGCATGCGGAAATTTTGAAAATTTACACTTGAAATCAACTCACCATCTCATGCTGGTTGCTTTCTGTTCACTTGCGGAAACAATAGACGCGATGTGTATATAGGTTATAACGTCATCCAAGGACCCTACAGGACGCTCGGGGTCCCAATCACCGCCACAAATTGCAAAGGAGTGTTGAGAGAGTTGATTAGTGCTATTTAGTCGCTTATGAGTTGTGTGGGTTAACGGCTTCAACAACTGGACAGTGAGAGAACTGAGAAACTCGCACACATTTTTCCTTTGACGCCGAGATATCAACGCCAGTACTCGGTCATCCAATGCAGCTACCCAGAGCATACTAGCCAACAGCGCTGGGCTTGTGGGGCGAAACCATTTCTGAGTTATGAATGAAGCTTTCCGTAGCACGAAGCAATGTATATGGTGGCACGCCGGGTGCATGTGTGTCGAGAATGCACTTGTAAAGTATATATCTATCAAGTCAAAGGCTAGCGACTGAGATACGGTTTCTTCGAGAAATCGTATTATTGGTTGGAGAACAGGATATTTCAGTGTTGAAGTTGCGCCTTGCGCTGCCTTTCCACTGGCGACTGGCGTCAAAGTAGACGACGGCGTGAGTACATCGTATCGATTGCTGTCTAGGATGGTCTCGATTTCCGGGAGAGGTGTATCATTGATTAAATTGGTCGTATCCGAATTCACCCCAGGGCACTGAGGCAGGTCCTTTGTTCTCCTTGCATTTGATCTGAATCTCTGCATTCGCGATTGCCTGCTGGTCGTCATAGGCAAGTGTTGTTTCTCGCAAGTTTCACGCTCCACCAGCATCACATCGTCTGTCGAAGGTGGCCATTCAGGAGAGCAATCCACAGGCTGTCTGTTCCGCATCCGTGCAGAGACAGTAGATTGCAATCCTTTCGTTATTTCATCAGACCCTGGAGATTCGATTGTTGTTTCCGACCAAGAATCGCGGGCCAATGATTTCGGTTTTGGTATCCTCCCTCTTTTGCGACGCTGTCGGGTGTACATTTGCACGAGATCTCCTTGCGCACACATCTCGTACACGGAAATATACGGTCACATCGTAAATGGAGGGAATGGCAAGCGTCACAAGCGATACGGCTGCGAGTTTTCCGCTCTGTGAGGCTTTTCGGAGGATCCTTCGACTTGGTATGGCGCATTTCAGGGAGTTTATAGTCAGCTTCGGGATTGAATGGAAGAAAGGAAAAAGAGAATATGTCACAGAGAGATTTTTTTTTTCTCTTTTCTTTTCAATAAGGTGCGAGGAAGGTCAAGACAGGGACACTGAAACGGGGTTGAAATGTATATATCTTCATATTTGCTCTTTCTAGAACGCCATCTCCACCAGTTGGCAGCAGTGGGTTGACGGAGCTATCTCCGAATGATTCAAGCATTTCCCACCTTCGGGGGATTCCCGGCCCTCTCCAGGAACATGCAAGCTATGTGTTTAATGTCAATATACCGCATTGGCTATGATGTTTGAATTCTATCCAAGCCTCAAGTATAGAGTAGGCCTCCATTTGCACACACCACATCCCCCGTTATCCATCGAGACCGTTCCTCCGCTAGGAATGCAACAATGTCTCCGATGTCCTCCACCGTACCGCATCTTTGGCCCGCTGGGACCTTCTTGTTCTCTTCCTCCATGCGTGCCAGATGCACTGGACCCGCAGCTTGATACATGTCCGTGTCGACCGGGCCAGGGTTCACGGCATTGACCGTGACGCCATATTTGTGGCCCAACTCCGTTGCCCAGACTCGCGTTAGACCCTCTACCGCCGCTTTACTCGCTGCATAAACGGATTGCGTAGGGTAGCCCCCCCGGGCTGAGATGGACGAGAGGTTGATGATGCGCCCACCACGACTGATGACTGGGAGCACAGCTTGAGTCATGAAGATCACTGCGCGCACATTGACGTCCATCAATTGATTGTAGATATCGAGCGTCACTTCTTCCAGTGGTCTGTTATCTCCTGCTCCTGCGTTGTTGACTAGGATATCGATCTTGTCCGTCTTGAAAGCCGCGAGCGTGGCTTGGACGATGGCGTTTGGCGCGGACATATCTGTGATGTCTGCTTGAATTGCGATGGCTTCGTTGTATCGACGGATCTCGTCAACTAGGGCGTCTGCGGCAGCTTTTGAGGAGGGAGAGACATAGTTAAAAGCAACCTGTGTAGCAGCCACAACCATCAGCAACCTTCTTCTGCGATACATCTAGATACCTAGGAATCAACTGGCCTTTGCTCCTTTCTGACTCAAGCTCCGAACGATGCCTGCTCCAATGCCCCTGGCGCCTCCTGTAACGATGGCAACTTTTCCGTCGAGCGACATTTTGCTGGATTAGTATGAAGGTCCTGTCGTATAGAAGGTATGAAATCTCTCCGTGACGTGCTTGGTTAATATCATGCAAGTTGTATCAATACCCCGCTCAAGACATGTGTTCATTTCCCAATCGACGTGCGATATAACTATACTCCTGCTACGTCGGCGCTATCTCCGAGAAGCATCGTCACCAAGATCCCGTGGTGCTTTTATAACTGAATCGTGCAATATCACGTCACGCTGCATTTGGGCTATCTGGGCTATATAGGATATTGCTATCCACCCCCACCCCCGCTTAACCATCGACATCTTCCAAAGAAAGCACGAAACCCACGCCATCCACACAGATCCCTTCACGATCTCCGCGTGGTAGAATGCGATATCCCCAAGGTGATCGAGTGGCGATGTTAGATATAACGCCTGTCCAGATGTTGTTTTCTTCTCGACGCCTCCCCACCATGGCACGCTGCGCAGGCACCACGCGCATCCCGAAGCATGGCTACACCGGATCCCCGACAACGTTATGTTTGAGAAAGGAGCGCTGCTGGAGTCTCTGATTGTTGTCCTGGCGGATCCTTAGTTATTTGCGGTACTCGTCCTATTGGTCTCGTCTTTACTGTCGGCTAATGCGGCGTGTGCAGCCAGTTCTTGTGCAATGACAGGATACACCGCAGGAGGTTGGGGCTCGTATTGTCCAAGAACTTGAAACACATTCAAGATTGACTTAGCTTTATTTTCTCCAGGCAAAACCTTTTGGAGGTATGACATTGTCGTCGGAGTCGGCAAGGAAATCGATCTGAGGTTCCAGCATCGCTATCACGATATTTACCCAAGGCAATCAGCTCGGTTGCAGCTGGAATCATTGACCTGAAGCCGTTGGTGTTTATTAATACCAGTGACACTCTAGAAGTACTGACAGACCGTGGATTCAGATTACACACGCGGTAACTATAGCAACATTCCTGCGCAGCGTAGAGTCCTAGATGGGCTGGACTTGATATATAATGCAAATGTGGTGAAACAGGCCCTCCCTAAGCACATAAGAATAGACATACCTAGCAGACCATGTATGACCCTCACTGCCTTGAACTCCCCCATTTATAGCCGTAAACAGCAACTCCTCTGTCCAACAGTCACACAGCACGCCACACATTGTGGACAATCCACGGAAGGAATCTAGGGCGGGCACTTGGGCAGACGACCACATTCGTCCCCCCGATGCAGCACAGCATGTATCCCATTAATCCTGCCCCCAGAGTAATTCCGAGAAATTAACACGCGATAGAACTCAGTGTCAGGCATTATCTCCTTGCGGACGCAATATGCTACGGCTACATACACAGCGCCGTATGGAATTAGTGCTCGAATCCTAGTTCTGGACTCTTTAAGTGACGCAAGGGGGAAGGAATGGGATCTAGATCTCCAGAAGCCTAATCTTCGGCTTAGACCGTTCATCACCCCTTCCATTTCCGGCAACCCCAACCCCGGCTATCTGGCTGGATTAGATAGAAAAACGTTCAGTGGAATAATGGCGCGTACCCGAAACATGGCCCCGGATTTGGCTTTGGGTGTCAGGTCTAACCCTCGTCCGGGGTGGTGGTGGTGCTGGGGCGAAGTGGTCCTGGTTTACTCCCAATAGCGTAGAGAGATAAGTGTACATATATATATATATATAGGCTGACTCTGGGACATGTACTTGCCACACTGTTTGTTCGTTTTCAAGGTGATACTAGTTTCGTCCACCAATTCTGGATTGTGGTGTATTTCTTCTGTCGTTGCTTGGGATGCAGTCCACAAAGAAGCCCTACTTCGGGCTAACTGGAGGATGGTTAACATTCTGGGTGGCGGTAAGGGCACACAATTCTGTCAGATCATAGCCATTTTGCAAGACATCTTATCTAACAGGGATTTTCAGGTAGCTTGTGCTACAGACATGACCCTATTCGGATACGACCAAGGTGTTATCAGTATGTTCTTTGTGGCCCTTTCCTACAGCAGCAGAAACAAGCCATGCCAACTTACTTCGTTTACAGGTGGTGTGGTAGTGACTCCAGATTTCCTTCACGTTCATGGTCTAGTCGGCCCCTCGAAAACAAAGATTCTTTCGACAGTTGCTGCCATCTATGATGTTGGCTGTTTTCTCGGGGCTCTCCTTGCTTTTACCATTGGCGAGCGGCTGGGCCGTAAGAAAAGCATCCTCTTAGGATGCACGATTATGACAGTTGGGACTCTTCTTATGTCCTCTTCACACAGTCTGGCCCAGATATTTGTTGGCCGCATTGTACTGGGGTAAGTCGGCTTGGAACCCTATTTCTCGCGACATAGGCTGATCCATGTGTAGAGTCGGCAACGGTATCAGCACAGCCACAGCTCCAGTCTGGCAAACCGAAACCGCGCAGGCTAAATGGAGAGGAAAGCTAGTGATCCTTGAAATGGGGTTGAATGTCGGTGGGTATTGTATTGTCAATTGGATCAATTATGGCCTGTCTTCCCGTGGAGGTCCTATTGCATGGAGGCTACCGATTGCCTTGCAGCTTTTCTTTATTGCGGTCCTATTTGCCACAGTTCCATGGCTTCCTGAATCTCCAAGGTAAGATCCCCCCCCCCAAAAATCGTGGACTAGAGAAATAGCTCTTACATACATCCAGATGGCTTCTGTCTCACGGCCGCGAAGAGGAAGCCCTTGAAGTCCTCGCCTGCATTGAAGCCAAGTCCATTGATGATCCCCATATTGCCACTCAATGTGACGAAATCAAGTTTGGCATTAAATATGAGCACGAGAATGCCATCAAATGGCGAGATCTTATACGTCCGAATAAGAGCGATGGCACGAAGACCCTCCGCCGGCTGCTTCTAGGCGCTGGTACGCAAGCAATCCAGCAATTCCAAGGTATGCCCCCCTCCGGATGTTGTGTGCTTCATTCATGAGTAACGTCGTGTAGGAATCAACATCATGAGCTATTATCTCCCGTTGGTCCTGATGAACTCAGTCGGACTCTCGGATCACATGGCTCGACTCCTAACTGCCTGTAACGCAACGTCGTATTTCGTCTTCTCGTGTGTTGCGGTTACAATGATCGAGCGATTTGGACGGCGAGGCCTCATGCTTATGTCCGGGTTCGGCCAGTTCGTTTCGTTCTTGATCATTACAATTCTCCTATGCCTTGCAGAGAGAAACAAGGTTTTCGCCACGGCCTCGGTTGCGTTCTTCTTTCTGTACCATATAGCCTTCGGAATAGGAATGCTCGGTGTGCCATGGCTTTACCCGACTGAAATCAACTCTCTGCCTATGAGAACCAAAGGAGCGGCAGTTGCGACTGCAACAAACTGGTAAGCCATCTGCGAAAGATCCGGTTCGATTCATTACCCACATACTAACTGAAAAAGGATCACCAACTTCGCCATCGTTGAAATTACCCCAATTGGGATTCAGAGTATTGGATGGCGATTCTGGATTGTATGGACTGTTCTCAACGCAGTCTTCTTGCCAGTTATTTACTTCTTCTATCCCGAAACAGGTCAGTCTTCCCTCATATCCTGAATTCACACTGCTTGATACTGATGCTGTTGAAGCAAACCGAACATTGGAGGATGTAGATGCGTATTACCGTTCCGATCCGCCGTTGATTGTGGTGAAGGATCCAGATGCCATCTCAACCAAGCGTCCGCTCAAGTTTATTGAGCACGAGGACGAGGAAGTCCAGAGGAAAGCAAAAGATACTCACTCAGTTCTCTTTAAGAGTAGCGACTCGACTTACGCGGAGCATTTGAATTGAGGGGACCAAGGTACCATAATATGTGCGGACTGGTAGGGAAGTTCTGGGGCACGTAAGTTCAATACTGCAGATATCTGGTAAATCTGGTCATCATCACGCATAGGCGCTTGAGTTTGAGCGATAGCTTGCCTGCATATAGCTGTATATATTGATATAAACTCGGCAAGTTGTACTAGAACCCCCGGGGTACATTCTGGATTCTTGGATGTTTTGAAGCAGATCTCTGATTATTGACCGAATATGTAGAAAAAGAAATAAATACCACATACTAAGTCTTCAAGGATCTTTAGAATTCATCAGTATTTCCATATAATCTCCAAAATTAAGTGAAAAAAAAAAACATCGAGTCCGAAGCCGAAGAAACATACTGCCGATTTTGGAGAAGGCGGTGAAGCATTTCGACGTCATTTCACACTTGATCCATCCATTTCATCTCGCATTTGAGAAAAACGCGAGGATTGGGTAGCAATACCGAACTTCCCCCTTTCAGATCATAATTCAATCATGTTCCCCACGGCAAGGTGCTTGGCTGCTAAGCCATCTGGATTCCTCAAGCGCAGCGCGGAGGAACTGGGCCGTTTATCGAAAATTGGTGCGTCTTGCTCTTCTTGCGCTCCCCGAGCGATATCTGACTGACTGACCGAACCGGCAATGCAGCTTGGAACTCTGAAGCCCTGAGCACACCTACCAAGCCATACCGCCTTCTCGACTTCGAAGATGAATCCTCCGTCGCCAACTGCAAGACCATGGCCGATCGTGCCGTGGGAGGATTCAGCACAGCCAGCCTAGACTATATCCCCGCGGATCCCTCGTCGAATGCCCCTGCCCATGCGAGATTCCACGGAAGCATTTCGACCAAGCTTCCGAATAATTGGAGAGTGGAGAGAACGGGTGCGTTTCTTAGATACTCTTCCTCAACTGATGGAGGACTGATTAAACGGTAAACTAATGGGACTGGGGGATTCACTAGGATACGCTGCGTTCCGCAACCAAGATCGAGGCCTTTGGCTCTTCGGGCGATTATACTGGGACGTTGATCCCTATTCCTATCTCGCGCTCCGAGTCAAGTCCGACGGCCGACGATACACCGTCAACATCCAGACAGACTCCATCGTTGAGACCGACATCCACCAACATAGACTGTACACGCGACACCATCGCGTTGCCTCCACCACGGCCGATGACCACCTCTCCCCGTATTCAGCGCCGGAAGCCTTGGAATCGCCCGAGCTCGCGGAAGCGAGATACCCCAACGGCCTTCCACCCTCTCTGTCGGACGTTCCTCCGCCTTCTACCGTGATGTCGTCGGTGACGACATCCGGCTCCACTGGGTGGGAGACGATCCTTCTACCTTTTAATTCGTTTGTTCGGACGAACTACGGTCTCGTCGTTGAGCCGCAGACCTCGATTATTCGCCAGCGTGTGAAGAGTATCGGGATTGGGCTGACGGACCGCGTGGAGGGTCCTTACGACCTGCGGATTCACCGTATCTGGGCAACAAACGGGATGAGTGAGGGGGAAATAGAAGAGGAACAACGGATATGTGGTGCAGATGCTTTGCCTGTGGACGAGGGTGTCCGAACAGGTTGGTCTGGAGAGGTCGCAAGCCATACGTCCAAACCCGGGGATAGCGAGAAGAGTCCCAAGGGAAAAGGGTTAAAAGCGCTACGTGATGAGTGGGATGCATAAATAATGAACCATTTAATCCACATTGACTTGTACAGTACCTTTTTTCTTTCTTTCTCTCTTATTTTGGCATGTGTATACACCTAGATTCAAAGCTTTGAAAAAAAAAAATCTATTTAAATACTTACCTAGCCCTAACTAGGCAATCCTGTGCTGCAGGGCAAATAGCCCCAACTACGTGACCAATTAGTTAATTACCACCAGTGATCCGCTCCCAAGCCTCCTTATACTTCTCACTTGTCTTCTGCGCAATCTCGTCTGTCATCCGCACGCCTTCCTTACCCTTCAGCCCCTCCTTGACCAGCCAGTCCCGCAGGAACTGCTTATCGAAGCTCTGCTGGCCACGACCGACCTCATACGAATCCTGAGGCCAGAAGCGCGACGAATCAGGCGTGAGAACCTCATCCGCAAGAACAACTTCGTTCGTCTCCTCGTCCACACCAAACTCGAACTTTGTGTCGGCGATGATCACGCCGCGAGTAAGGGCATAAGCGTGCGCGGTCTTGTACAGCTGAACGGAAAGGGCAGCGACGGTGGAAGCATACGGCTCGCCAACGATTTTAGCAGCTACAATGAAACATCATCAACGAGTTAGTAACCCGACTCACACACAGCCTGTAGAATGAGCGAGGAGGACAGGGGATTGGGAAAAAAAAAAAAAAAAAAAAAAAAGAGAAAGAAAATAGTTTCCTACCCTCATCCGGATGGATATTCTCGTCGTGCTCTCCCAATTCAGCCTTCGTGCTGGGTGTATAGATCGGACCGTCCGGGAAGGCCTCGCTCTCGCGCAGTCCAGCGGCGACGGGGATCCCATGCACAGTTCCGGACTTCTGGTACTCCTTCCATGCGGAGCCGGTGATGTAGCCGCGCACGATTGCCTCGACGGGAAGGATTCTGAGTTTGCGGACTTGCATGCTGCGGTTCTGGAGCACGGGACGCAGCGAGGTAGGGATCTGGGGAGGAAGGTCGAGGGTGATGAAATGTGTTCGGAGCGAGGGGAGAGCGTCGGTGAGGATCTTGAACCATTTCTGGGTGCAGAGGGTGAGAAGGACGCCTTTGTTGGGGATTCCCTGGAATGAATCAACCGGTTAATTGATCTGCAAAAGAAATTTGGGGGGGGGGGGGGGGGGGAAGCCGAAGAATTGCTGTCTGCATACATTTTCCATGATCACATCGTAGGCAGAGATGCGATCGGTCGCGACGAAGAGTAGCGTCTTCTCGTCTACTTCGTACAGATCTCGAACTTTTCCCCGGGCAATGAGGGGCAATGCGCCCTGGAGGTCGGTTGTTGTGAGAGCGTCTGCCATTGTGAGCAAGAATTTGTTGAAGTATAGATGAAGAGTCTGGAGAGACGATGGATGACTCTTTTTTTGGCGGGGTTTGGCTCCGGCGGAGTAGCCTGAGGCATCACTACCCCTCCTAGAGGATTTATTGAACCGATCCTGTTCCATCTCGGTTTCAATGCGAATTGAATCTTGTTTTTGCTCAATTACTGCTAGACGATCTGAACTTTAAGCACGGTCTTTCTAACATTCTGCAACAGCAAAGCAAGCCTTCAGCAGGCAACTAATGAGAAGAAATTAACAAGCATTTGGATATCCCAGCAGACCAAAACCATCAAAACAGTTCAAGAGCGGAGAAAAAAAAGCAGGAAGAAGAGAACATATAATGAGAAATGAACAGAAATCAAGCTAATCTAAGGTCGATATCGTGGAAAAACCGGTCGAATCTCTGGGGAAGGCCTGAGGGCTCTGCAACTGCAACATAACTGTCCGGCCGGATCAAGTACGCAGCATCACTCTTGAGCCCGACTGAGTGATATTTATTATCCCAGGAGAAAACTTGCAGAGGGATCTTCTTCGCCTGACACCAATCATCCAGCTCTTGTCTTGCTGTGCCGTAAACGTGGACCTGCCATGAAATTGCTTTGAGACTTTCAAAGTTATCCACATCGCCGATGGGTGCCCATGGAACACGATCACCACCCTGGACATAACCAGCAGATCCGGCAGATAATGCCATATTCCGGTAATTGAGCCCAAGCTGGGAAGTCCGTTCGAAAACCCGGTGTCTGAGCGTTTCGATTTTCACTAGCCAAGGTGCAACGTAAGGGATGAACCACGTTCGCATAAACCGGGCCAAGTAGCTTTGCGATACGGCAACATTGAACCCACTATCTGTGGTCTCGACAAGGGTAGTCGCAAAGGCGCGGCGTTCTGCTTCATAGGTGTCCAATAGGGATAAATCCGCCTGGCCTCGAATCACTGCTGCCAATTTCCACGCTAGATTAATCGCGTCTCCAATGCCCGTGTTCATACCCTGTCCTCCCACAGGGCTGTGGATATGAGCGGCGTCGCCGATAAGAAATGCTCTTCCTTTGCGAAAAGCGGCGGCGACGCGGTGATGAACTCGGTAGGCAGTAAACCAGTTCACCTTTCCAACGTCTAGGTGTAAAGTCTTGATCGCATTGCGATCGATATCCTCGAACTTGATTTCGGATGTCTCTTTCTTGGCTATTTCTTCGCTCACGGCTCCAGAAATACGAACGCGACTGTTGTTATCATACGGGAACAAAAGAATAAAATCTTTGTGGTTGAAGGTGACATGAGCATCTCCGTTGACGGACGGGCCAGTGCCTTCGATATCCGCAACGAAGAAGACGTGAGAGTACATGGCGCCATCGAATCCAATTCCACATGTATGACGAACGGCTGAATGGGCTCCATCACAGCCGGCAATAAAGGTAGCTTCGCAGGTCTCAATCTTGTCATTACTAGCAGGAGTGCGGCCCAGGTCTTTTTCTTCTGTGACTTTGATCCGTGCAGTGACGTGGGTGTCGTGTTCTGTGAAATCCAACAGTTCTCGATATCGTTCCACATGGACGCCCAAAGAGTTGAGGCGTTTCTCCAGGAGTTTTTCATGTCGATCTTGGGAGAGGATATGAATGAAAGGATAAGGTGTTAGCCCTGAGCCAGCGTCTCCAATGGGGATGCGTCCCCTATGGATGCCTTCTGACCAGATGTTTGTCGCTGTCAGCTTGTGGCCGCTCGCGACGATTTCCTCCGCGATATCGAGCTGGCGGTATAGTTCCAGGGTTCGAGCATGAATGACGAGGGCTCGCGAGGTCGCAATGTTTACCTCCGCTTTGTCAATGATGCGGACGGCAAGGCCTTGTTTGACCAGCCACAAGGCCATAACCAGCCCAGAAGGACCAGCGCCCACAATGAGGACGTCTGTGGGAGTCATGTTGATATATGCGGTGCGAGTATACGAAAGGTAGTAGTATAAATAAAGCGTTTGGAAACCAGACAAAGGTCAGGCTCAATATGAAGAATGGGGGTTTCAAGAGGAATTCTAATTGATATAGGATTCTCTTTTCAGGTATCTGAACCCAAAAATATGATTCTTGCAGATCGATGTACCTGAATTCCGAGTCTGCCTACTCGTATTTAAAGTCATTCCCTCCATGACAGGCCTAAACCCCAACGACGCGGAATGGGTACAAACGAAGAGAATCCGGAATCTTTTTGGCCCCAGAATAGAAGACCATACCGAGCACATGGTTCGAAAATTACCTTAAGGAGGAAAATGTGGCGACTGTTGAGGCTGAAGAATGATGTATCATTGCTGAGAACTCCATATAAACCGCTCTAGTCGGCGATCTCAAGCCCCGATCTGACCGTTTTCGCTACCGAACTGGGGCCGAAAGCTGCCGCCGGCGACCGACGGCCAGGGTCCAGTTGGCTGACGTCAGCATATCCCGGCTGCCGGCGAAAGTATTCATCCGGAAACACACACGGCTTAGCGGTGCGTATCATCATAGCTGACGAGATCTGCTCCTGATTCTGTCACTCTGTGTAATTGACCATTCTCTTCATGCATCAGGAGTCCATCATCATCGACCGTGACTGCGCGAGCTTCCGGTGACAAGTAATCCGCAAATTGCGCCAGAATCGGGACCTCCTTATCCTCGTCGGGGGGGAACAGCTTAGCGGTGCCTTTGACCTTAACCATCCTTAGTCGATCCCAATCCCAGACATTGCAATGGGTTTCTGTCAAGGGATTTTCTCTCGGACCGAAGTATCTTTGTCCCTCCGAGGAGAATCTTTCTTGAGGTTTCATCACGGCAAGTGGATTCGACAGTGTAAGCCAGCGGCTAATTTTGGCGTTGTGGATGTGAAAGATGCCTTGTGTCTTCGGGACTCGATCTATATGTATCTAGAAGCCAGGAAACGGGCGGAATGGATCATCCCTTCAGTCATATTTGCTCACCGTCTAAGATGCCGGGGGTGGATCAAACAGTTCATATTTGACTAGAGTCGATTGCCGCACGCGAGACGATGCGTGAAATGCCACAACTGGAGGTTTCAAGATGCAAGCTGGATATCTAGAGAGGACGGATCACACCTGACTAAGGATTAGTTGTCTGAAGGTTCAGAAATAGGTTCGAACCAGAAGTCTCGTATGCTCGAAAGATAAATTATTAGGTACCTAGGTAGTTATATTATTATATATTTCCTATATTAGTTGATTTCTGCTGTATTTAATCGGAGTTTCTACTAGGATGAGGAGAATCAGACCTTCATCTCTAAACAGCAGAGTACTAGTCATTTCATGAAGCAATCCATCCAATAACTAACTATATAGGTATGGAGTATCATCCATTCTGGTCTTGGACTAGTCGTGAGAATATGTTAGCCCTTTCCCTCTTCTCAATGTATCCATGCCTTTCTGCCCACCTAAACTGCTACCCACTTTAGGTGCGCCACACATTCTTCGCGATTACACATTCTTCGCGATTTTTTTAATATTTAAAGCTATATAATAATAATAATACTAGTAATTAAAATAAAAAAACTCTCTAGCTTTTTTAATATATCTTATATTATTAATTCCTCTTTAAATTAACTCCTGCAAGTATAAAGAGAATAGAGAATTATATATTTTTTTTTTTTACTTTACTAATCTTCTCTACTTATATTTAGTATTCTTTACCTTCTTATCTTTAATTAATTAAATAATATCATGAACTCTTAGAACCCTATTACTAGATAGACCTTTAATTTAGTGCTTAGTATAAACCTGGTATTAAGGCTCTTATATGGCCCTAATCTTTTAAATTACTTCCTAGATTATTTTTAGCTCCTCTAGCTTCTTTACCTAATATTAAAAGAGTTTTAATATATTCTACCTTACCTAGTTAAATACCTTATTAAGTTCCTTTATAATCTTTACCTAATTCTTTAGAAGAGCCTCTATTATTACTAGAGGACTATTTTTAATACTAGAGAATAGTAATAGTAGTAAAGATAAGATTTAATAAAGATTAATTAATATATCTAGTATATTTATCTAATTTGCTAGTTTTTTAATAATTTTAGTATTATTAACTAGCCAGATACTATATTCTTTAAAAATATCTTAAATAATTTACTATAAAAAGGTCTAGTTATAGATTAGCTAGATAATTTTTAAGAACTCTATCTTTCTATATAGCTTACCTCCCTATTAAGATAGTTTATTATTTTTAGGGTAAAAATTAGTCTTATAAATAAGAAAAGGTTTTCTATTAAGAAATTAGTAGAGATATATTAAATAAATTATAAAATTAAAAGAAATAATATTATTTTTCTTATAATATTATAGAAATTTAAGTATAAGATATAAGCTATAATTATTAAATATTAGATATTATTTCTTACCTTATGTCACAGTGCGAAGCTGTAGTACCTATCTAGTTAGATTCTGTCTTAACTGTCCACCCTTATTCCTATATTTAAGCCATATTATTCTTAATCCTATTATAGCTCTTCAAGCTACATCCTATCTATTACCTGATACTTACTATTCTATTATTCTATCTAGTTAGCTCTTAATTAATAAATATCTAAATCTAACTCTACTCCTTAATATTATATAGTTCCTCTCTACTAGAAGTTAATTACTACTATTATACCTATCTTACTATTTATATTACCTAAAGGTATAGAAACCCTCCTATATAATACCCTTAATAAATTAAGATAATATATTACTAAAATATATTAATTCTTTATTATTATTATAGAAGAATTTTATAAATTATTTATCTTATACTTTATTATTACTAATCTTCTTAATTATATTTAATAGAAAAATAATATAATTAAGTACTAGAAAATATAAGCTAAAGAAATTTAATAAAAATTATTTAAAGTACTTATTTAAAATAATATACTTTTTTAATTATTATCTTTTTTTAAAAGAGATATTAATATTATTACTTCTTTTATTATTACTATTACTCTTATTATATCTATTCTTACTACTTAAACTTCTAAATAACTTCCTAATTCTAATAAATTTAATAATTAATAAAATAACTTAAGATACTTTATTTTTTAAATTTATTAGAAAATAATTATAAATCTTAATTATTTTCTAATCTTAAATAATAAAATAGCTTATATAACTAGTTATTTTAAAGAAATCTTATATACCTAAATCTTATTATATATTTAAGATAAAATCTATAAATTAAGTAATTATATTAAGATTTTAGAAATTCTAGAGAAAATTTTTAAAAATCTAAATTTAGAAATTAATACTTATATTAATTTATTTTACTTTTAATAAATTTATTATAAATTTAATATCTTTTTTATTAAATTCTAATATTTTATATTAAAAGAGAATATAAATAAAGATATCTTATTTATAATTTTAAAATAAATTATTAATTAAGAATTTTAAAAAATATTAATATACTTTAAGATCTTATTATAATATTATAATTTTATTAATTATTTATAAAATTTAAAAAATTACTATTATTATTATATAAGTACTATCTTATTTTTATTTATAAAGAATTTCTAGCCTTCTTAATTTATTTTAAAGCTAATTTTTATTACTTAAATTCTTATAGTTCTTATTAATCCTATTATTATTATTATTCCTATTAAAGACCTAATAGATTTATCTATTATCTATTACCTTAATTATTAAACCTAATACCTATATTACTACTATAGTAGTACTAATTACCTAGTAGGTAGCTATCTATACCCTAATTAAAGACTAACTAGCTATATTTTTATATCTATTACTAAACTAGACCTATACTCCTTATTAATTAAAATCTTACTTACTAAATATCTTATATTCTCTAAATTAAAAAATAGAGTATTTCTAACCTAAGTTATAATTAGAAATACTTCTAGCATTCTCTCTACTTATTAAAGATTATAATAGCTAGAATAATAGTAGAGAAGAAAAATTATTAATTTAAATTAATAATCTTACCTATTAACTTAAAGACCCCTAATAAGATTTTACTAATCTTTACTATAATTAACTCTAGAGCTAAGAATAAATATTTTATAAATTATAATTAAATTATAAATAATTAATTAAAAATATTATTATTAAAGAATCTTATTTTATTAAGAAAATTTAATAATACTCTAGTAAAGTCTAGTAATATTATTTATTTTATTTATTTAATTTAAAGAATTTATAATTATACTAAAAAAAATATTATTTTTTTTATAATCTAATTTATATATTTTTCTATTATTTTTAATTTATTTTAATTAAAGACTTATAATTTCTAGATTAAATTTACTAATTATACTATTTTATTTAAAAATTCTTATTATAAGAAGTATTATAATATATCTCTAAAATTTATAAAAATTTTAGTATTATATAATATATTATTAAAAACTTTTTTCTAATATCTTAACTCCTACCTTAAATTTCTAAAAAATTAAGATATTATTAAAATCTTAATTACTACTTATATTATATATACTTACTATAAATACTAGATATTTATTATTACTATTACTAATATTAAAGCTATTTTAAACTCTATTACTATTACTAAATTTAAGTTATAAGAATAACTATCTCTTAAATTTACTAAATTTTATAATATATTCTTATTAAAGAAAGCTAAGTACCTACTATCTTATTAATCTAATAATTATAAGATTAAATTATTATCTAGAAAAATTCTATCTTTTAAAAGTTTATATAGCATGTCCTAAAATAAATTAAAAATTTTAAAGAAATAAATTAAAAAGAATTTAAAGAAAGATTTTATTTATTTTAATTTTTTTTTTATTATATTCCTTATTTTATTTATAAAGAAACCTAGAGAAGGCCTATAATTTTATATAGATTATTAAGTCTTAAATATAATTATTATAAAAGATTATTACTTACTATTATTAATAAAAGAGATATTAAATAACTTAAAAAAAATAAAATATTTCTTAAAAATTAATATTATCTCTACTTTTAATAATCTATAAATTAAGAAAGAATAAGAATATCTTACTACTTTCTAAACTTAATTAGGCCTATTTAAATCTTTAATAATATTATTTAAACTTACTAGAGCTCTAATATTATTCTAAAGATTTATTAATAAAATCTTATATAATTATTTAAATATCTTTTATATTATATATTTAAATAATATTCTAATTTATAACTAAATTTATACTAAATATATTTATTATATTTAATAAGTATTAGAATACCTATAAATAATAGGACTTTATACTAAATTTAATAAATATAAATTTTTTATATATAAAATAAAGTTTCTAAAATTAATTATAAATAAAGATAACTTCTAAATAAATCTTAATAAAGTAAAAATAATTACTAAATAAAAAATACTAACTTATTTAACTAATATTTAAGTCTTTATTAACTTTAGAAACTTTTACTATTAATTTATTTATAATTTTTTAAAAATTATTAGACTATTAATTAACTTAATTAAAAAAGATATTAACTTTAATTAAATACTTATTTATTAAGAAATATTTAAATAATTAAAAGTTATTTTTATAAATACTCTAATATTAAAATCTTTTAATTAATTAAAAAATATAATTCTAGAAATTAATATTTTTAATTATATATTTATTAAAGTACTATTATAATATAATAATAAAAATATATTATATTTTATTATATTTTTTTCTAAAAAATATTTTATAATAAAATATAATTATAAGATTTATAATAAAGAATTATTAGTTATTATTTATTACTTTAAAAAATAATATCTTAAATTAAAAAGAACTTTATTACTTATAAAAATTATTATAAATTACTAGAAT